CTTAAAGAATAAGACAACTGACCATTCCAAAAATTATCGTGTCTTTTATCGTAATTAATTCAAAAGAAGTCAACATGCCAAGAATCATGTATCTATTGTCTTTATGTAAAAGTACGGTGTTATATTTTTTGAAAAGACCCACAAATGAATAAATAAAACGAAATACAGGTAAAACATAAAATACGATACGTAAAATAGCAAAGACTTGGTTAAAACTATGTTCAGCATCTTGTCCCAGTATGATTAGCCTAACAAGAGTCAATACAAAAGTTTTCTTAGCGTTTTCATACTCAAGAGTAAAGTTTAAAGATGTTTTGACTAAATAGTAATTAAAAAGTGCACCGACTAGTGATACGTACCGAGGAGGATTCATACTTCAGATAATTATCCCCAAAAGCAATGCAATGTACTGTACTTAAAGAAAAATACGAGTAGTAGTAGTTGTAGGAATTGTAGTAGAACAGTATCAGTAGTTTAGTAGTAGTAGCTGTAGTCGTAGCTACGGCTATCGACACTACACTCCCTCCACCTCCACACCCAGCGACGCCTCCACCTTATCTGGCGGCTGGCGCTGATCGGTGTGCGTGTGTGTCATCAACGCCCTTTTGCCCTATAAATGCTACAACCTGTTTTGAAGAATTAGATTTTTTTTAGATTATTTGTCATTTGAAGCCTACAGTCACTCTCAAAACACTGTTTACACTTGTCCCAAATGAGCAGTTAGGCTTATGGAACTCACTCACTCTCATAAGGACAATAATGTTTAATTAGAATAATAACGATTGCTTCCCTGTCTTCCGTGTTCTCCCTGTCCTCCGTGTTATCCCTGTTCTTCGTGGTTCATACATTGTTCTCCTTGTTCTCCCTGTCCCCTTGATTCACACTGTCCTCTCTTTGTCCTCTGTAACCCACACTTTGCCCTCTACACAATTAGTCAGCTTTATAATAAACAGAACTGAGTCAATTATCGTAATCAGATTCAGATTTGCCCCCGAGGAGGCTAGTTTATTGGGCACCCCCTTACAGACATTATCGTAATAAGGACTTATAGTAGGTGATCTTTTATTTGTGTTGGGCGTCGATACGTATCATTATACAGCGTCTAATGAACCTAAAGAAAGGTGGGAAGGGTGTATGTATTGTTTCTGTATGTATTCGTGCATGTGTGTATATGTTCTTGTATGTATTCGTTTGTTTTCGTGTTTATTCGTGTAACTATTATTTTGGAGGGAACAATTGAAGATTAAACAGCCTTTATTATTTTATGTAATTATTAAATACCCTGAACGCTAACCTAACCTAATTTAACCTAACATAATCTAAATTAACATAATTTAACCTTACAAACTATAATGGCATAACCGAACTTAACCTACCCTCCTCCCCCCGACAGTATTTGGGTGTTAAATCGCATGAATTAAACTGGGGTGTCTAATTTTCAGGTGATGCTTTCTTTTGTAAAATTAAGTTGTTTTGTTAATATCTGTATTCTGTTGAGTGCTTTGTAAATATCATGTGTTGTATAACAGGCAACATTGCTAATTAAATTTGTTTCTTTTCAATAACGTGGTATTTTTTGTTTCTAACAGTACTGCGTTCGGGAGCGCTTGGTAAAAGATAGTCCACTTTGAGGATGACGATTTTGTTATGTTTTTTGTGACCTGACTAGAAATAACACTATATGTTTCTAATCTTACTATTTCTTGTTTCATTTTCTGTATTTACTTTAAAAGGAAAAACAAATAACTGATACAAGTTTTACTCTGTCATGTTCATCACGACGTTTATAAACATACAATTTTGAATACATCAAGGAATCCGATCCAGATAAAGGGTGTTTATTGTCTCGTTTCTATGTATTATAATATTTAAGTATTCCCATGTACACGTTACTTATTTTTGCTCTTTACTTGGGGAGTGAATCAATGTCCACCACTCATGTTTATTAACTGCTGGAGTGAAGGAACAAACACTTATTAAGAATACAAACATGCCCTAACACCCGCTCTTACCAACCACCTGAACGGCTAGTAAGCTGATAAATGGTGATTTAAATTCTAATCAATCAATCAATCAATTAAGTACCATCTTCATATCCGAAAGTTGGCGACCTCAGGCCTCCACTTTAAGCTATTTTTTTCAACCCTATAAGATTTTTCATCTCTTTGGGACCCTTTTTTTAATTGAATTTATCCCAGTCTCTGCCTTCCCTTGGCCCTCCTACCCTCAGCTTTACCCGTTGATATTTCTGTGATCCCTCATCTGTTTCTCTAATCATGTTACCGAAGTATTTCATTTTTCTTTTCCTGTACATTTCAAGTATTTCTCTTGAAGTTTTTGCTAAACCTTGGTACTTCTTCATTTGTTTTCCTGTCAGTAACTTATTTATAACATAAGCCTATGAAACCACTTTTCAAAGGCCTCTAACCTCTTTATGCTTTTTTTTTATCCTCTTCACCACTGATCGGCTCGTTAGCCGCTTGGGCGATCGGTCACGTCTCTGTTACTCACTGCTGGCAAGTACTGGGCATGCACCGGCTCCTGAATGTACCTGAACCCGCTCCAGTGTTGGTCAAGTCTGGTCTTGAAAGAGCTCACACTCGGTGCCGTCACAACACTTTCTGGTAGATTGTTCCAAGAGTTCACCACTCTCACTCCGAAAAAGTTTGCCCTCACAGTTTTCTGGACTTGCGGCTTCTTCAATCTTGAGCTGTGACCCCTTGTGGGGCGAGCGTCCGCCAGCTCCAAGTAAGGACACTCGACTGAATAGTGCCCCTTGAGATGCTTATACACCTCAATTAGGTCGCCCCTTGCCCGTCTGTAGTGTAAGCTAGGCAAGTTCAGGCGCTCCAATCTCTCAGGGTAGTTGAGGTGTCGAAGAGCAGACACCAGTCTGGTGGCCCTCCTTTGAACATTTTCAACCAACTGACAGTCCCTAGCATATCTCAGGGACCAGACGGGGTGACAGTACTTCAGATGGGGAAGCACTTCACTCTTGAAGGTCGTTACGAGGGATATCTGAACGACCTTCTTATAAGACCCAATAATATATTTGCATGATTTACCTTCTCCTCGCAATGGCCCGAGAACTTCAGCTCATTGTCAACATACACACTTAGGTCCTTCTCACATTGTCTCAAATAGTGCAGTTTCTTCATCCCATTGGGACATATGATACGCCTCCTTACCGTTGATTTCCCGAAGTAACTTGGCGTCATCTGCAAACATTTGTCTGGAGGAGTGTACAACGTCAGGCATATCATTTATGAAACAAACAAACAGCGGGCCCAATACACTGCCCTGTGGTACCCCGCTTGTGACAGGTACGGGTGATGATTTCGTGCCATTAATCACCACACACTGCTTGCGGTCATGTATAAAGTACGTGATAAATGTTATAAACTCGATAATGCAGCGTATCTGCATGCTAGTGTGTGGACCAAAACTTATAAGTGGCGAGATGGATCCTTGCTGCTCTTTCCAAGAGGGTTTCAGCAGATTATTGAGTCTTTTTTCATGAACTGATGCAGTTCTTGCCTGATTTTCTTTTGCATCACTTCATTTCATGCTCCTTCGGCGTGGTGGTGAACGAGAAGTGTTTCAAGTACGAGAGTAGGAGTACAAGGTAGCTCCCCCAACTGCTGTCTCATGTAACGCAAACCTCTAATTCAACCACCGCTGTGCTGCAAATGAATATTTCCAGATTACACTTACATTCATCCTGAAGGTTTCGTGAATTTATTATCATCAGTGTCAGTTGTTTCCTAAAACTGTCCCTTCCCGAATATCTCATTTAGCTAAAAGTTACTGTTGGTGTTGGCTGTCACGTCATATCTAGACTGCTTACAGCATTTCAACCATTTGTGTAAAGAATCATTGCCATGATAGTGTGTTAGCCAATAGGTTCACCTGATGCACCTGTGAACTGATGGTTCGAGTCATTAATAATAATAATTTACATTCAGTCAATTTGACCAAGAACGATTAACAAAGCCATGGGATGCTTGTTTCCAGTAGACTTTTATGCCAGTAGCATCAGGAGTTCCTAGGGTCAGCAACACCCAACATTGCTCAACTTCGCTCATCAAACAGTGTTTCCAACGTGGTGCTAATTATTGCTTAATGAAAACTGCCGCTGTACCTGTTTAGGAAATGGAGTACGAAAATTAGTTTTTAATACACTATTAATTCCTAATAAGTATTATAATTATTAGATAATTTCAAATTATTCTAGTGAAATATAAAAGAAAGAAAAATATATATACAGTACTGTATATATTGGGATATTGTATAGAGTTGTGATTTGGCCTTTTTGTTTGAGGTGTTTGGCATTTTCTTATAAAATCAACCCAGCAACACTAACTCGACCAACCTCACTTCAAACTGGTCCCAAGCGTTATTTTTCATTGTGGCTGTGTTTTGTTGTCTTATTCCCCCCCCCCCCCAAAAAAAATAACACCCTTCCACTTTTCACCTCTTCCAACTTAAGTAAAATCTTGCGCCCTCCAGCCAGCTGATATCCTTGGCTTCTGATTGGTCAGTATGCACTGAAAGCGTAACTATGATTGGCCATCTGGATCGCAGGAAGACGCGCAGTGTGGGATTTATAATATTATTAGCAGTTTGTAAGTCGATTACAACATTGTCGAGTACGTAAGTCTTGTAACTTACGAGAAGTTGAATATTTGGAGTATTATTCACAAAATAAACACGGCTGATATTTTTTGGGCATTAAATTTTTATCCAATCAGAACCCAGGTTAAAAAATTTCTGGTTTTCTATTGGTGCTTCATGTTAAGATCCGATAACCGAGGGAGAATCATATATCATGAGCTCTGCCCTCTGTGATCCAATCAGAAAATAGTTCCGAATCAAGCCTCATTATTATTGGTTCATTTCGCTGTTAGGCCAAGTAATCGAAAACAAACAGCGCCTTATCTTCAAAAATGATTCTCTGGGTCTAGAGTGTGTGACGTCCCTGAGAAGAGTTAACATGGAAGCGTTGTACAGCTGTAGTTCATGGAAATTGTAACCGAACGTCATGGGAGATGAGAGATCAGATACGTCAAGTGTGTGGCCCACAGACGAGTTGGACTTTGTAAATGAGTTCCCACAGGAGACACAACACTCGCCTGAAGGTAAGTTTTGGTGGTGGCAGCAGCCTTACACAACCTTAACTTTCTTCTATGATAACTTCTATTCAAGGCGAGAAAGTTATGATTTCTGGCATCCCATTACAGTCTTTGGAAATATAATTTGGTATTCCAAACTTTGTACAGTATGGACTCTTTTGACGTACTCCACCTCCGGGGTCGACACTCGATAAAAAAATTTGGGTAAAATTGGGTTAGGGTCATCTCGTACCCAAGGTAACTCTACCCAACTCACGGGATAAGTCATACCCAAGATTACTTACACCCAATTCAAGAGATAATCCATACCTATTAGTATATATACCATGCATCTTTGCTTTATCTATGATTACAAAAAAGATTGTGTAAATCTTGTAGGAAAGTGTAGTGAAATAGGGAAATCTAATGCTGGCTTTAAAATGGTTGCATCTCATTACTTAAGTATGTTACTCCGTCACACAAACATTGCACTACAAGGACATATTTCACACTATGTGGTTAAGAATAATTTTATTGCAATTTACTGATTTCAGGCTAATAGATTTGGCAGTTTCAATTTATAAACTGGGTGGTATAAACATTTAAAATGATCATACTTCAACAAAATATACAGTAGACATGCATAAAAACTTAACGATATGTGTCACCCTATGTTCACGCTCTTTCTATTTAGAGAGAGCAGACGTATTTACTCTTAATTTGTTAAAGATAAGGTCAAATAAACACTTTTTTAAAACACATTGCTATTCACATATTAAAATCAACCTTGTCCATGTTTCCACTATACAGTATGTAATATATATATATATATATATAAAGAAGAAAACAAGTGGTTATCAGCATATACCAGATCTACACATATATATATATATATATAGTATATATATATATATATATATATATATATATATATATATATATATATATATATATATATATATATATATTTATATATATATATATATATATATATATATATATATTTATATATATATATATATATATATATATATATATATATATATATATATATATATATATTTATATATATATATATATATATATATATATATATATATATATTTATATATATATATATATACAGTAGTACCCCGCTTAACGCGGTCAATAGAACCCACAGGGTACCGTGTTAAGTGAAAACCGCGCTAAGTGAACAACAGAACATATGGGATTAATTCCAATAGAAACTGGCCCGACCCCCAAACTCCACTTTTTGACGACACACAACTATGTTGTAGTAAAAATATTATCATAACTTTATGATGGTATGCACACACAATTAATAATATTAGTTTTTTAACACTTACATTAGTAGAAAAGATGGCTGGGCACACGGGGATGGGGGGTTGGTTCCGAGGCAGAGGGCAGATTATTGGCCCTCACCTGTATCACTTGCATCAATTGTATTACTATCCACCACAGAGGCTTGCAGGGCCTCTTTGTCAAACCCCTCAAAGTCCATATAAGTCCATATCCTCACTATAATTTTCACTATCACTAACTTGGGCCGGCTGTGGTGGGTGGCGGGTGAAGAACTCGGTAATGTTTTGATGACTGGGCGACCTTGTGCGCATCCTGCCCGCGGCGCTTCCCGCGTATATGAGTAGATGCACTGCGGAAAGTGAAAGTTCGGTTCTGGCGAGGGTTGTTATGATTTAAATCAAATGATTTAAATCGATTTAAATCAGAGTAAAAAAAAATCATGATTTAAATCAAAATGATTTTTTTACTAATAACTGTTTTCTCTTTTTATTCTACATGATTGAAAAGTATATGCAATGCAGCAGACTAATAACATTATTTGGATTTACTGAATTATGTACTGAACTATAGTCTGTTCTCTCCAGTTTTGCTAAACTTTGATCATATGATCATATCATAAGGTCTCATTATTAATGTATATATTTACATGAAATATATTGTTAACTAAGATAATAAATACTATTGAAATTCAGAAGAACTGTAGTATTCTCTTCTCCCGGCATTATATATCAGTCAATAAGGAGCAAGGGGCTGTAAATTTTTGCAAAGCTAGAGTGAACAGGCTGTAGGCACTAGGCTATACATATTCAGATATTCTATTTTTATCACTTAGTACCGGTATGTTCTTTTTAAACAATATAAGTATTATTTCTGATCAAAGAAGCATACCTGTAACTGGTTTTGTGATATAAACTACTAAGTCTGAAAAAGTCACTTTGGATCAGCAATTTGCTAATTATATATATGCAACAAATTGACCCTTCCGAACAGTGGAGCACGAAGAGTTTATCAAGATGATTAAAATGCTAAGACCAGGATATGTTCCACCTAATAGACATCAAATTGGAGGGTCTCTTTTGGATCAAGCCTACGATTCAGTGATTAAGAATTATTCAGAAGAACTTAGTGGGAAAACAGTTTGCATGGCCATGGATGGATGGAGTAATGTCCATAATGAGCCTATAATATGTATAACTTTAACAGCGGATAACCGTATTTATCTTGTTGACTCTATAGACACAGAATCAAGACACACAGCTGAATATCTGTTGAAATTAGCTGAATGTGCTACAAAAAAGTGTGAAGACAAATTTGGATGCACAGTAAGATGTGTAACAGATAATGCTGCTAATATGGCAAAAATGAGAAGTGAATTCGGACAAGATAAATCCATTATAACATATGGTTGCTCTGCTCACCTGTTAAATTTGCTTTCACAAGACCTGCAAATCAAGAACATTAAGGAGCACATTACTGAAATCATTAAGTACTTCAGAAATCATCACATCCCAGGATCTTTGTATAGAAGAGCAGAAGGAACAATGCTAGTAATGCCATCAGACACACGATGGAACACAGTGACAGATTCTATTGAATCTTATTTAAAGAACTGGGAGACCCTTGTCAAAGTGTGCAAAGAAAATATTGAAGACATTGATAAGAAAATTGAAAGGAAAGTTAATGATAAGGCATTAAAAAGAACTGCAGAAGACTATTTAGAGAGACTTAAGCCTATTGATGTGGCATTGGACTGTGTCCAGAGAAAACATACCCTATTAAGTGATGCTGTAGAAATCTGGGTAAAACTGAAAACTGATATTAAGGAGTATTTAACAGATAAGAAGGATATGGATAATTTTGAAAAAAGAATCAAAGTAGCATTGACACCTGCCCATTTTCTAGCTAATGTGATAGATCCAAGGTATCAGGGCTTACATCTGACTCCTGAGCAGCGAGACATTGCAGAACAGTATGTGCGCGCGTCTCTTCCACATTCCTTTCAAAATTAATGTCCTTCCATGGAAGAAGTGCACCATTTAAAGAGGTCTATTTTGGTAAAGATGTTGTAAAATCTCTCTCACCCCTTGCTTGGTGGCAGTATTTTGCCAATGATATGACAGAAAATGTAATGGATGGTCCTAGGCAATTATTTACAGCTGTTACATCATCAACAGGGGTTGAGAGAATTTTTTCCACATATGGATTTGTACACTCAAAGGTAAAAAATCGCCCAGGACAGGAAAAGGCATCTAAGCTTGTCACAGTACATACCGGTAAGCATTTCAATGTTCAACTAAGCTAATTAAAATGTTTTGAACTATTTTTGTTGTTTACAGAATGAGAATATTGTGTTGACTTGAAGTTATAACCGGTAATTCTTAATACACTATAATCCTATAAATGTAAGAAAATGAACTTGTTACCAGTATTATTTTTTTTACAAAATGAGAATATTATTCTGTTGACTTGAAGAAGTTAAGTTATTAATTTTTGAAACACTGTAATCCTATAAGAGCATTTATGTTAAATTTCATTATTACCGGTACTTTTGGATTTGTGCACTCAAATGTAAGGTATGTTACCAGTTTTCTTTTATTTTACAAAAAGAATATTATTGTGTTAAATTCCATTGGTACATCTCCTGCATAAATATCTTAATGCCAATTTTCTGTTTATTATCCTGAATAAGCTTTGGTTGAAAAATACCGTTTTTATGGTTTGAAAATACTATTTTATTGCAATTAGTAAAAAAATAAAAAAAAATCGATTCAAATGAAAAAAAATCCGATTTTAATCAAATAAATCGATTTTTTTTTTTATTTAAAAAAAAAATCATGATTTTTTCCAACCCTGTATAATATACCTGTGTGTGTGTATATATATATATATATATATATATATATATATATATATATATATATATATATATATATATATATATATATATATATATATATATATATATATATATATATATATATATACCGTACTTCACCTTACACTCACCCATGAAGATATGAATTCTTGGGAACTTCAGTTATCAGCATACACCTAGGCCCCGACTTACGACGGGGTTAGGGACCCAAATCCAGGTCGTAAGTCCGACATGGTCGTAAGTCCGACATAGATAAAAAAAAATCTACAATGAAATACAGTACAGTAAAAGTAATGAATAATGATGAATGGATACAGTACAGTGAAAGTAATAAATAATAGGAATGGATACAGTGTGACTGAGCACTTAACCTTTAATGTAGTCAGCTGAATGCACATGGGGCCCCCATAATTTTCTAATTATACATGGAGACTACATTAACTGGAAACGTTTCGGTATAGAAAATGCGTGTGTCATTTGAAAAAAAAAAAAAAAAAAATTAATAAAAAATCTACGGCGGTCGTAAGTCCCGACGGTCGTAAGTTGTAGCAGTCGTAAGTCGGGGTCTAGCTGTATACTGTACTGTCTCGTAAATTGGGTACGAGTTGACATGTTCTGATGGATACGAGTTGTCCAGCACCCGGTAAAACTGCAGATTACAGCAACCAAAGAATCTGATAAAAAAAATATTTTACCTAACCTAACCTAACTTAACCTAATGTAATATAAGAAAATGATATAGAAAAAATAGTTCTATCGATTGAGTGTAGTGAATTTTCGGAATTCTGTGGTTGCTGTTTACTGCAATATTACCGAAAATAGTTGTTTAGGTTAATTTATAGTAAGGTAAAGGACACAATTCAATATTGTTTTTTGATATTGTTAATGATAAGTTCAGACAAAAACAAGGCACTTTTCATCTGTGACAGTTTGGGCGCATTTTACTCATAACAGAAATATCGGGAGTTGAAAATCAGAAAACTACTAAAATATCTATTTGTACTGTACAGTACTGTATTGCATTTTTTGCCTCCAAACCAGGTTAGGAAGTTAAGTATGGTTTGGTTGGTGCTGTCAACCACGTAATGGTACTCCAAACAGGAAAGCACCTCACTTTTGAAGAGCGTTATGAGGGACGGTCCCTCAGGTATCTGAATGACCCCAGTTAGGAAGTTACAGGTAGGTAAGGAAAGATACCGTTAGGTTTGGTTATTAAGGATAATAAATTTAGGTCAATTTGTAGGTTCAACCAACCACAACTCTCGAGTTGAGCAATGTGTTTTTCCGATGGTTTAGACAATTTTGAGACACTTTTCATCTATGGTGTTTCCCTCGCAAATGACCTAAAATTGCCTCTCCTAACCAGGGGGCTGTGCCCCCTGGATCCCCTGGTATATTTAAGTCACAGATGCATGTCAGCAACCATTCAGATGCTTCTGAGCAACCTTTCCATACCCTGCTGAACCTACCGAACATAACCAAACCTACAAAAATAACAGAATTCCATCCTAGGATAGGTAACATTGATTGGTTGATTGGTAATACTGTACTGGAAGACATTTGTGCACATTACCCAGCAACTTGAAGAAATTTGGATTTAAACAAAATAAATGCTTTCTTACTCCATGAACATATAGTGGTCCCTCGGTTAACGAACACAATTCATTCCACAGAGTCGTTCGTTAACCTAAAATTTTGTTAACCGACTCCATTATTTCAATGGGATATTGGGCAATTGGTTCCAGCTCACAGAAAAGTACATGCAAAGTATAAACAAAATGCAGTAAAGTACACTTACTTTGAGGTGTGTATGTAGAAGGTTGCTGGTTGATGATGATGATGGGAATTAGAAGTGGGGGGGTGGAGGAGAAGAGAAGGAGTGGGGGTGGAGGAGAAGGGAGAAGAGAAGCATTTTAATGCTTATTGGAAGCAATAATTGTAGACACAGTTGATGCCGACATGCCATATTCTTTACTCAGTACATTGGTTCTAATGCCTTCTTCATGTTTCTTAATAATTTCCTGTTTCACTTGAATTGAAATAGCCTTTCTAGATTTTTTTTGGACCCATGCTTGATGCTGTACAGTAATTTCACCAATAAAATTTTAAGTTCACTAGCTGTAAAGATTATTTTATTTAAATCTACACTGTACTGCACTATTTTTATCAATATGTTAACTAAATTTCAGAATGACCAATAATTTTAATGTAAAAACGTAAAAATACTCTGTATTCATGAGAGCGACAAACACGATGTTTCCTCCACTATAAACAAAGTTAAAGTGATGCTTTGGCGGGTGAGTCAAGCGGCTGATGGGCGCACAAAAAACTAGTTCCCTGTACTGCTTATATTATCAATATGTGAACCTAATTTTAAAATGACTAATAATTTTAATATAAAAAATGAAAAAAATATTAAAGAGCACAACCTTCCTGATATTTACTTCATTGGAAACGAATGTAAACATAGAACCGATTACTGTATTGGCGGACTAGCCGATCAGCTGATGCTCACAACAAAACGTATTTGTCGTAAGGATTTCGTTAATCAAAGTTTTGTTTGTTAACCGAATTGAAGATCCTTATGGGAGCTAATTCGTTAACCGAAATTTAATTAATCAAACTGTTCGTTAACCGAGGGACCACTGTACTAAAATTGAGAAAGAATTATTTTTTCTTAATATTTTTAAATATTTCTTCATCCATAACATAATGGACGAGTTGTCGGTTCTGTGTAAACACAAGAACTATACTCTGCCACGTTCGTAGAGTGATATGGTATATATAATTTGTAATAAAGGTTTAAAGTCCTGCTGTAATAGTCGAGATAAGAAACAGAGCCGCCATTTGTTATGACGTCACTAGTTTCCCCGCAGATTATGTTCAACAAATTCACCACTACAGTCAGAGGTAGTACAAAGGATGGCCTCTTCAGACCCCAAACTTCCACATTCAGGTAAGGTTTAAGGGTGTTTTTTAATGGTCTAAGTCATGGAAATTTCATAAGTGAAGAAATGTGCCGTGAAGAGCAGCTTATGGACAAAAAACCTCCCATGTTCACACCAGCTCAGTGGTCATGTATACTTAACTGGTAAACTTCCTCTTTTTATTTCCCAGTGAATTTACCGAGTATATCAGTACTAGATGGAGATATGAGTCAATTTAGAAGAAATGGCATTTTCTGGACTTTGTTTTAAGAATGCATTTGGATATATCATCATTTATATTAATTAATGGGTAAAATTTTACATTAATTACCATATGTTTTGGTTATCCCTGTACTTAGACATGCAGACTATGTTTTGTTTTTTTTATGGTTTGCGATGTGTTAGTAACAATTTTGACTTTCATTTCTAACGAAAATCATTAGTTTTGAGTTATTAACCCCCCCCTTACTGGTGTTAGTTAAGCTAACCTTATAACTTATAATATAACTCATCATACCCTAACCTAACGTAATCTAACGTATGACCTGTATTTTCTTATGCGATCGAAAAATGTTTTGCTACAGAAATCCCTTAGAGATAATGTATCTTATTGTTTAAAGTACTTATTCCCATAGTTAGAATCTTAAGGTTCCCCAGATGACCAAAATCATACCAATATTGTTTGGAATTTGTAGGATGGGCAGCTACTATCCATTGAATTAGTTAATGTGCTTAGTAATATTTATATACTCAAAATAGTAATATTGTGTTGCACAGTAAAGCACAATTAATTATCTAATAATATTTATTTACAGAGCCGATCAGCCGGGAAGGTTGGACAACTACCTCCAGGGTTCATCAAGGCAGATGAAAGAAATTTACCAAAAGTAGATGTCTTTATGATTGTAGAGTATTGTCAAGAACTCCGCCATCCAGTTATGAAGAACGTTAAATTACATCTGTCTTCTGATCATCTCAAGCCCATCCCCTGGCCATGGTCATCCCTAGTCCTTCCACAACATTAAATATAGACATCAGTGATGCAAACTTACATTTTCCAGACATGAAATAGAGAACAGTGATGAAAACTTCCATGTTGGAGTTATCGGTCTTTTGCATCATTTTGGCAGCCAGCAAGTAAATACACACGATGATACTTGAGCAGTAATTTATTTTTACCTAAAAATAAGGTATGCCTGTGTATATCAACATTGTATATGGCCACAAATCCTGTATTTCTGCTGGTAGCAACACGTACACCACAGCTGGCTGCCTCCAGGCTCCTGCTCGGCGGCTCGAGCCAACCTGTGACGTCACAGCCAATCACAGAGCTTTTCGCAGTCACGGGACTTTTTAGCTACTTTAACCCTTATTTTTTTACACTTTTTGGCCCAATTTATTTTAAAATATCATTTCCATAGTGACTTTAAGCGTTTTCTTTACCCATTGACCTGCCATCTTACGAAAAAAATCCGATGAACTACTCGTCCAAACATGGCCAAGCACAACAACACATTAGCCCTCACTGTTCACATCTGGGAAACCTTGATGATTTGCTTCATAGCAGGGCTGGACAACTCATACTCCAGCAAATCGTACCCATCAGAGCATGTCAAGTCGTACCCAATTTCAAGATGACTCGTACCCAATTTACGAGACAGTTCGTACCCATATACTGTGTGTGTGTGTGTGTGTGTGTATATATATATATATATATATATATATATATATATATATATATATATATATATATATATATATATATATATATATATATATATATATATATATATATATTATAAAGAAATTTTGCTGGCTTGAATTAGATCTGTACTGTACTTTAGACAATTTGTAGAGAAGAAAAGTTCTTTCTCTTGTCAAGATTATCCCAAGTTCACCCCATAACTTTTTTTTTTATGAACATTACCAACACCACTTGTACCTTCAGAATTTCACCATACAGTACTGTACTGTACTTTGTTAAAGGAAAGTTGTTTTAGTAAACTTCAGTTTTAGGTATGGATGCCTGTTACAGTATCATGTACAGTCTTTACAACTGAATACAGTACTTACAAAAATCTCATTGTTCAGTGTATAGGATACTTCTTGCTATGGAGGATGGTCCTATGGGAACTTAAGAAGAATAAGGAAAATTTAAAATGATCAGTAAAACTTAACTTTATTCCTGTGCCATGTAGGTCACTGCCTCTGCTGCTATGTGGCTTAACTGAATCAAAACAGTCACTGAAACTACTATGTGTTTGATTGTAGCAGAAATGAACCACTGTGCATGGCTGGCAGGTAATCTTTGATTACCTCATGGAACAACTAAGAAAGTGCAAGGAAATCCTACATATAGATACTGTAATGCCCACTCTGTAAAAGTCAGTTGGTAATGGGAAGGGTATTCAGCCATGAAGCCTTAAATTTATTTGATGGCAAATGGGACTCCATGCCATCAGGTAATCACAGCAAACCCACACAAGTGTGGAAAATGGCTGTAAAACCGTTGAGTTAATGTTGAGTGTTTTGAAACTTCGGTCCAAAGTGGATGGTTTTATTTGCTGGAGTTGTCAGTGGTTCATTCCTACTGAAACCAACCTTTTTCAGTGATGGCTTGTTTTGATTCACCGCTTGATCAGTGTAGCAGTGAAAGCAGTGATATACAATACTTGCTGAGAGGCTAGAGGTAAGTTAGTAGATTATTTTAATATAAGATTATATTTTTGTATTTTATATAAATCATTATCTTTAGCAAAAAGAACTATTCAGAAGGGAATGAGGTTTGTGTAAATGATAAAAGTGATAAAGTCATACAAGTCTAAACTTAGACTATTGTCAGATTAGATTAGATATTTATGAGTAAAATTTTCACGAAGTTTATACTCGTATTGGTTCATGTACAGTCGCTCAAAAAACATGAAGTGAACACTGCGACTCCTGTTGTCTCGGTAGGGTTATAAAAATCCTTCATCTGTTGTCATATTGTCTAACATATTTTTTGTAAAAATAGTTCTATGAGTGACTGTACAGAGATAGTGAGAGATACAGTGCATACTGCAAGCAGTGTTCTGTATAGGTACAAAGACAGTACAGTACTGATAGCTGTAATAAAAATGGTAAAACGTAAGTCAATTTGATCAAGGTTTTCCCAAGAAAGTCTATTTGTATTTCTAATGGGGTTGTTGCCAGGAGTTAGAGTGTCTAATCAAATAACAATGAATCTATGAAAAATAAGCAGAAAAATTTGTGTCTATGAATGTATCAAGCACAACGTTGCACTTGCAGACTATTGAGACTGAGACTGTTGGGTCTTTTCCACAATATTAGAATACATATATGGATCAATAGACAGAGTACTGTAATACTGTTCCTGTTCTATATAAAGAAAATCACTATCATATCTTGCTGTAGGTTCTTTGGTTATGGAATGTTTATTTCTAATTTTCAATTGTGTGATACAATTACAGGGATATACTGTCAGATCCCACTCAATGTGAGGGTTATGTTCTTGACTGAACTCGTGTCATGGTTGAGTTTTTAAGACTAAATCTTTTGGCTAAAGGTAGGAGGGTTATCATAAGATAGTGTTTATATCCAGTAGAAACATACTTGTTCCGGATTTTTCTGGTAGTGATATTGTTAATAATACCCTATGAATTTTATTTGCAGATAGAGCAGTTGCCAAGGAGAGGGAAGAGGCAGTATCAGCAGCAGTGTCTGTTGTAGTGGCCAGTGCTAGGCATGGTGTAATAGCCTTGTGTGCTAGTGTGGCTCACATCATCAGAGAGAAGATGAGGTAAGTGCTGTATTTGGTTTGGTAATTTGCACAGAAATCATACAGTACTGTACTTGTTTTTGCACTACTGATATTTTAGACAATCATAATGATATAAAAGAAATGGTCAGCATTTTTAAGGTAGCTGGTGTATCGCTTGTGAAGAATGATGGTGTGACATGTGGAACTGTTTTACACTTTAATTTATGGTGCCTGTATTGTTATCAAATTAGTCTGGCAATGCTGACATCCAGAATTAATTTATTTTACCCAAACTAGCCAGAATAAAGGGTGATAGGAAAGTGTGCATACCAAGAGACATTCTTTAAAAACTCCCAAGAACTTCACTAACCTAACCTAACATTGAATAATGATAAGTAGAGAGAGAGCCTCTGTGAAAGAGACGCACAATTTAGTGCTGCTCCAGTAAAGTTTGTCCACTTAGGTTCTTGCCATAGGAATGCAACTAGCTATCTGGATGGGGGAAGTGAAAGGTTACATGAGAGAAGAGTGACAGTCTTGTGTGAGAAAATGAAGAGGCTAGTGAGATGTTATTTTCACATGGAATTAAACATTAGAAATATTATAATGATAGATGGATTCATAAAATAGTACATTGGCATTTAACATCTTACTTCTTTTTCTGGTATGAATTTTACTTTCATACTAAACTAACATATTCTGAGTAGATACAGTCTATTACATCTCTATTCACAGACTGCAGCAAAATGTGGTAGACTTGGAGAAGAAATTAGCAGCGTTGGAGAAGAACAGCACCACCAATGTGTCGGTTACATGTCCCTGTACCTCTCCTGGACAGGTTGCAGATTCTCACAGTTTACTTGAATCTCCCACATCCCAGAGATGTGGGTCAGCCCCTCCAAGCTTTATTACAAGTTCACTGAAGTTTTCCAAGGGTGGTAGTCAAAATGTAACTGGATCTTACCAGATTAGTGATCAAAGAAGTGTAGTTGTGGTGGATAAATGTAATAGTTGCCAGCTATTGCAACACCCAGAAAGAAGAACATCTACTGCCACCAATCCTGACAATTACTTACATCCTGCACAAAAAAATGGTGAAACGAAAACTCCATTTCAACGAGGTCAGAGTTATTCCTCAACTCGTAGCCTCAATATTGGTCGAAGTCCTCCCTCCTCAAGTTTCATGCGGAAAAAATATAATTCCATCAGTTTACGGCGAGTACGACACTCAAGCATAAGTAAACAGGTATGGTAACTTTGTCCTTGACTTAAGCTTTTGTTAATTTTTATGATAATAAGCAATGGGGGATTCTGGTATTTTAAAATGTTTTCCCTGAATTTTTTTATTTAATTTTCTATGTCTGATGTGGCTGAGGAGCAGGTCAGTTCTTGCATTGCAGAGAGAATAAAGAATAGCACCAGTGGCAGTATGACTCTTGACAGCAGAAAGCTTTTACTTGATAGATAAAACCAAACAAACTTAGTCTTGTCTTTATTTCTTAAGTGTTCCAATGAAGCAATATGAAAAAAGTCTGACACAGCCAGACATGACATGCATGGGGACAATTAGATACTGTATTCTCAAATTTATAACGGTTTTATGTTTTCTAGAAGTACAGTTCATGTATTATGGTATATTGCTTGTTCAGTGTATCATTATCATTTTTGTTACCATTTTACAGCTGTGATTACCTGATGGCAGCTCTCCATGCTACCCGGTCTCTTGCAGCCTCTTTCATCAGGTTTTCATCTCAGATAACTTCTTACAACCTTCGTCATATCATTCATGGCCTACCTCTGGCTCTAAGGCCTTCCCTCCACATTCAATCTTATGCATCTCTTGACCCAGTTGGTTTCCTTAAATCTCTCCATATGCCAATACCAACTCAGCCTACCTCTATGCTAAACCTCACCAAAACCTTCGATACCCAGCTACCTCTTTTTCTCACTGTGAAAGGCCTTGCTAATTTTTAAAATGTCCCTGTAGTGTGGAGTAATTCAAACCCCTCCTTTTTTTTTTTTTATTTATTTATCTTATTTTTTTATTAATGGGATTGGTTTATTCCAAACATCAGGGTGCTTTACCAGGGACATGGAGCAGCAGTAACAGTCATAGGAGCAGTGCTAACAGTCTAGAGTGTCGAGGATCCACAAGCAGGGCTAGCAGCAAGTCCTGTATTGTTACAGTTGCTGAGGTTTACCCACCACCACCAAACCTCACTGCTCTAAATACAGGTGCCACATAAGATGTTTTTTTCAGCTGTTATCACTATACTATGCCTTTTTAGTGTACCATACATCGAGCTAATAATATTAATTATTTTAAGAGATGCATGTGTTTTATGCAGATAGGAGGGGATAATTTGTAATTGAAGCCCTCGGTAAAGTACGAAACTAAAGAAGATGCTAGTGGTCGTCAGAACTAGAGAATAACAATAAAATAGCCAAAATACTGTGTAGTAGAGTACTGTATTGAGAATAATGCTCTACTCTGAAAAAGAAAGTTTGATTGCTTATCACATAGTTCTTTTTTATGCCTCTTTTATAAATTAGAAGGGATGAGTGAAAATTAATCTGAGTTATTTCAGTGATAATGACTTTTGTGGAGGATAAAAAAAAATTTTTATAAAAAAGAAAGTAAGTGTACAGGTTAACCCTCTCTTATCTGGCCTTTCATCAACTGGCATTTCCCAATTAACAGAACTTTTAGAAAAAAAACATCTGGCTAACCTCCCAGTTAATAGCACATTCAACTGCCATGTACTTAGCCACTTGGCTTTATGTGTTCTTGTTGTTCCTGGCCCAGAATTTGTAGACAGTACATACTTCAGTTCTTCCAAGAGGAAGAGATACACTGACTATAATTGAAAACGTAGAGCTACTGAAAAAGCTGGCTCACAGAGTTTCAGTTTTTAAGATTTGAAAAATGTACCATGTTGATTTATCTATTGTACAGTGTACAACTTCAAAAAAACAGGAAGGGAAACTTCTTGCTTTTTTTGGCCAAAAATTTTGTTTTGAGAACTGTATTTGCGGGTGTCTCCTCCCCCCACCCCCTCAAAAAATCCCTTAAAATCGCCCTCTTTTTGATACAAAGGTGCTGGTGGCTGTCCCTTCTAGATTCCTAGATACCAGAGTTGAGGATTCTCAATTCTTTGCCTCCAGGATAGGATCTTAAAGAGGATACTTCCCAAGGAAAAGGAGCCACTGATGTGGACTGTCCGAACAGCTGGATTCTGACTCGTATGTGTGTGTGGAGGTGGTGTACTTGTATACAGTGACCCCTCGTTTAACGAACACCTCGGTTAACGTAATTTTGATTAACGAACTGCCTTCCATAAGGATCTTCAATTCGGTTAACGAAGTTCTTACGAACCGACCTCAACATGTTTTCGCTTGCACTGACCGGGCAACCAGCTTTAGTATCAGTCCGCCAATACATTAATCGGTTCTAGGGCTTAAATTCCTTACTATTTTAGTAAATATCAAGAAGTTTATACTATTCAATAATTTTAAAAGTTTAATATTCAATTTTTTAGTCATTTTAACAATTATTGAACATAATTGAAGGTAAAGTGACTAGTTTAATGCGCGGCATCCAGCCTCTTAACACAGCAAACAGGAGTTAGTCTTTCTCTGTTTTCACTGGAGGTAACATCTTGCTTGAGACTCTCTTCAACTAAATGCTTTTTTTCTGTGTTTCCAAGCAAATTATTGGTCATTTTGAAATATATTTTACATATTGACAATATATAATGCAGTGCAGTGTTGATTTAAAGAAAATAATCTTGAATTACACCAAAAGAGCTAAAATTTTATGGGTGAAATGGCGCCATGGGGTGACTTCTCTTCCACCCCAATGCCTTCTCTTCTTCCTTCTCCTCCACCCCCATTCTAAATCCCATCATCATCATTATCATCCAGGAGCCTTCTACATACACACCTCAAAGTAAATGAACTTTTCTACCATTTTTGTTGAATTTAGGAAATTTTCGGTGAGCTGGAACCAATTACCCAAAAACCCATTGAAACAATGGTTTCGGTTAACGAACTTTTCGGTTAACGAACGACCTTCTGGAACGGATTGAGTTCGTTAACGGAGGGGTCACTGTGAGGGGCAGGTGGAGTGTGTGTGTGTGGGGAGAGGAGAGGAGAGGAGAGGAGATGTGTGTGTGTGTATGTATCTATCCTATACAGTGTTTTTATTTTATTGTATGTATATCACCTCAACTGTTCTACATTGTACACATAATAGTTACATAGAAAAAACACAAAACATCTCATAATAACTTTATTGCATCTTTAATTACTTTATGAACATAAATGTATTTAGTCATTTAGTATCGTCAAATGGTTGTTGGTTGGTTGTGCACGACTAACAACAGCCAGTTCGCCATTCTGGCCAATGGAGGTTCCAAGTAGAGAAGTACGTACATTACTATTGTACACTATATATTTTTCTGTACTTGTCTAAAGCTGTTTGTCCTATACACTAGGCCATATAAATCCTATAAATTAAACTTAAGATACATAAATGTATTTTGCATATTGATACCATTTAATATTATGTGCTTGGTATTCACTGTATTGTGAAATTGGTTCATACTACTGTTTTATACTGAATTTTTTTAGAGCTTGTTGAACAATTAGCAATTCTTTACAGAGAGTGATGCTGTAAGATTACTTGCACGAAAACTGACAAATGTCATACAAGAAAATGAAGCTCAACTGGAGGATAATCTTACTGAATCACCCGCCTGTGACCCTAACATCAGTGATGTCATGATGCAGCAAATTTCAACTCAGGAGGTATTTAGGTCATTGTACAGTTAACTTGTTTACCAAAAACTTTAAGAGGTAAGTGGTGAATACAATACAGTAGTTACTTGGAGGTTCTTCCACACTTAATCCCTTTATGTCCATGTATTACCACATCAGTCTTTATACAGTAATCATTTTTAAGTTTGGAAAACTCATTACATGCCCACTGTGTCCCTCAATAAAAATAAAAATATTGCAGTTTCTTGAAGACTGTGAACACTAAAATAATGATTACAATCTTAAAATATATATATATATATATATATATATATATATATATATATATATATATATATATATATATATATATATATATATATATATATATATATATATATATATATATATATATATATTTTTTTTTTTTATAATAATATTATATTTATATATATATATATATATATATATATATACAGTCGACCCTCGTTAAAATGGACTAATAGGGGGGGAAGGGTGTCCGTTTTAGCCGATTGTCCGAATTAACCGATTTAGGGGTTAATATTGCATTATACAGCTATGTGTATGTTTATTTGAGTGCCCCGTCATAGGAGTCCGTTTTCTCTCACTTCAGCACTCCTGAGTCGTCCGTTTTCTCTTAATCTTAGAGTGCACCAGAGACTGTTATATCTTAGTAGTGACACAGAATTTGATATTGCAACCCCAATTGCAACTGGGACAATACCAGAACCAGAAATTTGATATGGACAGTTCAGATTTCTTCCGATTTATCCGAAATCCGGATTAAAGGGGTCCGAATTAACGAGGGTCGACTCTATATATATACACTCGTGTATAGTTCAAGTTTTTAAGACCAAATTTTTAGGCAAAAAATTGGGGGTCGTCCTATACATGCGTAATAGTTTTGTTAGGTTGAACCCGTGCATGATGGGAAGGGCGAGTAGCAACTTTAAGCTTCAGACATGAAAAATATTTACCATTTACTGCCAGTAAACAATGGAAATGTAAAATATGTACCAATTAGTAATGAAAAGTTGTGCAGTTCCTTCAGCAAATGAAGCTCACCAACTTACAATAGGCTAAATTACCTTACAACGTGCTTTCAGTAGTCTGTGTTGAAGTTCTTAGCACAGGCTAACTTATCTTATCATATACGGTATCACATTTCTCATTGATCTACAAAAATACCGGTAATAAAAACCTTTTCTATATTTCACACTTAATATAATACCCAGTAATCCACTTCAACCTCCTATTGTTTACAACGACGCATCACGCACCACCAGCTGTTGAGTGTATCAGCTAGACGGTACACGTGTTTTTCGAATCGTTTTCAGTTAAAAAACTGTTACATCACATGTATATTTTACCTTAACTGTGCCTGAATGAATATATTCTCGGAAATAAATAGTAGTTTTGCTGAAACGTGATGTATTTTAATGTAAAATAGGATAAAATACATGACGAAAACAAAAGATTTTACCTAACCTTCCGATGTTCAAGAGAAGTTACTCGTTTTTTTAATAGTTTTTGGTTAAAATATTGTTATATTACAATGGTATTCTATTCATACTGTGCTTGATATAATGCATTCACGGAAATGTAATATTTTTGCTGAAATGACGTACATATTACAGTGGAAAGTGGGATAAAATCGTGACGAAAACAATGACTTTCGCTTTCTTTCGTTCAAAAGATGTTACCGTAATCGCTTTTCGAATGGTTTTCAGTTAAAAAAACTGTTGTATTACAATAATATTCTATCCTACCGTAATTGACTTGAATAAATACTACGATACCATATTTCGGAATATTTAAATTAAAATCCATCAAAATCATTTTCCTTGTCATCGTCTGCAGCACCAAACAGCTTCTCCCAGTCCTCTCCTTGATCAGGGCTAGAGGCTACGTGTTTTTCTAATCGTTTTCAGTTAAAAAACTATTACATCACACGTATATTTTACCTAAACTGCGCCTGAATGAATATATTCTCGGAAATAAATAGTAGTTTTGTTGAAACGTGATGTATTTCAATGTAAAATAGGATAAAATACATGACGAAAACAAAAGACTTTACCTAAGCTTCCGATGTTCTTGAGATGTTACTCGGTTTTTAATAGTTTTCGGTTAAAATTCGGTTATATTACAATGATATTCTATTCATTACAATGATATTCTATTCATACTGTGCTTGATATAATGCATTCACGGAAATGTAATATTTTTGCTGAAATTACATACGTATTACAGTGGAAAGTGGGATAAAATCGTGACGAATATAATGACTTTCGCTTTCTTTCGTTCAAAAGATGTTACCGTAATCGCTTTTTGAATGGTTTAGTTAAAAAACTGTTGTATTACAATAATATTCCCTCCTAATTGACTTGAATAAATACTTGAATGGAAATATACAATATTTTTGTTGAAACTACCCACGTTTCAGTGTAAAGTGGTGTAAAGTGTCGTGTCGTAATAATAAATGGTAAACAATTTGCCTTCCGCACTCGGTGTTTCGGGCACGGTGAGCCTCAGTTTATAGGACGTAGAGCGTTTTTACTGAAGGTTTTGTTGTTCCATTACCCTCAAAAACGTGGGTCGACCTATAAACTAGGAATATCATAAATTAACGATTTCTTGGTCAAGAAATCAGGGTCGACCTATAAACGAGGGGGGTTATAGATGAGTATATATATATATATATATATATATATATATATATATATATATATATATATATATATATATATATATATATATATATATATATATATATATATATATATATATATATATAGAAGTCGTGTTTTATTTAATGATATATATATATATATATATATATATATATATATATATATATATATATATATATATATATATATATATATATATATATATATATATATATATATATATATATATATACAGTGGGGTATGCTATAACGAATCTAATTGGTTCTAGAACCTTGTTCGTTATAGCATTCGTTCGTTATAGGATTAATCCGTTCCAGGCCCCCAAATACAACCACTTAACACTGAAAAATATAATATAAAATTGTAAAAAAGTGCATAAATATGCATCTAAACCCCTGAAATAAAGAATATCATTAATATTTGTAATAAAAAAACAATAAATTAGAAAAAAAAAAAAATTAAATAATGTTCGTTGTAGGAGTTTCGTTCGTTATAGCATTCTCAATTTTATAGGTAAAACCGTTCGTTATAGGAATATTCGTAGTAGGATCCGTTCGTTATAGCATACCCCATTTTTTTTTTTTTTTTTTAAGGGGATTAGCCCACCTGGGCACAGGTCACTGACCCACATCGGGGCCTGGGGGGCGAAAATTTAATAATAATAATAGTAATTCATAGTAAATAAAATTTATAATAAAAAGTAAAATAAAATAATAATAACAATAATAATAATAATAATAATAACATCACTGTAATAATGATGATAAAAAAAAAATAATAATAATCAATAGTTAGAAATGCTATATGTACAGTATGTTGTCTTGTCAATAGTAAGAGAAACAATTGAGACTCTGCAATTGTGTGTAAATGAGGCAGAAAGACAGATCAGCAACCTGGGACTTGGTCACAATATTCGTGATGCCATATGGCAGCAGGGTCTACCATTAGACAACACATTATGTTTCCAATATCTTCCCAGGCGGTAGTACCTCCCTGTTCGATAGCTGCCTACTACCTACTACCTATGTGTATTTGTCTTGTTTTAAGTTTAATACTAAAAAAAATGTGTAATCAACAGCAGCTGTGCGCCCCACATCCTTTGGCAGGCTGTGAGTGTGTTGTGTGTACACATCTGGCAGCTGACCCACACTCTCAGCTGTACATCCTTACAACAAAGTAAGCTTTTTTATAAATTTTATTTATTACATCACCGTACTAACTAAAGAACTTTTATCTAAATAATTATGTATATGAGACATCATCAGTAATAGAATGAAGAAGTGTAAGATGTTAACTGGCCTTGTATTTTAATTCCAATAATAAAATATAGGTATTTGACAGTAAGATTAGTTTGTATCATCAGACCAATTAATTATTATATTTTTCAATTTCATAATGACAACCATCTCTTATTTATCCACAGTGAAGGATCGTTACTTCCACAAGGTAGCAAGGTTCTGGTTCAGGGAGATCGCATAGGTACTGTCATGTACTTTGGACACAATAAATATTCATCAGTAATTTCATGCCTCCCTCGGCATCATCTGAAGGCATCAGCTTCCACCAGCACTACTCAAGCAGCTATCACTGAAGCTTCAGTTGAGTCTTCTAAAATGATCAGTGATGAAACAGATGGTGTTGTTAGTGTTGATAGTACAAGTCCTATTGGAGTAACCATCACATTGTGGCCACCAGGTGCGTTAGGTTTCCATTTATGTTTCACTACAAATCTAAGAGCAGTTAGAAGCTAATTTTTCAGTTACGGTAAAACCTTTCTAAATCGGACTACAGTATATGAGGGCGAGGCTGTCCGACTTCTCTAGAATTCTAACTTACGTGTAACCTCCCTCTACTTGTAGGTGTTTTCAACCATCATTTTCCTGAAAAATCCCTTCAAAAAAAAACAAGATTAAAGTTAACAGCACACATTTACATAGCACTTACTGTTATTGTAATAGATAAATCTTGAGGTGGAGAATGATGGGAGGCTGCTTACACTTACAATACAGTACTTATAATCACACTTATATGTAATTACACTTTATATTTAGTTACACTTATATTTGGTTCCACTTACGATATATCTAGTATGCATTTAAATCTGACTGATGTCATAGAAAGGATTCAGCTTCAGCATCAATTGTCTCATATCTTCAGTTGTTCTTCAATTGGCAGAGTTCTGAGCACCATATCTTTTCTTCTAGTGGTCTTCAATGGTGATGATATGTCTCTACAGTAAAATTCCTATAATTCATACCCCTCAAATTCTAAATCACTCATAAATCATAATGTCTTAATGTTACCAAATATATACAGTAGTATTACAAATTTCATAATATTTGGTAAAATTTTGAAATATGAAACATTTCAAAATAGATAACCAAAAAATACTGTTGTTTTGGGGAGTTTGTTCCCTCGGGAGAAGGTTTCCCTCATCTTCTATAAAATCACATAATTCATAAGAGGTAGAGCCCCCCTATTACTTCATATTATGGTGGTTTTACTGTGCTTGCTGTAGAGATAAAACAGAAAATAATAATAATAAAAAACAGTGCACACCAGAGCAGTGGTCACAACAACAAACATGTAGGAACTGACTCCTCTTCCAACTGTCACCCCTTACAATCCCCCTAAGCCAGAGCTCATCCGACTTACAGAAGTCCGACTTAGTGGGTTCTTACTGTATACTGTAATTACGATAATCGAGGTAACGTGTAGGAATTGGTTTGAATGTACCTGTAATTGTAGGATGTGCAGCAATTCAATTGGTGGATAGAACCAGAATCAGGAATATATGACAAGATTGTGCAAACTTCACCTGACTCAAAGCTCGGGTCTACCAAGCTATACTACCCCGCTCCACTTTCAACTAATCAGAGTGAAGTAACTTTACCAAGCCTCACACCAAACTGAAAAACCCACTTATAATAAACTTAATTGAGTGAATTGTATAAATGAAGGCCTTCATATTATTGGAATGCTTCAAAACTAATTCACTTTGCTTGAAAGTCACTTCATTTGTGAGATTTTTATCTTCAAAAGAACCTCCACTGTGATTCACAGTCCCACTCCTTACATTTATTTATCTATCGCCTGATTTATTCCCAGAGCTTTGCACTCACCTCAGTCACTCATCATGCATCTTTCAAAGGAGCACTTCACATTCCATATTTTTGCTCATTAATGTGTTTCCTCATCAAGTCTTTGTATTCTGCTCTTCTAAAGCATAGAAATGTGCTGGCTGAAAGGTATATTTAAACCTACTCTTGATGTATTGGAGTGAAATGATGCATATGTGGAAGTAAACTGACAGGAATAATGACTTTGTCAAGAGTTAGTTGTAGAGTGAAAAGAGTGGAGAGCATGAGGTGATAATATATACAGTAAACACTCTTGAGTACCGGACACCTAAGTAACAACACAAATCATGGGAAAAATTGCAAATATTAAAAAATGTAATGAAATATCATGGGATCTTGCGGGTCATTGTTATTGTTGTGGAGTGACTAGGCTGAGACCACATGGTCCCACCAGCACAGCACAGCCCAGCCCACATCCACCTATAGTTTGACCCTAACTTTTGAAAAATACTTGGTATAATCCTAGACATACTTTGTAGCAAGACAACACCGAGTCTTACCCATGACCACCCACAACAGCTGACACTATGAACAGTGATACCATGTCTGAAACTGAATTCCTTCCAGTTACCAACACTTATGAGAAATACGTAACATAAAATCATATACTGTACCAATACAGTGGTCCCTCGGTTAACGAACACAATTCGTTTAACAGTCGTTCGTTAACCGAATCCATTGTTTCAATAGGATATTGGGTAATTGGTTCCAGCTCACAGAAAAGTACATACAAAGTAAAAAAAAAAAAAATGCAGTAATGTACACTTACTTTGAGGTGTGTATGTAGAAGGTTCCTGGTTGATGATGATGATGGGAATTAAAAGTGGGGATGGAGGAGAAATCACCTTTCAGGGGACCCATGCTTGATGCAGTAATTTCACCAATAAAATTTTAAAAGTTCACTAGGTGTCAAATTAAACATGGTTATTGAAGTACATTTATTTTTCAGATCAAGGGGAGGTATTTGTTCCTCTATGTGATGTTATTTGCCAGTTGGATGATGAAGTGGACATACAAAGTAAAGATCATCTTCTTGGTCTTGACTTAGAATATGTAGATGATGACATGAACACAGAAGAAGTTAGACCACCTGTCCCATCTGGCACTCACATTTATCCTATAGAGACAGTGAATGAGAAACTTGTTCAGACACCAGATATGGGGGACTCGGGCATCCCTGCACCCCCCAAAATGTATGCTGGTGTTCGGGCATTGAGGAATGGAGCAGATGTACCAGAATGGAAGAACGATAATGAGGAAGCCTTCGTTCGAAGCCTTAGCATTTCATCATATAACTCTGATAGTGTTCACAGATTTGGGGATTTATCACACAGTGATGAAGAGGGTGGAGTTGAGGACCTTACTGCTTGTGGAATGGTAACTCTACAGATTCCTGTACAAGATAATAAATCCAGTGAGGAAACTTCATATTTAGATGCCAATCTTCATCTCTCATCATCACATGATCATGAAAATGTAGTTCCAATAATTAAGAACTTTGAAACACCTTGTCTGAACACAACATATTTGTATCAAACTGGAAATGAAGAAGATAGTTGCAGTAAAACAAACTGTTCAGAATCTAAAGTTTCCTTATATGATACTTCAGACTCTGCAATTAGTCTAACTTTTATCCAAAGACCCCAGAGCTTTGAGGAGAGCAGTGATCCTCCAAGCCTAACTGACCCAGACAGAGACTCCCATTTTAAGGACACCTGGGACTCGGGATGCTATATGGAAACAGGAAGGGGCAACAGTGAGTCATCAGAACAGTTTTCTATTGTTGAGGGTGAAAACAATCAATTGGGATCTCCATGGGCATGTAATCTGAGTCAGGCTCTTGACTCAGTTTGGGAGAAGTATAAAAACCTTGAGGATTTTAGACTTGATGGCAACTGTAGTACAAGAAAAATGGATCTGTCCAAAAGGGAAGTCCAACAGAGAGATTACAGCAGTCGCCTTCAGCTTCTTCTGGACAACCCTGAGGTGGCAACTTCACAGTCTTTTTACATTGACTCCAGGTATGTTAATTACAGACTTTATTTGCTTTATAGTAATATGGTCTAGGAATGAGTTGATAAATCCAAACCCTTTGAGTGATGCTTTGGCAGGTCCGCAAGCTATATTAATTTAGTTGTACAGTACGTATAGACAACCACAAACCTTCAACTTAGGCCATTTCGCACTGACAGCTACACTAGCTATGCTGTGCACATGTGCTATGTGTCTTTGATTTGCTGCAATGGTTTTTAATTTAGGAACTCTCATTGGCAGCAATGCTATGTACACCACATAAAGGTCCTCCTCTACTTACGAACGAGTTACGTTCCTGAGATTTGTTTGTAAGCCCAACTTTACTCTTGTAGATACCAAACATATTGTAAAATATTAAAAGATTGTGGATATTTAGTACAGCTATACCCTTTAATACAGCTTTAAAACCTGGCTCACTTTTCTCCTCTTAGGTAATGTTTGTTCTATCTGGAATTTTCTTCAAAATAATCCAGTCTCTTCCACATTAAACACTTGTTCTGGCAGGTAACCCCCCCTCAGTGATGATGTTTGTATCTCTGAAAGTTTGTAAGTTGAACGTTCTTAAGTAGAGGAGCACCTGTATTTTCAGATTGCTGTGCCAGCAAATTTTCTTGGCATTGCATTGGTCATCACATTTTAAGCATATGTAAAATAAGAATAACAAAGGATTGGAACCTATTCCCATGACAATGAAGTTTCCAAGAATGAAGTGGATTTCGTAAACATATCCACTTCATTGCCAGAATTGCTTTTTTTGGACTTTCATTTTCCAGACTGGGATTTTCCCTAATTAGTCTGGTTTGTTGAGGTACTAGTGTATACATGTATTTATATTATGTATACTGTATGGGTTGGCTAAATATATAAATAATTTTTTTTTTTTCCAGTATAACAGAACACACAGAAGTATGAACATCAGCAAACACTCACCACATACTGTACTGCGCATGAAAGAACCAAACCAAGAAGTTTATGAAAGTACCAGTGATGAGGCTAAAATTCTTGCAATTCTGTAACTGGCAGACAAGTTTTATGGTAGTTTGAGTATTTATTTCTCTTAATTATATTAGGTGTCATGAATTTCTGATATTCCTCAGTTTCTATATTTTTAATACAAATAAATTTTAAAAAAAATTACAGGTACCCGTAGCTAGAAATGTTTGTCTTAAGTTCCTAGAATATAGAAGTCACCGTTTATATGAATAAACCCACTAATTTTTCAGTGATAATTTATTATTTATGTGATAGAAGTATTGTTCAGTTTTCCCAGTGATCATTAATTATATATTATGTGATATAAGTATGGTTCAGTTTTCCTAGTGGTCATTTATTATATATGTGATATACTGGAAGTATGGTTCTATTTTTCCCAGTGATCATTTATGATTTATGTGAAATATATACAGTACATATAGTGAAATTTTCCCAGTGAGCATTTATATACAGTATTGTCATACTCAATAATAGCTTGCATGGACATGGAAGTGTATCTGCTATTATTTGGCTTAATTCTTTTTAGTGGATAGTTTCCTTCAGTTTGTGTTGTCTTACTGGACATGGGTATTATCTTGACTACAGTAGCTCTCCTCCTCCTCTGCCATTATTCTTTTTCTTGCTACAAGAATCTCCAAGCATATAGAAGGCTGCAGGTGAGTGCATGTGATTTCAATTTTTTCTTGCTTATTTTAAAATAGGAAAAACACTTATATTTTTTATGGAACCTTCAATACCTGAATATGACTTAACATAACCCTAATATATAAAGACAGTTTTAGACAGTTTTTAGAATCTTTGTGAACATAAAAATGAAGGATTAATGAGGTACAGTAGCTATTTCAATATGTTTAGCTAATTCTATGTTTCAGACCAGTTCACTGACTCAGAACCCCAATGTTACCATTTTTGCAAGGGTTCAGTGTAATAGAATATCAAGCTGTACTGGATATTATAGAATAATCCAAGCTTACTCCATGTTAATAAAGTTATGAAAACTCTACTCTTTATTGTATGAATAGTCTTCACACAGATAGAACAACACTTTTTGTATAAATTCTCAAAATTTGCTTTTGTATTTTTGGTAATGTTTGCAAGCACTAGCCCATGGAATATGAGATGAACCTCATAGTTAGATAGGGTTAGTCAGGGCATGGACTAGCTAATACTTCTTACCTATGGGTAACTAGTATGCAACAGTAGAATATATGTAAAGATTGAAAAACATAGTTTTTCAGCTTATAGGACATCTTGACTGGCATTTGTGCATAATTGTTTGTTAATGGTCTTCATTCTTTTTCTTTACAATGGAAAAGTACATTACTCTTAGCTGGCATACACCCAATTTTACAAATAAGACTGACAAATAATTCTACCCACAAAGATACAGGTATCGGCAAACTTTTCAATAGTCCCACAACACATTCTGGTCAACAAAATATTTCAAACCATGTGCACAAAACCCCCAGAAACGTCTAGCAAACTTCCTCTCAGGTTGCCTAGTACAGCTCAGGTCAGATACATCCCCATACATCCAGCACCAAAAACATCCAGGCAGATTCCATGGGATCCTCTCTCCCTCCTTTTTCAACCACTTTCTCCACAACCTCTCTTAACTCCCACCCTGTACACTAGATTTTATCAAGGAAAACATGTACAGTATACACCAACCAACAGTGTGTGTACAGTACAAGAAATAGAATAATGGCTTGTTCAAAACTAAATCCATCCTAACAATTTTTCCACCTGACAAATACAAGTCTCACACCCATCCTCAGGTCACAGTCTTCAACCAGCCACTCCACTCAGTATGTATTGGAAGATCAAGGGCATCACACCAGTCACACAAATTACTCGTTCGCCACACAAACAACGTCGGTTCAAAAGCCACCCATAAACTCAACACATTTAAAGTCCTCACAAACATAATTTGGGGTAAAAAAAGTAAGTAACCACTACCATATTGTGAAGTAATATAAACATTGTCCATACAAGACCACCTAAACATGAGATGTACTTTGTTCTTGGCATCAGCTCACCCATCCCTTTGAATGTGGCCACCACTCACCCCTCAACCATGAGAGACACAGAGTACAACCCACCTAAAATCCTTTCTGCCCAAACTGCAGTTCAACCGAGTACACCACAAACTTGTTCTTCCTTGCCACAATGCAACATAAACATAATCTCTATTAAAGATCTCAGGAAGTGATTGGTACAAGTTGTTGGCTTCCTTGAGGATGCTGGGTTTTTGAGGAAATGAACTCGGATAACATAGCAGCACAGACTGTACCAATAATAAATATATATATATATATATATTTTTTTTTTTTAGATGACTTAAGCATTTCAAAATTAGCAGATAGTGGATAAAAGGTTAGAATTATTTTTTTATCTGCTTTGGTCTAATAATTACTAGTTTTAGTGATTCTTTGAAGACATGTACTATATCGATTGTACAAATACTGTAGTTTGAATATTGTAAGCCCTTTCCTGCCATGCTGCTATTGCAAAGTATATACTGTACTTACTATATTTTTATCATCAAAAACCAGTGATTGTCCAATACTGTACAGTATGTGGAATTTGATACCAAAACATTGTGGTGCTAATTTAGATACTGTATAACAAATGGAAATTGGTATTAATTTTACATCATCATAGAATAGATTTATTTTTATATGAATATAGCTTATTGTGGTTTTTTTTTGTAATTACCTGTACAATGTATACAGCTAGTTCTGGAAACTTGATTTACATTTAAATGTTAGTACAGGTACAGGGAGCCTCACCCCCCAAGTTTACGGATGACGCCCTGGATGTACCCAAGAATGTCTGTAGGTAGTTTTAATGTTGTCGGCATTTTCGTGGCTGGAACAGGGAGCCATTTGTTATAGAGACAGTAATTTCCTTTACCTGTATTGTAAATATTGTGTGTGTAGACACACAAAACACATACTGTACAAATAAATATATTGGAAAATCCTCTCTAAATAATCAGAAACAAATTTATTAAAATGTGACAGTCTACCCTCAAGTCCATGCTTTATTACTTAATAAAGCGGACTTGGTGGGCATTACAATAGAATTTCTATTTATTATAGTTTTCCCATTATTTTACTTATATGTTTTGTGTGTGTGTCTACACATCACACATACAGTAGGTATGCTATAACGAAGCAATTGGTTCCAGAACCTCGTTCGTTATAATAGATTCGTTATAGGATTAATCCGTTCCAGGCCCCCAAATACAACCGCTTAACACTGAAAAAATTCTGTGGAAAATGTAAAAAATCTGTACTCTATCTTACCTTAGTATTATTCAGCATGCAGGGTACCCTAAACACTGGCACATCACTATCACTTCCACTGGGAGTCTTGGCTTTAAGGTCCTCAAACAATTGTCTGGCCTTCTCACAAATTATAGTTTCACTAATGTTACCACCTGCCATTTCTTTCTCCTTTATCCACACTAAGAGTAAATTTTCCATCTCTTCAATCACATTACACCTTACTTTGCTAAGTCTAAAGATTCCCTTAGCCACTTGCACAGTTTTAACTCCTCTTTATTCTTCAAAATTGTACATATAAGTCGTTATCCATCATCACTAGGTTTACATGCTCCTTCCATTCTCCGTTTCTTTATAATTTCTTTCTTAGTTTCAAGGGTTATTAGCTCTCACTCACTTTGGACAACTCATTGTTACAATTGTATACTTGTATAACAAAATATTTATACAAATAACGCAATTTCCACCAAAAGACGAAATTTCAACATTAACAGTGGTACTGGCTACACAATGAGACAAGATGGCGCCTGGCGCTCTTGTTGTGGGTCGCGGTACAACAATATTCATCCGCCAGGCGAAATAGTCCCCGTATTCATCGCGTTCGTTGTAGAGGTTAAGTTAGTTATAGCATTCTCAATTTTATAGGTAAAACCGTTCGTTATAGGAATATTCGTAGTAGGATCCGTTCGTTATAGCACCCTGTGTATATACAACACAGGTAAAAGAAATAATTGTCCTAAGGGCAAACACATAAAGGGAATATACATTTCTTTGTACACAAGTAAAAATTTTATTAGGTATCACATGACCCATCAATGGCGTTTAACGTTTTTCACTCAGTCATGCCATGGCGCTTGCTGTGGAAGAACGCATATGGTCATAATACCTGCAAACTCTTGGGATCATATCACGTCTTTCTGTAACATTAGGCTAAATTTATTCAAAATATTAGGTTTCCAACTTATATACAGTAAAGAACATGTAATGTCTCTGTTAGCCAGAATCCCTCATAACCAAAACTCTCCGATAGCCGAAATTAAATTTTTCTCAACTCTTTCCGAAAGCTGGAATTTTCTGGAAAATTCCTGCTTTAGGAATGGTTTCAGTACACATTTTCTGGAAAATTCAAAGAAAATTTTCCCAGTCGCCAGAAAATTCCGGAGATGGGGGACGACTTTCGCCACAGCAATAGTGGCCAGACTTTACGACAGTTTTGGAAGAGTTGCAACATCTACCAAGCCATCCAGAACATCGTTAAGGGCTGAGCTGAGGTTACCCAAACTTGTATGTATGTGGTTTGGAAGATGTGTCCCCAGTTCATACATCATTTCAGAGGTTTGAAATCGATGAAACCTATGAGGAAGTGAACCACAATTGTCAAACTTGCTCAAGAGCTTGAACTGTAGGTAAATGCTAGTGATGTGGAAGAACTTATCGAATCATATGGGGCTGAGCTCTCAAATGAGGATTTGATAGAGTTGGAAATAACAAGGATGGTTAGGGAAGCAGCTGAGGATTCTGGTGAACCAGTTGAAGAGCCACGATGCTTCCTCACCGAGGAGATGGCAACAGCATTCTGAGATTGCTTCAGGACTATCACTGCTTAAGAAAATGGACCCAAATGCCTCAAAAAATTTTTAAGTGAATAGACAAATAATATTGAGGAGGCACTAGCCTGTTTAAGAATTATCTATGATAAGAAAAAACCACCATCCAGTCATCACTTGATAAGTTTATAAGGAAGGTTGAGAGGCCTGTGCCTTCCATATCTCCACACTCTTCCACCTCCTCAACACCTGACCCTCATTATGTGGAACCTGCTCGTGATGTTGACCCTGATGATGTGATGCCTGTTTCCTCTCCTTCCTCATTTAGCAATCATGTCCATCTTCTATCACCAAGACCCCCAACTGATGAGCAAGCCAGCACCAGGATTTAAGGTAAATAATATTCATATGCACTAGTTTTATAAAAGGTACTTATTTTTATTTGTGCTCCATGTTCAATAATAATGGAAACCTTTCGAAATCGAGGATGGCCCCAAGGGCCTCCTAGGCGTGAATTTGTTAAGGTGTAGAGGCTGTCATCAACACAACAACCACACCCCAAGTTAACGAGCTGCATGACCCCAGTGTCAAAGAATAGTCCGAGAAGACTGGAAAACTCCACTGGCTAACCATTTCCCCGGAATACGATCCGCAAATCGATTAACATCCAGGTTCCCAATTACTGCTGGGTAGACAGAGGCAAATGGCATAAAAAGCGCCCATAGTTTCACCCTGCCCGAGGATCAAACTCGGGTCCGCTCGTTTTGAGGCGAGGATGCTGACCATTACACCACAGGTCGCCATGTTCAATACAGTATTGGGTACAGTACATATTTACCTTATGGAAGGGTAATTTTCGTTTAACGGAAAATTTGGCTTTAGGATAGGGTCAAGGAACGGAACCCTCATGTAAACCGGGGAGTGTCTGCATTTAGCAGTTTAAATCATGGAATATTGCATGGTAAAGAATACTAGATTATAATAAAACTAATGGTTACCCCTTATTTTCAATGGATGGCTGACCCTAAAGCCACTTGGGTATGACTTTGCATAAGTTGTAGAAGTTGTTGCCAGCACAACAACCATGCACACCCTATGTTAACGGGCTGTATGACCCATTGTCAAGGAATCATCCAAGAAGACCAGACAACTTGTCAACCTTTACCCCGTAACACGATTAGAAAATAAATTAACATACAGTAGTTCTTCCTCATTTACTGCTGGGTAGACAAAGCCAAATGGCAATAAGAAAGTTGCTCATAGTTTCACCTATATAGTCAGAGGTACTAATCCAACTGATACGTCTGTTTTTGTACATATTTGCGCATTCCGATTTCCATTGCACCCTTTTGTCACGATACTTTTTTTGATGGGTGTGTTTGAGAAGTATCAGCATGTATAGATGTTGGACCAAGATTACATAGGCAATCTCCAAAATATTGTGTGGTGTACTATTTACTACAAATAGGCAGATAGATGAATGAACAGCGAGATGGTTAACGCTTAGCCTCTCGCTCACTCCAAAATAGTACTTGGCCTCTCACTTATAATAGTACTCAACCCCTCTCACTATTTCAGTCCAAGTTAACACGGCCTTTGTCACTTACTGCCTCGCCAAAAGTTAACACTGCTTGTCACTCGCTGCCTCGCCACAAGTTAACACTCACCTGTCACTCACTGCTTCGCCACAAGTCATCAATCACACGGTGTCTCACCCCCAAATTAGCACCCAGCCTCTGCCCCTCACTGCCTCATGATAAGTTAACAGCCTTCATCACCCACTCCCTCAACAAACATACCGTAAAGACAAATTTAAACAAGAGTTCCCTGAAGAAGATACAGTAAACTCTTACTTTTTTTACTGAAGAGAACACCAAATTTTTCTAGTAAGGTATACTGTATTGTATTTGAAAATTACCGGCGGCCCCTAAATACACAAGTTTTCTTCTAGAAAGCAAAGTACATTATCAGTATTTTTGGATATAACAAGAAAATGGTATTCTTAAAATAAATCTAGAAGTGAACTATCCGCATTTTTATTAATTATATTATGGTCAGCGAGTTTTATGAGATGTGCTTATTACTACCATGCTATTGTACTATTCCAGATGATACTAAATGTGACATATCGTCCTTGAGATAAATGTATAGTATATATATCAGGTGCCTCAAAGAGAGCTCAGGCTCTCAACTGACTCAGCCATGTTAATATTGTTATTATTATCCACTCTGTATCTGTATTTTTCTGGCCAAATAAAATGTTTCAATCAATCAATTCAATCAATCTCTTCGTAAACTGATTAAGAAAGGAAGAGATGTGTGTAATACTTACCATGTGCCTCTTGAGTGTGTGTGTGTGTGTGTTCTGTGCATTTTTGTTTTCTTTACTTTCACATTTATCACTTATCAGCTTACTAGCCGTTTGGGCAGTTGGATCATGAAGTCCCCACAAGTTCCCATGTGAAGAATACCCTCCCCCACCCCTTTATTTCAGTGATGCTTGTTTTCCTTCTTTACTTTTTGTTACTTAAGTTTTTTGTTTAATATATTAGTTAAATCAGGATGAGAAAATACAACATATGCAGAATAGTTTGGTAAACTTTTCATCACATAGGGTACTGAAGAGAAATATGAGTACATAGATTCCCATAAGCAATATTATAAAATCAGTCACGCCACATAAATTCCTGCAGGTATGAATGAAGAAAGTCTTGCCTGCAGCCTCACATCATGTTGATGTGAGATTTATGCTTGTTCCAGTATGATTCAATTGTTTGAGTGTGGACACCAGTTTGTGGATCCATTAAATTAGGTTAGGTCTACAGGTGAGGTCTTGGCCACTTGTGTCCCCAGTGATCATGTGAATAATATCCACCCCAGACTCGTTCATATGAAGAATTCCCTCCCCAGAGAAGGGGAATTCTTCATATGATCCGGGCGGTTTATCCAGTGTTAGTACAGGAGGAAACCGGGGTATTGGGAAACCTGTGGTGTTTGGTAGGGTTGTAGTGCATTCCTCCCCTACAAATGTTGTTTGTCGCTGGCTAGCCGACCCCGTGAATTCCCCAGTGTATGCCTCGTGGTCTAGGTCAACCAGCGCCGCCTTACATGACGGTCAACTATTAAGCCACGCCCGCTATATAAGACCTGACCTCATGGTGACCTACTCTTTCTACCTGCAGCCATTCTTCAACCAAAACCTCCTCCACTCCTGCCTGGGCCCTCGCTCCCGCCCGGCGACCCTAGCTGTTCCTCCTCTGAGCACCCTCACCAACCAGCCTCTCTCTACATCACGCTTGTAACCACGCACTAGCACCAAACTGCACTGTACATCAATACAATATGTATCGGAGAGCACATTGTGAGTTTCCTTTCTCCATCCATCCTGAGTGTGAACCAAATCCCATTACCCACAAATGGTGACACCCGAGATTCGCACTCACACAGAATGGAGGAGAAACTGATCACTCTCCCAGTCTTCAAGCAACATGGAGGACTGGCTTATCCACACAGAGGCAGCTCTCATCGGCTCTACAGCAACTGTCTCTACACCGCAGGTTAGACACCCTAGAGCAGCTCTGCTTCTCTAAGCAGACACCAGCCCCTCTTCCTGCCCCAAGCACCACGTCCTTCCGACCCCAGCAGGCGCATCTGAGGATTCTGTACCTGCCGAGAGGGAAGCACAGCATTCATCACCCCCACACACCGTTTTTTTCCTCAGGCACTCCCTGCTACTGTCCTGCACCCTGCTGCTGTCATGGACCCTGCTGCTGTTGTAGAACCTGCTCTATCATAGACCCTCCTCCTGACGTCGCCCCTGCCCAGTCATCCCAACCAGTGACTATGAGGACGCTGCCCCTGCAGTGACAGAAGCACAACATTCATCGCCCCACACACCCTTTTCTCCACTCTTCTCCCACAGATCTCATGTGTCTAGACAGCTGTCTCCCTAGTGGCCGGCTCATCACGCCTCATGGTTATGTCCATGTGGCATGCACCGCCCGTTCTGCCTCACATGTGCCATGCAACCCTGCAGATAACAAGTCTCCTACACCACCTGGAGGGAAGGGGGAGTATTGTGATGGATTCCTCCCCTACAAACGCTATTTGTCGCTGGCTAGCCGACCCATGATCCCCAGTGTATGCCTTGTAGTCTAGGTCAACCAGCGCCGCCTTACATGACGGAGGTCAACTATTAAGCCATGCCTACCGCTGCTATATAAGACCTGACCTCGTGGTGGCCTACCTCTTTCTACCTGCAGCCATTTCAAGCAACACCTCCACTCCTGTCTGGCGGCCCTCGCTCCCGCCGGCGAACTCGCCTGCCGGCGACCATGGCGACCCACAAGCTGGTCCTCTGAGCACCCTCACCAACCAGCTCTCTCTACATCACGCTTGTAACCACGCTGCCACTTCCCAGCACCAAGCTGCACTGTACATCCAATACAATATGTATACAGAGAGCACATTGTGAGTTTCCTTTCTCCATCCCATCCTGAGTGTGAACCAAATATCCCGTACCCCACAGGGTCACACTGGATAACACCCTTTTCACGTGTATCAGGGCCAAGGCTGCCCTTCACTTACTGGGTGAATTATGTGCTTTACCGCTGTGTTGTGTATATGTGGTTCTATGACGACATGATATTGGCGAAATTGAGGAAAAATGTAAACTTAATTAGTTTGAGTGAAAAGCGGAAAGTAGAGCAATAAACCAGAACTCTATTATAATGGTAACCGTTAGATACACACCATAGATCGGGTAATGCAGTATAGTGAAAGAACCCCAAGACCAATTTAAAGTAGTACCAATATAATTGAAACGTAGGAATAGTAAATGAGAGCAAATTAGTGACATTCTATTAAGACCTTTTTTCTGTATGAAGGGCTAATGACATTGATGTTCCCTATTAAACTACTTAAATACAAATAGTTTAGAATCACACATTAAGATTAGATAATTTGGTGTTACATAATCTTTTTGCTGCGCAAACTCAGTTTTCATAAGCAGCCCGCCCGTGGCCCGGCAGCTGTAGCCTTACATAAGCACGCGCTTGTCTTGTAAACACCGACACTGCCAGTCCCACCCTGGCAGTCTAGAGGGAGTGAGTGTATCGTCTAATAATCTGCAGAAATGGCGTCGTCCATGAAAGCTTCGGCGACTTTTGCAGCAAAACTTATGCCATCGCCATTAGTACGTACCCTAATGTTCTTACTCTGGTAAATCAGTATAATACTGCAGGTAGTTAAAAGCTGGAGGAATGTGTTTGGTGATCAGCTGATCACGGGATGGGTTTATGCAACGCCGCTCGTATGTGAACTAACTACCTCCTTTTAACATTACCGAAGCATAACTATTATTTACTGTGGATGTGTTTCCATTCCGTTCAAGTACAGCAGGCTACGAACTCTGATGCATAGATTAAAAAAAAGATCTTTTAACGTAGATATACAGTACTGTAGGTACTGCAGTCGTACCCCAAAAATCACCTGGATATACTTTTATCGGTGGACGGAAAAAAAAAGTCACAGGACTTTTACACATTGACCACATATATATATATATATATATATATATATATATATATATATATATATATATGTGTGTGTGTGTGTGATGGCATTGCACGTAGGTTAGGTTAGGCTTTTTCCGTGCCATTTTATCTGACTTTCTTGTGAATTTTTTTCCTACAACCACTTTTATTCTCTTCGCCAGTACTGTACATCAGTTATTTGCTTGCAATCTGTGTATAAGTAATTAATTGTACAGTAGCTTGCATATTAGTCTTGTCGGTGAATTTTTAGTATCACACCGGTCTTTATTTCCGTATTAAAAATATGTATCTCATAATGTGTACACAATTCTTAGACATATTTCTTCTATGATATTTCCACCGGGAATTAAAGATAACCGAGATATTAATTTTTCAAGATTATTACTTTCACTCAGTCACTTGTTTACCTATGGCACAGGTGGTCTGACCCCCAGTTCACGCATCGCTCCAGGTCTCTGTCTTTGCTCTTTAAGCGTCTGGGGTATGAACAATGGGTTAGGTTAGGTTTTCTTGGCTGGTTGGTAATATAATTTATTTATTAAAAAAAAATCCAACTTTCTCCATTATGATTGTTTGAGGGGGGGGGTAAAAAAAAGTTATTTCCGGTGGAAATTAATATCAAATTCGTTTGAAACTCATCAAAATACACAAGAAAAACATATTTTAATTTCTAAATAAAGAACTGTGTGATACTATAAATTGACCGTCTTGTCATGCAATAGTTGTGGTATTTAACTGTAGACAACTATACAGGTTTTTATTCTGCAAGTGATAGTTTCTTTGGTAAATATGTAGGCTAGATAGATTCATGGATGATAGAGAGTGGTAGTAACTCTCGACAGGAGCTGCCATGCACAGGCCAATCGGCCTATTGCAGACTCCTTATTTTCTTATGTTCAACGAGCCTAGGATTTTTTTTTTTTTTTTTTTACCGTGTTTTCTGATTGTTCAGATGATATTAAGACACTTTTCTTCTATGACGTTTCCCTTGCAAATTACTTAAATATACCTGGGTTAGGAGATTAGGTAAGGTAATTTTAGGTCATTTGCAAGGGAAATGTCATAGAAGAAAAGTGTCTTAAAATACTCTAAACTGTCGGAAAAACACTTTGCTCAAAAGAAAAAAAATTTCTGTTGTTGGTTGAAACCACAACTTGACCATTTCTTTTATTAATTTTTAAATTTTCCTTATTTACACATGGTTCTGTACTGTACTAAAAACTGAACATATCTTTGTTTCAGACAGCAGCCTTCAGTCGTCCTGCAGCTCATGCAAGGAACTTCCATTTCACTATGGATGGCCGTCGCACAAGTGCCAAGACCTCCACGGATCAGGTACCTGTACTATGTTACTTAAATTGCTGTGATAGATACAGTTTACCTTCCTAATACCTGACTGATTTATGCAAACCTTTTCCATTATTGGGAGAATTCCTTGATTGGGATTACTGAGAAGCATCATATTCAATGGATCACCACCACCATCCTCTTCACCTATATTTACTAATCCTATGACATTAAAACAATAAGCATGTATTGATTGCAAGGATATATAAATAAATTGATGTACAGTACATAAGATGTGGTACTGAATAAATTAATGTACAGGCAGTCCCAAAGTTACCACAGGAATACGTTTCTGGACCATGATCATAAATCAATTTGTTTGTAAGTCAGAACAATGTTAAATCCATAGTTTAAAATAGGTTAAAGCACAATGTTTGCCAATATAAAACAACATAATATCCAATACATAACAAATAATGTAAATACAGTAAACCCTTGCCATTCGCGAGTTTGTGATTCGCGGCAAACAGATGGTGGGTATGGTGGCTAGCTTGCAAGCCTTTTCCCCCAGCACAATGAGTCACCCCATGCAGCATCTTGTGTTGTACTCTCAAACTTTAGTGTTTGTGTGAAATAATCCCTAAAAGACTGACTAGTGTCAATGCTAGTGATGCTAACGAGTGAAATGTAAAAGGCAGAACTCAGTGATGACCCTGACAAAGAAAGTTTTATTCTTAGGTAAATTAAAAGGGGATGAGTGCTGCCGCAGCTGGTCAATTGTTTGGTATACCCCCCGGTAAGTATACAGAAGAGCACTACGGTAGTATACTGTAGGTTGCTATTTGGGGTTTTGCCAATTCATGCCATTTCTTGGATTTTAATCTCCGCGAATGGCAAGGGTCTACTGTGATGTTAAACAATATAGAATAAAGAAAATAATATAAAAAATGGGGATTTTATTTACAAATTTTTGCGGTGAAAATATTGGCATCCCGTTTGTAAGTGAGGAGGATCGTAAGTTGGATGGTTGTAACTCGGGGACTGCCTATACGAAGAAACGTATACTGTGCTGTACATCGCATGCTCCTTCTCAAAGCTGATATCGTAATAATGTGTAATTTTACATCTAAATTTAAACTCACTGTTTTTTGACAAAAGGTGTGCTTGGCAAAGCACTGGTGGGTCTTTTTTTTTATTCATTATTCATTTGTTATATTTTATTATGTAAAATGAACCGTATTATACAGTACAGGTAATTGATTTTTTTTTATCAATATTATATTCTTTATTGTGAAGAGTACATATTTTATGCCATCAACATTTCCATCGCATTATAAGCATAAATAAACGCGAGAAAATAAGTCATTCAAATGAAACAAAAAACAATTAAATAGACAAAGATTAGTTTGTGCTACAAGACATCACCTGACATGATGTGTGTTCACAAACCAATTTCTCTGCTATCTATGGTGAATATTACATGCTCTTCATTCAATACATATTTCTATGCTTAAATATGGATGTGTTGATTCATTTTGTTTTTTATAAGAAATTAGATTAAAAAAAATTCACTCGCATGAATGCCATCTGTTTTGAGATTCATGAGTTTAACAGTACAGGACTTTATAGGATAATAATTTTTCACACTTTTTCATCTACAGCTTTCTCGTGACTATCCAGTGGTTAACCATACTTATGACGCTGTTGTGGTCGGGGCTGGAGGTGCTGGTTTACGTGCTGCATTTGGTCTTGTGCAGGAAGGCTTCCGCACAGCTGTCATCAGCAAGCTTTTCCCAACACGGTCTCACACTGTGGCTGCTCAGGGCGGTATAAATGCTGCTCTTGGTAACATGGAGGTATGTTATTCATGATATTCTTATTTTTCTTGAGAGAACTGTCAGAATTGATTTAAATAATTTGTCCTTACAGCAATGTTTTGGTAAGCCTTTGTAACAAATCTAATAAACAGCTCTTACCCTTGTACTGCTTAGATTCAAAGATGATGATGTTTAGGATTGAAGAATATGAAGTTATGTAAAGTTAACTTTACAAAGTGTTTTTTTTTTTCAGTGAAATGTAGAAGTTACACAAAACATAATTTTATTGGTAAAATCAGGCCAACTAAGTTTTATTGATTTATACACATGGATGGTTGTAACGGCACAAGTTATGTACTGTATGTGTAAGTTTTTGGTGCCTGAAGGCTCAGGGGCACTGTATGCTATGCAGTATAGGCTTAGTTACATAAATCATTGTTGGTTCATTGGATAACTTCAACTACAAAGAATATTTTTAAATAATGTGTCCAAAATTTTTCACTGGGGCATTTTACTTACAATGTACTATATGAGTGGCTGACAGCTGAAAACAGTTTAGGGTAAAATCACCTAGGTTGTCTTTCAAGTTCATTATAAGTTGGAATATTAAATCAAGATACAACATTTCTTTGCAGCCAGACAATTGGATTTGGCACATGTATGACACGGTGAAAGGCTCTGACTGGCTGGGTGATCAGGATGCTATTCACTACATGACCCGTGAAGCTCCAAAAGCAGTCGTTGAATTAGAGAATTATGGTAAGTACAGTATTATCACATTATACCAAATTATTTTTTAAAGAAAATTGAAGGGGGAAATGAGTACTTAAATGCTTTTAGGTATTTATTTTTGATTCAGTTATGCATTATGTTGCTGTGCAATATTGGCATTGTGAAGAGAAGAGTATCATATTTAACTACTAGTCACACAACTGAAATGGGAGGAAGAAATATAATAGAAGGTTGAATGTTTAGTTACCATATTTTTCACTTTATAAAATGATAATTTTTTCTCCAAAACATGCCCTGTGTCTAACACGTCAAAGTGTAACCATAGAGAGAGGAGGACACCAACTAAAACTAAGATGGTATAACAGAAGTTAAGGGCAGTAGCCCAGGTTTTCCAGCCAACTAGTGAAAGATATGTACAGAAGACGATTTATTTCTTAATCCTTACCTCAAGAATAAAAGGAATTGGGTGGATTAATAGTACTTTTCTTATTCATGTTTTTTCTGAAGAAAAAGTGCTGGTGCCAGCACTGCTGCCATCTTTGTTTGCACGAATACCTGTATCAGAAACAAGGATGTCATTGTAGTATTAACACTTCATATACAATAATAATTCAATTCTGTGCTAAAACTAAGACACTGGTTCCCTGATATCTCCAGAATGAAATACCTGTACAGTATATGAGTGTGATCATAAATTGTTAAACAAAGAAAACAAAGAGAATTACTGTACTGTACTGTCCTTTTAATTTAATTTAGGAATCTTACCAAGGTAACATTCTGGGACTGAGGGAGTAGCCTTTCTGTTCACTATTGCTCAAAGTGCTTATACTGTACTGTATTATACTTTTGATAAAATACATTCTAAATTAAATCACAAATTTTGTACATAAAATTAAAGAATGTATAAACTTCTTTATTATATGTGATATGGTAATGAATCATTTTTTGAGAAGTGTGTCATTCAGCTGACTGCCACCACCATCCAACATCAGCTAATGAACATATTCATCTATCTGCTGTCCACTTGTTTTACTAATCTTATGAAATAAAAAAGTAATCCTGTAATAATTGAAAGAATGCATAATTAATTATACCAATAAGATGCAGTAATGAGTGATTTACTAAGAAGTGTAGGCATTGTTTTCTTTCTGCTGATCACTGAACCCTTAAACAACAGTGAGCTTTCATGTTGACTATTTGCACTAATGGAGAAAATGGGATTTTTAAAAAATGGCTAGAATTATACAAATTTTCTTATGAAAGGGACAAGATTTGCTCTCTGAATATTGTACAGTAGTGGTGTAATTAGATTTGTTGTACATCTAACAAGAGCCATAAACTTGCAATTTGGGGAATTTCAGATGTCTTGGAATGAAATGAAGTTCAGTTTGATTTTCTTAAAGCTGTTTTAATTCTTGTTTTGTATTTCTGTTTCTGGGACGCATATTTCATGAATTTGCATTGTTAAGTAAATTATAATTGAGATTATTTTTTGACTGTCCCTTTCTCTTTTCCAGGCATGCCCTTTAGTCGTACTGTAGATGGCAAAATATATCAAAGAGCTTTTGGTGGCCAAAGTTATGACTTTGGCAAGGGTGGTCAGGCTCACAGGTTCGTTTCTTTCCTTTGTCAGTATGGTTTAACTTGTCTTTTCAGGATAAGAAACAAAACTGGTTGATTCAGTTACAGAAGATTGTGGGGATTGAAAATTTTCAGACCATTAGTCACTTTTGCAGAGTGTTTATCGTCTGATTGTCGCCTAATTATTGTACAGCTACTGTACTGTCGTATAGTGAATAGAAATTTTGGATTGAATTGATAAAACAGTTAGCTGGGGCACTGATAATAAAAATAGCTATGAATTTTATGAATTAGTGTGGTAGGTAACCAGTAAATTATAAAAGACATTAATAGTCTTTGATGTATGATTTTTGTTTGAGGAAATGGGTGAGAGAATCACAAGCATTTTGGTTTTTATATAATACGGGGCATTTTTAAATTAGTCTTGATTATACTTGGATATTTTTTATTTAAGCAACTAAATTCTTGGCAATGATTTGCTTAAACACAAAAGTTTGTGGGTTGTATGTGCATCATGCCAAAATTATTGATAAATCAGAAATTGGGGGCTACTATAGCAGGCAGTATTTCACGAAGACTAGAGTCTAGTGTGCCAAATTATCATGGTTAAGTGTATTGTTTTATTGGTATAAAATTTTTTTTGATAAATTTGTATAACCTCTCTTTAACACTAGATGCTGCTGTGTAGCAGACCGCACAGGCCACTCTCTCCTCCACACCTTGTATGGACAATCCCTCAGATATGACTGTAATTATTTCATCGAATACTTTGCTCTTGACCTCTTGATGGAAGATGGAGAATGCCGTGGTGTCATTGCACTTTGTTTAGAGGATGGATCAATCCACAGGTAAGTTATGCATTGCATTGATCATGAATCTTCAGATGTTTCTGGATTTTAATGAAGGTGGTGTAATCAAAGAACTTCCTTGTGCTATGGAAGCAGTATGACCGGGCACAGGTCACTGACCCACATCGGGGCCTGGGGGGCAAAAATTTAATAATAATAACAATAAAAATAATTCATAGTACAGTGGGGTTTGCTATAACGAACGGATCCTACTATGAATATTCCTATAACGAATGGTTTTACCTATAAAATTGGGAATGCTATAACGAACGCAACTCCTACAATGAATGCGGATGAATACGGGACTATTTCGTCTGGCGCATGAATATTGTTGTACCGCGGCTCCCAGCAAGAGCGTCAGGCGCCATATTGGTTCATTGTGTAGTCAGTGCACCACTGAACTTGTTGAAATTTCGTCTTTTGGTGTGGAAATTCGTGTCATTTTTATAACTATTTTGTTATACAAGTGTACAATTTTAACAATGAATCGTCAAAAGCGAGTGAGAAAGGTAATAACCCTTGAAACTATGAAAGAAATTATAAATAAACAGACATAGTGCCTGTAAGACAGTCACCAAAGAGGGCTAAGAAGGATGACTCCTCTCCTTCCACCTCTTCTCCATAATTCTCTCCTTCCCCCTCCTCCTCTGCCTCCTGTCCTGCATGCTGAACAACACTAAGGTAAGATAAAGTACTGTATTTTTTACAATTTTCACAGAAATTTTTCAGTGTTAAGTGGTTGTATTTGGGGGCCTGGAACGGATTAATCCTATAACGAACGAGGTTCTAGAACCAATTAGATTCGTTATAGCATACCCCACTGTAAATAAAATTCATAATAAAAAATAAAATAATAATAATGATGATGATAATAATAATAAAGAACCATAAATACAAATATGAAAGAAAAGATCAAAAGTGAGAAACAATTGAGACCCTGCAATTGTGTGTAAATGAGGCAGAAAGTCGGATCAGCAACCTGGGACTTGGTCACAATTTTCGTGATGCCATATGGCAGCAGGGTCCACCATTAGACAATACATTATGCTTCCAATATCTTCCCAGGTGGTAGTACCTCCCTGTGTGATAGCTGCCTACTACCTCACTGTTGGAGAAATGTTAGTTACAGTGTAATAAAATGCCACTGAGAGCACAGTTTTAGATTACAAGTACTGTACCATCCACTCCATGCAATATTTGAGAAACTGTCACAGAAAATTGCTAGTGACCTGTAATCAAGAGAATTGTTGTGGTTGACTGAAAGTGCCAGCTATAACGGAGTGTTGTACAGCTTGAAAGGTAAACTTGTAGAGGTATCCCTTGAGATACGAAAATTCGCTAAAATGAATTTCCTAAATTACCAATTATTTTTCAAGTTACAAAAGCTTCCCCTGCTTATACAAATTTGGGTCCTGCACTCTCTCTACCAGGCTGAGGTAGAAGTTATTTTTTTCATTCAGTTACATGTACACACACACACACACCTACGTATAGAATATGCAACAAAAATATACTAATAATTATCTTAAGTCTAAAAACATAAAGGGATTAAATATTTCTTTGTGCATCAGTGAAAGTTAGTGGGATGAGCTGGGAGGTTATGTTATGATTATTTTTAAACTCCAAGTTTTGGATAGATAAACATAACTTTCTTACTTGTTTTTACTCAGTTACAGGCACACATAATCTTGCATACATATATGCAAAAAAGGTTAAAAAAAAAATCATACGGTCAAAAACCATAAAGAGAATAAACATTTCTATGTGTGTGACAGTGGCATAGGAAGCGTTGCTAAGAGTTGGCAGAGGCAGCTGTGCTAGATGCTATGGAGACGCTTGAGGGCAGCCATGCTTGAAACAGTTAGCGTCTATGCAAATGGTGCCGCTGGCGACTGTGTTAAACTTTGATTTAGCTTTTCCTTAATAGTTTTACCTACATACATTACTTTCATCTAAATAGTATTTTAATAATGTTTTTAATGTGTTAGGTAGTAAATTACAGTACTGTAGTTGTGTACTATTTATCATTAGATAGGTAGGGTTTTCTTCTTGTTTGTGAACCAATTTTGGATTTTTGTGGTATTTTTGTTATTGGGGAACTGAACCCTATTTTTCCTATATATTTTTCTATTTGAGATAGGAAAATTCACCTAATGAATGTGTTTTTTATTTGTATTATTTATTTATTTTTTTTTTTTTTTTTTTTTTTGGGGGGGGGGGGGGGGTGTTAACCCATTCATATCGAGAGAGGTACCTGTAGAGAGGTGTAGATACAGTATGTGCATGTATGATTGTTCCCAACCTGAAGTATTGTATCTAAAACTTTGGGCATTCCCATTTTATACATTTTTTTATTACTTTTGTAAAGTATATTAACATTCTTAATGAGATGCTTTAATTAAATTAGGTTAAAGGTAAGCTTTCACTTCAATGAAACCCCAAAATATCATCAATTATATCCATATAGTACAAAAAGTTCTTGATTTATGAAGCTTCAGTTTAAGAAAATTTGAATTGCGGGTATGGAGACAAATTTTCTCTTCCCCGACATTTTTATGGATGCAGTACTGAGAAAATTTTTTAAGAGTCTAAATTACACATATCACACGGACATACACATAGCTGTATTTATTTATGGATATACCACTGTACACATGCAATATTTTGTAAATAAATAAAATACAATACTGTATACAGTACATTATAATGTACATTGTACTCACCTGCAGGCAGGTCGAAATGGTTTTACAGGATGGCCTGCCTTTGTCCTGTACCATCTCTTGTAGCAGGTGTAGCTAACTGCCACTCTCCTCTCATAATAGCATACACTGTCCACACTACTACAGTGACCCCTCAGTTAACGAACTCAATCCGTTCCAGAAGGTCGTTCGTTAACCGAAAAGTTCGTTAACCGAAACCATTGTTTCAATGGGTTTTTGGGTAATTGGTTCCAGCTCACCGAAAATTTCCTAAATTCAACAAAAATGGGAGAAAAGTTCACTTACTTTGAGGTGTGTTTGTAGAAGGCTCCTGGATGATGATGATGATGATGATGATGGGATTTAGAATGGGGGTGGAGGAGAAGGAAGAAGAGAAGGCATTGGGGTGGAAGAGAAGTCACCCCTTGGCGCCATTTCACCCATAAAATTTTAGCTCTCTTGGTGTAATTCAAGATTATTTTCTTTAAATCAACACTGCACTGAATTATATATTGTCAAAATGTAAAATATATTTCAAAATGACCAATAATTTGCTTGGAAACACAGAAAAAAGTGTTTAGTTGAAGAGAGTCTCAAGCAAGATGTTACCTCCAGTGAAAACAGAGAGACTAACACCTGTTTGCTGTGTTAAGAGGCTGGATGCCGCGCATTAAACTAGTCACTTTACCTTCAATTATGTTCAATAATCGTTAAAATGACTAAAAAATTGAATATTAAACTTTTAAAATTATTGAATAGTATAAACTTCTTGATATTTACTAAAATAGTAAGGAATTTAAGCCCTAGAACCGATTAATGTATTGGCGGACTGATACTAAAGCTGGTTGCCCGGTCAGTGCAAGCGAAAACATGTTGAGGTCGGTTCGTAAGAAATTCGTTTACCGAATTTTTGTTCGTTAACCGAATTGAAGATCCTTATGGAAGGCAGTTCGTTAACCGAAATTTCGTTAACCGAGGCGTTCGTTAAACGAGGGATCACTGTATATACAATACACTGGTCCCTCGGTTAACGAACACAATTCGTCCCACAGAGTCGTTCGTTAACCGAAAATTTTGTTAACTGAATCCATTGTTTCAATGGGATATTGGGTAATTGGTTCCAGCTCACAGAAAAGTACATACAGTACAAAGTAAAAAAAAAGATGCAGTAAAGTACACTTACTTTGAGGTGTGTATGTAGAAGGTTCCTGGTTGATGATGATGATGGGAAATAGAAGTGGGGGTGGAGGATAAGGGAGAAGAGAAGGAAGTGGGGATGGTGGAGAAATCACCTTTCAGGGGACCTGTGCTTGATGCAGTCATTTCACCAATAAAATTTTAAGTTCACTAGGTGTAATTCAAGATTATTTTATTTTAATCAACACTGCACTATATATTATCAATATCTTAACTAAATTTCAGAATGACCAATAATTTCAATCTAAAAATGCAAAAATATTCAAGACACCAACAAAATAGATGTTCACTCCACTGTCATCAAAGCCAAACTGACCTGGTGGCTGAGTCAAGCGGCTGATGGATATTGGGCGCACAAAAAACTAGTTCCCTGTACTGCATATATTATCAATATGTTAACTGAATTTTTAAATGACTACCGTATATCACGGCCTATAAGGCGGCGGGGTGCATAAGACGCCCCCCCCAAATTTCCATTTAAAAAGTAGCTTTTGAGCTCTATTTGCTGTATAAGACCAGTACCCCAAATGTGACACTTACCCACTGACTCAGTAGTCCTTTACCAACCATCCTTGATTTTTTTAAATAAGGCCAATTCACTTCAAGTAATGTCATCAAATTATACCCGCTGGTGTAGTGTAAACACTAGTGACGTCACTGAAGCGTGTTGGGAGTGTTCCCTCGTCTCGGTGGTGTGACTATTTATACAACATGTGGTTCAACAGCAACCACCGTATTCTAATTGTGGTGTTTCATTAGGATTTGAGTGAAAAAGGTTACCAGTATGTACTTACTACATACATTTATTACACAAATATATATATATATATATATATATATATATATATATATATATATATATATATATATATATATATATATATATATATATATATATATATATATATATATATATATATATATATATATATATATATATATATATACTGAATATACTATGTACAAAAAATGAATGTTCAATGAATTATTTATGGTGCATTAGGGTACTGGTCACTTCTGATGGGCTATAAATAGCCTTCTTTATCTCCCCTACATCTCACCCTGAGCCAGACGGAAGGGTCTTGGTAAATAACATGTTTGCTTATTTTCCATTTACTTTAAATAGATTTACCGAATTATTTGTTTTATTTATTTATTTATAATATACTGTAATATATTAAACACACTGTAATTATTTTCTTTAATTTATAAACTGTTTTGCGACAAAGGAATGTTCTCCAGTAGTGTTTCATTAGGATTTGAGTGAAAAAATATTACGTACTTACACAATTGTTCCTCTTACTTTGACAACACAACATACATACAGTATATTATTTCTCAGTTTTGATCTTTTTTTTTAATTTTTGTATTTATTTATAGTTAGTTACTTAAAATAAGGCCAATTCACTTCAAGTAATGGCATCAAATATTACCAGCTGGTGTAGTGTAAACACTAGTGACGTCACTTGAGCGTCTGTAATTAACCGTCGATAGTTTCAAGAATTAATGCACTCATTTACTGAATATTCTTTGGAAAAAAATAAAATTTAAATCAATTATTTATAGGAGATAAATATTATTATGAGTAAATATACCGATACCGGTATGCATTACTGACCACCTCCACGGCTCCTCACTGGCAAATGGGGGGGGGGGCGTGGGGAGGGGTGTGTGATGATAGCTGTGTTTATTATAGGGGTATAAATCTCTTTTACGGTATGTTAGACAGGTTTATAATACATTTTTATTATTTTAATATACCGGTAATCTTAATTTGAATCCAGCTTGCCAAACGTAAGTTTCAGTATAAAATAATTAGTGGTAAGACCTTGTGAGTGGCTTACGATGTTTTCATCACCACTCTTGACACACTAAACCACAATATTTAAGAGGTAAGAATTTTAAACTTGGTGGTTTAGACGACCCCCTAACTTTGGGCAGATTTTTTTAATGTTCAAATTTCGTCTTATAGGCCGTGATATACGGTAATAATTTTAATATAAAAAATGCAAAAATATTAAAGAGCACAACTTTCTTGATATTTGCTCCACTGGAAACGAATGTAAACATAGAACAGATTACTAAATTGGCAGACTAGCCCATCAGCTGATGCTCACAACAAAACGTGTTGTTCGTAAGGATTTCGTTAATACAATAAAAGTTTTGTTCGTTAACCGAATTGAAGATCCTTATGGGAGGTAATCCGTTAATCGTACCGTTCGTTAACCGAAGGACCACTGTATTGAACATATTAAGGATAATATTCATGTCATGGGTTGGAACAACAGTATAAATGAGTTTGTTACAGAAAGACTTCTGGTTGAATTGAGCCTAATTAGAGAAATAAATTCTATAAACCTTAGTGATGGTCAGTACGAAATTAATAATATTTTACATACATTCTGGGAATGTGGCTAATGTCTGTCTGTGCAAGATGTGTAGTTTAGAGTCTCGGGATAAAGAATTTTTCCAGGTTTGAGAAAGTCATCTGGTTATCTGGAAATCTCTCAACCACAGAAGTGCTCTGCACTAGTTGTTCCAGCTAACGTGGATATCATTGTAGGCCCTTTATTAATCTGTGTCTTTCAACCAGTATTAAAATAATAAACATTATACTGTAACTGTAGGGACTATGTTTTTTTTTAAATCGGAAAATAGTTTTATAATGGTTTAAATCTAATTTTATATTTAAATTATTTTCAGATGTCTTTGAGTTCCTTTCAAAACTTTGAATTTATTTTTATTATACTTACATTTTTTCAAAAGCTTTTTGAATTGATTTTGTTGAAAATTTTTAATTCTTTTGTGCACATTTCAGGTTCCATTCCAAAAACACAGTGTTGGCCACAGGTGGTTATGGTCGTGCCTACTTTTCGTGCACCTCTGCCCACACTTCCACTGGTGATGGTACTGCCATGATCACACGTGCTAATCTTCCTTGCCAAGATATGGAGTTTGTACAGTTCCATCCCACTGGTAAGAGATTTTGTTTGTACATCAGGAAAGGCCTTCCTAGTTTTCAATGGAGTTTTGGTTTTAAAATGGTTCAGGTTTTGTTCTTAGCAAGAGAGGTTAGCTAACACTTTGTCTTCGGGTTAATCTAACAGTTGTGTCAGAAAGACTTTGCTCATGCTTGTACTTTTGTGTTTCATGATCAATACAGGCATCTATGGTGCTGGATGTTTGATGACTGAGGGATGCCGTGGTGAAGGTGGCTACCTGGTAAACTCAGAGGGAGAGAGGTTCATGGAGCGTTATGCCCCAGTTGCAAAAGACTTGGCGTCTCGTGATGTTGTCTCACGCTCCATGACAATTGAAATTCGAGAGGGTCGTGGCTGTGGGCCTGATAAGGATCATGTCTACCTGCAGGTAAGACAAGCAGTTCTCCATCAGTTTGAAGAAATTGATAAATCAAACAAACACTTTTTTTGTGTCCCAATATCAAATCTTGCACTTAATGGTGGATTATGGAGAACATCCTCCCTATACCATGATCCTATCACAGTTTTGTGTCTTCATCCATCAGCACTTGTTACTTCTATTTACTTCAGGCTCTCTCTCTGTCAGTAAGGAAGCTTTACTTAGTGTACCATAATACAGATGATAAATTTTTTAATAACCTTTTTTGCATTGTATCATCCCCCCCCCCTTTTTTTTTTACCACATAACCACAAAATATATTTAGGGTAAGTACTGACTTTTATATGCTCAGATATTAAAGCTCAAGAAGCTGCTTGATACTTTAGTTGTAGTGTTTTATTAATTTTTTAGCAAATGTACACCTACTAAAAAATTATTCGGCACCCTCACGGCGTGATACAATATGACACGGGTGCTGAATTTTAGTGGGTGTACTATATGAAGTGATATGTTTATAGGTTACAAGTTTCTATTAAGAATTGGATAATTTCCATGTACAGTAGCTAATAACAATATGACAAAATTAGTGCCAGTATATAGAATAAACAAGGATAATGAAGGAAATGAGATTTTGATATCTTTGAAAGATATGGGGGTGGAGACTGAGTGGTGAGTTTCACCTCCTGGTCCCCCTTCTAAAGACTGAGGTCATGATGGGAAATTTTTACTTTTTATTTAATCAATGCCAGCTGGGTTACAACCCATAAACATAATGGTTGTAGTAATTTTATCTTTTTTGCCAACTTCATCTATAAAATGAGATGTCCAGGATTATTTCATAATTCTTTTATGTTTACTCCATGTAATTTGGAAAATGGCATATTCAGCTGAGGATAAAATTAATGAAAACTGTCTGTATGATGTGACTGCGAAGTGGTATTTGGCAAAGCAAATGTTTGTAACAGCTTAGTTTTTCCTTTCCAGCTTCACCACCTGCCCCCAGATCAGCTGGCACAAAGGCTACCTGGTATTTCTGAGACAGCCATGATCTTTGCTGGTGTAGATGTAACACGTGAACCTATCCCTGTACTGCCAACTGTGCACTACAATATGGGTGGCATCCCAACCAATTACAGAGGACAGGTTTGTTTAGTGAATTTGGGTAATAGAAGTCACAGTAAAATAAATTACTGATCAATTATCATTGTGTGTATTTACTCGCTGGCTGCCAAAATGATGCAAAAGACCGATAACTCCAACATGGAAGTTTTCATCACTGTTCTCTATTTCATATCTGGAAAATGTAAGTTTGCATCACTGATGTCTATATTTAATGTTGTGGAAGGACTAGGGATGACCATGGCCAGGGGATGGGCTTGAGATGATCAGAAGACAGATGTAATTTAATGTTCTTCATAGCTGGATGGCGGAGTTCTTGATAATGCACTTCAATCATAAAGACATCTACTTTTGGAAAATTTCTTTCATCTGCCTTGATGAACCCTGGTGGTAGTTGTCCAACCTTCCCGGCTGATCGGCTCTGTAAATAAATATTATTAGATAATTAATTGTGCTTTACTGTGCAACACATCAATACTATTTTGAATACAGTACAGTATATAAATATTACTAAGCACATTAACTAATTTAATGGATATTAGCTGCCCCTACTACAAATTTCTTAGTATAAACATTCCAAACAATATTAGTATTATTTTGGTTTTGGTCATCTGGGGAACCTTAAAATTCTAATTATGGGATTAAGTACAGTACTTTAAACAGTGAGACACATTATCTATGGGATCGGTCGCAAAAATTTTTCGATTCCACAAGAAAATGCAGGTCACAGGTTAGGTTATGTTAGGGTATGATAAGTTATATTACCTGTATAAGATTAGCTTAACATGCACGAGTAAGGGGGGGGTAGTAACTCAAAACTAGTGATTTCCAACAGAAATGAAGGTCTAAATCATTCATAACACATCACAAACCATCATAAAAAACCACAGTCTGCATGTCTAAGTACAGGGATGACCAAAACTTTAAATTTACCCATACAGCTATCTTGAATCTAAGCATCCAAATACTTATGGTAGTTAAAGTAAAATTTTAACCATTAATTAATATAAATGAGGATTCATCCCAGTGGTTCATTAGTGAATCATCAAAACAATAACAGCACTATGTTGTCATGTTTACTCATGTTTACCTAGCATCAGGCATTCTTAAAACAAAGTCCAGACAATGTCATTACTTCTAAATTGACTCGTATTTCCATCCCTGTGTCGTCTGCAGGGAAGGTGGTGATGTCATTGCAAATGGCAGCCATGTTTCTAGAGAAATTAACTTATCTTGACTATTATAGCAGGACTTTAAACTTTTATTACAAATTATATATCACTCTACGAACGTGGCAGAGTGTATTTCCTGTGTTTATTCAGAACCGACAACTCGTCCATTATACACAAATACAGTACAGGGGTATATAGCAAATTAACTGTAGATTAATATGTTTGGAGATGATGATTAAATGTAGAGGAGTGACTTGACTTTCTAAATGTTAATAATTATATATGTTAATTTTGTGTTAATATATTGTTTGTTTCACTTTTGATATTCAGAGTTCTTGCAATATTTTCTTATACAGTATGTAATTTTCCATATTAATGAAACTTTTGTGTCTCAGGTGATCACCTTTGATGGAAAGGAAGACAAAATTGTGCCTGGTCTGTATGCTGCTGGTGAGTCAGGATGTGCTTCAGTCCATGGAGCCAATCGTCTTGGTGCCAACTCTCTTCTGGATCTTGTGGTATTTGGCCGAGCATGTGCTCACACAATTGCCGAGGAGAACAAGCCTGGTGAAACCATTGGTGAACTCTCTCCTGTAAGTTCATCATCTGATAATAGGTTTGAATTTTTAAGTGAAAACTAATTTGATGTACCATTGGTGTTGACAGTGTGCATGGTTTGAATGTCCTCTACAAGTTTTTTAAGTTAATGTGTGAAAGATATAAACAGTCCACTTCAGTGAGGCCATGTTTTAACAGTTTTCAACAAAAAAATTTATTTTGATCAATATGACCATTGAACTGATAATTGTATGATACTTTATAAATTAAAGGCAATGAAATAATGGTTGTATGGTTATTAGCTAATATTTCATCTTATTTGTTCTTGCTGTTAATATATTTGTCTCTTCTACAGAATGCTGGTGAGGCCTCTGTAGCCAACATTGATAATTTAAGATTTGCTAAGGGCAACGTGTTGACTGCTGAAGTACGATCTGCAATGCAGAAAACCATGCAAAACCACGCTGCTGTGTTCCGCACTGGTGAAGTACTGAAAGAGGGTTGTGATAAAATGGCTTCTCTCTGGTCTAAAATGGATGACATTAAGGCAAGATTGCTGAACTCTGACGTATTGCAAATGATTATATTGGCTATTAGTATTGTAACTTTTTTATTGATAAGTTTTACAAAATTACGATGGGGCACTAGAAATTCCCACGACTACCAGACTAGTTTACTGGCTTATTTTGCTTACATTTAACCCTGGGTATGGCTTCTAAGAAAGGTGCAAGTGTCAGAGGTGGTGTTTAATTGAAGTTTCTCGCAGTCCATGGTGCTTTAGAGACACGGGAGGTGTATAATTAGTGGGTCAGAGGCGTATTATTGAATTCATTTTTACCTGACCTTGGTTAGTCCTGCAAAACGGATAATCCAGCAAGGCTTTGGAACCCAGGGTGTCAGAAAATCGGTGGTGTACCTGTAATTAATGTTCTCATTTTTTTCCATTTTCTTGAATAATTTATTCTTTGATGTTGGGTGGCTGAAGTAACTGTTTCATACTTTGTTCATTATCGTAACTTCTCTCTAGCTGCTATATGTACAGTCAACAACAAATTTTCCTGCACCTTATGGTGCTATTCAATATGACACACTGGACCCAGAATTCTGAGCAACATTAATTTATTAGGGTGATTCCTGTTAATTTTTGTGTTTTAACTATATGTGATGTAGAGAATACATTGTATTGGTCACACAGTGCATAACACAACCAGAAGTACCAATGTTACTAAATGAACATTGCCTCAGTCAGGGATTGATGTGAAGGCCAATAATAGGGCATGTTGAATGTAAGGGTTAATAATGTCAGTCATAATACCTCTCCTCTTATCTTTCTTATATCCTTTATATATAATATGCTTTAACCAAAATTTATTAATAAAGATATTTTATTTGTTTCAAACATTTTAAATTGTTATTTATTTTTTTTACTGAGAACTTCGTATAAACTTGTGGAGAGCATGCAAATTTTTTTTAGTCATAATTTCTGCAAATATAGTTAAGAAGGTGGTGTTTGAATACATGCAATACAGTTAAAAAAAGGCTGCCTAGCATTCTAGAATTCTTCTAATGGCAATGGTAAATGCTCAGTCTAAGGTTTACACTCATTTACAAACATCTTACACGCACTCACTCAGTCACGGTGTTCTTTTTCATTGTTTTTTATGTTATTGTAATTATTTTATTGCATTATATAGAGAATACATCAAAAAATATTTTGCTATAATATAAGAAATATGAACAGCAAAGGTGCGTATGTGTGTGAAATGAACGTGTGTTGTCACGTTAGATGACCCAGCGGCTATACCCCCCTACCTCTCCTACCAGGCTAAGCTGTGTTATTGTTATTTTTCAACTCGTAATTTTGAGTACCTGTATACATATTTTTATTTTATTTGTTTTTATTTTATTTTATTTTTAACTTGTTACATGCACACAATTGTTCATTAAAATTGTCCCCCCAAAATTAAGAAATGACCTATCATAGGGCCAAAAATATAGAGAATAAAAAAATTTTGTGTCTGTGGGATAAGTTTGCAGATTGTGGGAGAGGCAGAGTGGAGTAGTGAAGGAGGTGCAGGGCTAGGATCTCATCCTCCCCATACTGAGCAAAGCTGTGAGCTGCATTTTTTGTATTATTCAACTTGTAATTTTGGGTAGATGAATGTAATTATTTTTTATTTATTTTTATATTTTTTCTCTGCTACATGCATATACAATCGTTCATACAGAATCTGCAAGGAAAATTAAAGAAATGGTTAAAAGGTGAAAAACAAAATTGGAATAAACATTTCTTACGTGCACGGTAGTTAGCCCTTGGATTGTGGGAGGAGTGTTGGAGATTGCAGCCACTCTGGTCTCCCTCGTGTAGTGCAACTATTGCCAACTGGCAATGTGGTATTTTTTTTCATAGATTTTATTATAATTCTTCACATTTACTGGTATGTCAGTATAAACCTGACCCTGGTCCCAAATAGCCTCAGATAATGAGGAGTATACAGTATTTATAAAAGTATCTATGTGGTGAAAGTTGCCAGCTGGAAACGCATCCCCCTATTTACATTACGGTAATTCTTATGGGGAAAATTACCCTGATATTCGTAAATTCGTTATTCACATTGACTTTTAGAAATGCATCCCTTACGGTAACCAGGACATTCCTGTAATTAATTTCTTTATATATAATTGTATTCTCCATCTAGTCATGCTTCAATACTAGTAAAGTTATCATGGCATATAAACTGATAAGTCTGATAGCGTCGGTTGGAATCAGCTGATGCAAGCCAGAGTAACGTCAGAGGATACAGTATTTTTATATCTGAGCTTCCACCATTTTTCCAGCAAATCACATGAAGCTGAGTGCACTGTTCAAAAGTCTTTAATTATACATGTATTTGAATGAAATCTTGACGGCAAAATGTTCTTTTACGGGTGTGGACAAAGTTCGATTTAAATCCCTCTACCAAAAAACATTAGATGCAACTTTTTTTCAAGTTAAGTGCTCAAAGGGTTGAATAATACATGATATGTCCTATGTTGTAACAGCTGAGTTACCATTTTAGTAATGTTTATAATAGTAACTTTTAGGTTGACAGGGCAAAGGAATCTCAAGTTAGTAATAATGATTGTACTGTTTCAGTTGGTTGATCGTGGCATGGTATGGAACACTGATTTGGTAGAGACCTTGGAACTTCAGAACCTCATGTCCAATGCTGTCCAGACAATAGTTTCGGCAGAAGCTCGCAAGGAGTCCCGTGGTGCTCATGCCCGAGAAGATTTTAAGGTAAGACATTTCAGCTGAAAATGAAAATACTGTACTCCACAATACAAAATTCAGTCAATACTCTTTGATTGGGCCTTTCTATCATGATACATTATGACTTCTTTTTTATATATATATATATATATATATGGAACTAGTCCATTCCTTTCTCGGTGGTTTTCTTGCACCCTAATCATACTGTTTTATATCCTCATCCTAATTTATCATATGTAATGCACTCGATATGCGCATACCACCTTAATGCTTTTTCATCCATTTAGCTACAACGATTAGATTGTTTCATGCTTTGTACAAGAGAAACCATACAATTATTTCAGGATCGCATTGATGAGTACGACTATACCAAGCCCCTGGAAGGTCAAACACCCGTACCAGAGGAAAAGCATTGGAGGAAACACACACTATCCACTGTTGACATTGATTCCGGAGATGTAAGTTTTTAATTTCATTTTTTTTAAAACGGGTCTAGTTGCAAACTGTTTTAAGTTTACAGAGTTACATTAGTGTAACTTTAATTCCAGCTGAAATACCCGGTTGATAACATTCAAATTGGTGAACACAAACGATCCCACATTGTAGGTGGTCATCATTTTGAATTGACTGTTTTAGGATTTTTATCATCTTCATCATCATTGTTTTACAGCCATTTCCAACACTTGCATGGGTTATCTGCAGTTACCTGATGGCAGGTCTCCATGTTGCATGGTCTCTTGCAGTCTCACTTGTCAGGTTTCTAACTACTGTACAGCTACTCCCCAACTTATGACCTACTCGACTTACGACCACCCGCATTTATGACCTGCCTCAGTTGTACCAAAATTTGGTCAAATTACGTATTTTCGAGTCCCAAAGTCAGTACACTGACAAAATTTTCATCTGTAATTCACTTTAAAATGGCTGGCAAGCTTAAAAGTGGGTGCTTTGTGGTGCTGAGAAGAAAAAGAGACACCCATTTTCGATTTTCTATGTGCTATTTAAGTATTTCCGACTTACGACCATTTTGACTTACGTCCTGGATGTCGGTCCCTAACCCCGTTGTAAGCCGGGGAGCAGCTGTACTGTAATTTCTTGCAACCTCTCCTCATTTCATACTTTGATTGTACTTGTGTACAATCAAAGACAAAAGTCGTGTTGCAGTTTTGTCCGAAGATTAGATGTAACTCGTGAAACATTATGAGAGCCCTACCACAAGGCAGAGCGCACCAAAAGTTTTAGCCCTTCGGCTTATGTTTTCACCAAATTTCACGACACGACTTTTTTCTATCATTGTACCTATGACCCATTGGTCTCATCCATTCGCTCCACATGCCCAGACAGCCTGCCTCTATGCATGTTAGCTTCCATTTACCTATTGTAATCACTGATGAAAATCCTGTAGTCAGTATTAAAGGTATGCTGGAAGTAACATAAATGTTTATGGGTTGTGTTTTCAAGCCCGAATGGTTTTTTTCCATTTATTAAGAAAATAAACTACAGTATTGCACAAACAGTATGATATCACTGTAATTAACACTATGAGCTGTGAGTGTTAATAAAGGATGAAGCTTATGTTTAGCGAGCTTCGTGAATACATGTTTGATGTGCATGAGAGACTGAGAACGACTTACCATAAGAGCAGGGTACTGGCCAAGGGCCCGGGTCTTTACTGCTGACCTAGCCAGGGCAGAAGAGTTAGAGGTCAGGTCATAATGATAGGCAAGGAGATTACTTGACATACATCACTTGCTTCGATATTAAAGAGAATAAACAAAAAACTTGCTTATAGTTTAATTACCAGGGATTATGCAATTATATAAACATAATGTATGTAAGTATTACTGTCTGTTAGACAGGGGCTAATACATGCAGTAATTTGACAATACAGGTGTTCCTCAACTTAAAAACATTCAACTTTTAAGAGATACTAACAGACCTGTCTATACTTAATGAATGTCCGTGAGTCATTTACTGTGAACAATAACTACCCGGTACTGTACATGGTTGTGGTAATGCAGTAGGCTATCCTTCAGCAGTAAACTCCTTTATCCTGGACTTGCCTACCGTACCCCTAGATTCTTTCTTTGTGTTGTTAAATGAAGAGCAGAACTTCATTCACTATTACATGCCTTTTTAAATCTAAAAATTACTTAATGCAAATGAAGATTTACAGATAATTTTCTTTAGTTAGTGAACATTGTTAGTGACATTGTCCAAGTTAGATTTGTCACTAGCCTCATCGCCCTAGCCCTCTCGCAACCCGACCGAGCTGTTAATTATGTTATGATTTTTGTTTTCTTACTTTTTTCTCAGATACTTCCACACACAATCTTCCATACATAATGATATATACTGTAATGTGCAAAATCTGACAAAAGAAATAACTATCATAAGGTAAAAAACATGGAGGGAATAAACATTTCTTTGCGTGTGAGAGCACGCTGAGCGGGGGAGCAGGAGAGGGGAGGAGCGGTGAGAGAGCTCTGTTGCTAGAGGTCAGCCGAGGAAGTGTCCTAGCTAGGCTTCGTTGTTATTATGAGCTTCGATACCATACAGCCAGTGTCTATACAATGGTTGTGCTAGATCTTCATTTAGCCTTTCTTTAATGATTTTAGCTGCATTTTTTCATCTAGGTAGTATACAAATATTGGTTGAAGTACAGTAGTACAATCGGTAAATAATGTAAGGTAGGTGTATATATATATATATATATATATATATATATATATATATATATATATATATATATATATATATATATATATATATATATATATATGCATATGCGCGTGATCTAGGTACTTGTATATGCTGATAACCACAAGGAAAGAAGAAAACACAAAGTTCCCAAGCGCTTTCGTGTAATTCACATCTTCAGGGGTGAGTACAGACTTCGTGTTTTCTTCCTTGTTGTTATCATATATATATATATATATATATATATATATATATATGTATGTATATATATATATATATATATGTATGTATATATATATATATGTATATATATATATATATATATGTATATATATATATATATATATATATATATATATATATATATATATATATATATATATATATATATATATATATATATATATATATATATATATATATACTTCTTTCACAGGTAAAGTTATGGTATCGTCCAGTAATTGATCACACCCTTGATGATGCAGAATGTGCTACTGTGCCACCTGCAATCAGGTCCTACTAAGGTTGTGCTGCATATAGGTTAACTGTACATAAGTTTTTGTGACTGATCATTAATTCTAAACATCACATTATTTAAAACAAGTACTGTAGTCATTTTAGATTTTTTAGAAAATTCTTGGTTTCCAAATACCTGTAGTGTACTGCAAAATTATCTCCTTGTCTTGTTGGTACTGTAGTAGTTTCTTGGGAGGCTCTCACATATTATGGTAATTATTTGAAACAAGTACTGTACTGTAGTCTCATTAGAGTTTTAGAAATTTATATTTTAATTTTTCCAAATAATTTAATTTGCTGTCCTTAATCTGTTGGTAATCAGATGATGGGCTCATTAACATTAATATAATGTAGTTTACCACAGTAGTAATTTCCACAGTTATAGGGCTGTTTATGCCTAGTTTGTAGATAATGTACATAATCTTCAGTGAAAGCACATGTAGGCGTTCTTATGTAATACAGTATTGTATTTTGTTTAAATTGTATGAATTTGTAAAAGATTCAATAAATGGCATAGGTTTTAAAATATTTCATCATTTATGTCATCCTGTCCACTTTGTGCAAGGTACTGTAGCAGTGAAAGCTCAGTATATGATACAGTGTCTACTTTCAAATACACCATCTGCAATATACAGGAACAGGACTATGGAAAAGATATCATTTAGTATCATAATCATCGTTTTGCAGCATACAGTAATTGATTAAAGCCGATAACATATATTGCACCATTCAAGAGTGTATGTACTCTTATACAGTAATATGGTAGCTTTTATTTTATTTTATTTTTAGATTCTATTTTGTACATTAAACATTCTTGATAGCTGCTTCTGATTAACGTCTTTTGCTAACTCCACCTACTGTAGAACTGAACTACTGAACAGTATATTGTACAAAATAATGCTCACTCCCCTTAGTGTCTAACCTTGCTCTTTCAAAGTTTTTACATAAGATATCCTGGACACAAACCAATGACAATCTTAAAACATAAACAAATTTAGTGGTCTGTTCAGTGTATACAGCCCCACACTTCACTCAACACCTGAAGAATAAATGGGCACCTGGACAATCAAGAAAAAAGACAGAGTACCCATTGAGTAACCCCTCTCCCCCTTCACTAGAGAGGGAAGAAGAGAGGTGTACTACAAATTCAATTGCTTTGCCCTACTTGTCATTCTGAATGATAAGTGCATGTAATAGCCAGATCATCATCTGTCTGTACACTGCAATATAACAATAATGGCTACTAAAGTGAGTGGGCTCGTATTTTTTTTATTTGTTTGCATAAAAGAACTGAAAATTGAGGCACCTCAGCTTGAATCATTTATGAGTCAACCTGCATCAGTGGAAGTTTTATTAATGTACTGTATATTTGTGTTCTTTACCAAAAAAAAATTTATACCGGTATATATACTTGTATAATCTTTTACTAGAATCTTGAGAAAAATAAGAATAAATCCATTTAAACTACTCATCTCTCTCCTTAACTAAGGTGAACTACTTATGCGTTCAATGTAACCTATATTGAGTTTTATCATAACTTAAATACTTACATAATAACATAATAATACCTAAATTGGCTGAGTTTAATATCAAACATAATTTAGTCATAATCTAACGAAACTAGAATTATTGAAACTAAAGTTTACCTAACATTTTATCCGAACCTAAAAGTTAACTGTAGTTGCTCATTTAAACTCTTGCAAGCGAGTGTCCATTGGGCTGGGAAGGAGCAAACTGCCAGTTGCTTGAGAACGTCCAAAGGAGGGCTACCAAGCTGGTACCAACACTCTGATACCTCTCTTACCAAGAGGCGACATAGTGTTTATAAACATCTCAAAGGATATTATTACTGTGCTTATCTAAAATTAGCCTGTTGGCACCCCACTAGATGTCAGCGTCAGTACAAGCTATCATTACTGAAAACTATTAAGCCCCTTGCTCCAAGGAGCTGATAACACCTGGAATCCCCTATCAGAGGTACCATATATGATTCATATTTTACCTGTACAATACTCGGTTTACAATGTTTAATTTTTTTATATTACCCTTTATTGTTACTGTTGTACTGTCACCTCATTTATTTTTTATTTTTCTGTGAATGCTTACAATATGTACTGTACATTATTTACAACTCTTATGAATACGTGTAATGAGATAAACTGCTGATATATAGGCATTTTTTCTGGTTTCTATTCAAAAATAATTGTTTGTGAATGATATTAAAGGAAAAAAACTGTGAGTCACCCCAAGTCTCCCATTTTTGTGAAATGATTTCCTTTCAGTTCTTCGTGTGTGAATGTTCAGTCACTTACACATTTATAAGCACAGTGCAGGTATTGTCACTATATTGCAACAGTCACTTCCACACACCACCATTGTTACCTCCACATCACCTCAATACTCACCCCTCTCACCTCAACACTAATTATCCTACATACTACTACCATACCAGGTACGGTAGTTGCCCCCCACACCACCTCGATACTCATCCCAACACAAGGGAGAGGAAGAGAAAAATCAGTGGTAATAGGACTAGTGGGATATCATAGCATTTCACTTATGACATAGAGTAGTATATTGTATTTCACTAGGACATAACTGCAGTGCTTGGTGTTCTAGGACATACAGGGTACAACTTCTGATTTTAAGGGTTAAAACTAACTTCTTTGTTTTTTAAGTTGTGAACACTTGGAATAACTTGCCTGAGTATGTTGTGACATAACCAAATGTGAGCTGTGGAACAAAAATCATATTGTATGTCAGGTGTTGTTAAACTTAATAATAAATAACTGCAGTACCTATGTACTAAATGCATTTTTTATGTGGGTGGACCAGATGGCTGTAAGAGGAGGAGGAGGAGGAGGCCATCTTCTTACTTGTCTGTAAAACAAGTGTAGAAATTTAATTGGACATACTGTATACGTTTGTTGTAACATTAATTATTGTATATTTTTAATCATATAGCAAATTTGGGGTAAATACAAGACATTATTAAATAAATTTGTATTGACTAGAGTATTTACACACCTGTTAGAGGGATACATGTTCAGTAACTAGTGTTATATTAATATAATTGTAATAGATGGTGTAAAGAGTGTATTAATAGCAAGAGATTGAATGTTATCGAGATTGTTTCAAGTGGAGGAGGCCAAACTTTATCAAGATCTTGGGTGGAAGAGGTTGATTGAGTCCAGTGACTGGCATGTTATAAACCAACTTGGCATCTGGTGAGAAACTAATATTTTATTGTTACAACTGCAATTTTTCTTGTAGGTTTAGAATAAAATTTGGTTCCAAACCTGTCAAGTTTACTTTAAGTTCAATTTGTAAACAAAGCAGAATTAAAATGAACAAAATGTAAAAGACAATACTGTACCGAATGTATTTCTTTTTCAGGGAAATGTTCCCAATTTTCAGTGAACAATTCTTATTCTCTTCTCTTTTACTGTGCAGTAAAACTCCCATAATTTGAACCCCTCAAATTCGTAATCACTCATAATTCATAATGTTTTGCTGTTACAAAATATGAGGCGACAAGGTACCAAGCGCCAAAAATCACAATAAAAAAAACTCTTAAAGTTTGGAAAAATTCAAACTTATGTAACTTGAACCAATGAAGATATTGAGTTCATTCAAATGGCAATATGTAGAGCTCTTAAAGCTGGTTTTGCAGATACTAAAGTCATTTTAATTGAAAAGATTGTGTATAGTAAAAATTTCATTGTTTTTTATGGGTAGTGTTTGCAGTTTCATCAATATGCATTATTGAGGTATAATTTTCATTAGATGGAAGCAATAGTGTAATAAGACCACAACAGAAAGTCAAAGGTCATTATACTGTTTGCATAACAGTAAACAATACAAGGTATCACCAATATTTTGACTGGGAACCTAGCACCAAAAAGTATAATAAAAAAAATGCGGATACTTATTTCTTAGTTATTATTAGAAAAATTACAGTAAACAATGACTTGTAGTACCAATATTACCACCCACCCTTGCTCCCAGCTACCTTCTACTCCCTTTGTTCCCCCCTTTGGTGTGATAAAACTCGTCACTCGGACAGGTAGGAACATGACACGCCACGTGCTACCAGCCCTCACTCCCACCATCCTCGCCCTCCCTTTTCTGTTTTGTTTACTCTTCTCTCAATGGCCCTCACTCCCTACTTTTTGCCTGTTGGAAAATAAAAAAAAATGTTTCAAGTGTCATTGGATAGCATTCCTATGACATTTTTGTAGAAACATGGACTCTCATTAGCTAATTAACCAGAAACATTAGTCGCTATAAGTGAGAGAGGCTACGATGGGGGGCCACGGGTGTTGTCCCCTTCTCCCCCAGTGCAGGGGTCCCCGACTTATGAACACCAGCCGATACGAACAAAGTACCACAAGGTCAATTATTTTAAGAATCTGACATTAGTACAACTGACTCGTGGTATTTATGTACGAGAACTAGTTTGCATGGCGTAGAGGCAAGGCAGAGCAACAGGTGGGGAGTGAAGTATCACCCAGCCACATGCCTTGAAGGAGCATCAGTATGGTTTACCCTAACTGCATTAACATGCATGATCAAGTGCAAACTGTTGTTTTTGCTTCTCATTTTTTTGCCCTCATCATGGCTCCCAAATGCAAACCTGATGCAAGTGATAGTAGTGCATCTAAGAAAAGGAAAATAATTACGATGGAAGTGAAAGTTGATGTAATTAAATGTTCTGAAAAAAACAAAACACCCTCAGTCATTTGAGGACAGATGGTTCGACACAGCACTGACCCACATTGTGTTCACAGAAGAGGGTATTAGATATAAACTGTCAAAGCTAAAGGTCCATAAGAGTTCCGGCCCTGACGTGGTGTATCCCAGAGTGCTAAGAGAGTTGTGCAACAAGTTTGCCGAGCCCCTGAAGATCCTGTTCTGTAAATGCCTGGATGAACAAAAGGTCCCCAGTGATTGGAAAATGGCTCTTGTGAGTCCTATCTTCAAGAAGGGCAATTGTCACTCCACGAACAACTATAGACCGGTGAGCCTGACCAGCATAAAATGTAAAGTACTGTACTTGAGAGTATTATCAAAGATGCCGCGATGGAACATCTACTATAAAACAACCTTGTAAAGGATTGCCAACACGGTTTTATGCCGGGGCACTCCTGCTTAACGCAATTGCTCAAGGTATTGGATATTTGGACCCATATTCTGGAATGGGGTGGTAATATCAACAAAATATACCTCGATTTTGCCAAGGCTTTCGACAGTGTACCCCACGAAAGGCTGAAAATCAAACGAGAGGTACGGAATTCGGGGAAATGTCCTAGTGTGGATAGAAGACTTTCTACATGATCGCAAGCAGTGTGTGTGGTGATTAATTGCACGAAATCATCATCTGTACCTGTCACAAGAGGGGTACCATGGCAGTGTATTGGGCCCGCTGTTGTTTGTTTGTTTCATAAATGACATGCCTGACGTACACTCCTCCATACAATTGTTTGCCGATGATGCCAAGTTATTTTGGGAAATCAAGAACCAAGCGGACTGTGAAGAGCTCCAGAAGGATTGTTGCGTACTGGATGTGTGGCCAGAAGATATCCCAGACTCAGGACGAGGTAGGAGAGAAACTCACAATTGCGTTTTCTTTATATATTGTAGGTACAGTGCTGTGCTAGGGAGATGCTGTATGGTGAGAAGTAAGTTGCTGGTGTCGACCCCCCATGTCTAGACTGGTCAGAGAAACTTGGCGCGACTCTAGACGACTAGGCCTTGGCAGAACTCCGTTGCTATGGGATGCGGCTATGCTGTTGTAGGGGAGAGAATCCACTGCAGGATCTCTGTGAGCTCCAAGAATGGTCGAAGAAATGGCTGCTGAGATTCAATGTCACGAAGTGTAAGAGGATGCACCTGGGGCATACCAATGGTAAGGAGGCGTATCATATGTCCCAACGGGATGAAGAAACTGCACTATTTGAGACTGAATGTGAGAAGGACCTAGGTGTGTATGTTGACAATGAGCTGAAGTTCTCGGGGCCATTGCGAGAAGAAGGTAAATCAGGCAAATAAATTATTGGGTCTTATAAGAAGGTCGTTCAGATATCTAGACGGTCTGTCCCTCATAGAGATCTTCAAGAGTGAAGTGCTTCCCCATCTGGTCCCCGAGATATGCTAGGGACTCTCAGTTGGTTGAAAATGTTCAAAGGAGGGCCACCAGACTGGTGCCTGCTCTTCGGCTCCTCAACTTCCCTGGGAGATTGGAGCGCCTGAACTTGCCTAGCTTATAGTTTAATTTTTTTGTATTCACTAGTTTATTCATGGCCATATTTATAAAAAAAAATTGCCAATACAGTACAGCTTCACAACTGCTGTTCCAATGTATTGTTAGAAATTTAAGAATGGAAGTTTTAAGATTAGGCTGCTACAGTGGAAAAATTTGAAGATCAGGCTCTACTATTCTTTTACTTTTCGTTTTACTTTTATCCACCTTGTCACTGATAGGCTCGTTAACTTCTTGGGCGGTCCTATTTACTTTTTTTTTATCCTCTTCGCCACTGATCGGCTTGAAGAAAATGGTGTGGGGAGAAACATTCATAAAGATAGTTAACAACAATTTACATTTTATTTATTTTTTTTTTTTTTGGCTATAACACTCAGAACGAAATGTGTATGATATATTCAAGTAAGGGATATTATAACCATGAATGCTCAGTGGTATACTGTACATACATGCCAAACCAATAAATATTAGTATTATTGTTATTATTACTTAGCTGTCCCGCTACTGTTTAAACTGCGTTGACACCTCACTCATTTAGTATTTCTAACTAAAAATTTATATTAATTTTTTTCTCTCGGCAGTTGCTGGTGTCAATACTGATTACAGTATTCATCGCTCCTTTGAACTTCCCGTAATAAAGGATTCACACAACCTCGTCATTTGAAATAGACCAACTTTTCTCTCTTGTTTGAAATTTTTGATAAGTAATACAAAAATTAAAGTTCTAAAGTGAGGGGGATGAATAAATTCGTATTTATTCTTATTTAATTTTGAAATTGGCACAATCTTCCTTGTTTGTTGTGGTTACGTGTGGTGTCCGTATACCTGGATTTCGTTTGCATTAATTCATAAAAAAGATTACATAATTCACAGCTAACTTTTCATTTGTCATTATTTAACAGGATAAGTTAGAAATTAAACCAATTTTTCATGGAAAGCGTAATAAAATTTGTAAGTAGAACGGGTGAAAATAGTTTGTAGGTCACGCTTATAAAGTTCGGACGTGTTAGGTGAGGCATGGCGGCTTCTGGTGTGTTAGTCAGCTGTTCTGGTGCTGTGTTATCTTCCTTACTGTATGAACAACTGAGGAGTGGCCATGCTCAGGTACGTAAAGTATCATTCCAGTTCCCAGCTTGATAACATTTTTAAAATAAAATGCGTACAGTGTTTGTCAAAGGAACTTGATTTCATTATGTGTTGGTTGCATCACTGAAGGTTGTCTGGAGTCAATTAATTTATTATGTATATGTTTCTGTTTACTTCTGTAGTTCCCCTGTAGTCTAGATTAGACTATGTACATAAAAACTGAGGCTTTAGTCACTTGTACTGGATAATTTGAAGCTTTTGCTCCAACACTTGTCAAAAGAGGCAGCTGAATAACATGCTGACCTATTAGATTCCTGTCACCTGTGTATACGACAACCCTTTTGGGGTAAATTTATACTTTAGGACTTGAGTCCCTAGGGCTTGACCAATTTGTTTTTCCAGTGTATTTTAGACGAATCTGACCTACATATTTGGCGGAAATTGATAGTTTTTGTCCCCCCGCTCCCCCCAACAATAATGGGGGAGAGCCTGGGAAGTCGGGGTTTTTGGGTGGGAGGGAAAACGAAAACAAAGTCATCTGACCTCACAAAACCTAACCGGACCCCCGGTAGGCCTAGCTTAAAACTAACCTAAATGTTTCGGTAGTTAAAAACAATAGGGCGTGCCATGTCTAAAAGTACAATACCTTAGTTAGAAGTGGAAGGACCAGGGATAGGTAAAAATTAGATAGAATGATCGTCTTTCTCGTAAAACTCGGCAATAAACTTAAAATAATCGTAGGAGCACAAACGACAACCAACCTGCACCATGGCCATTGTGAAACTGGTCAATGAAATATAAATCATACCCAGGCTGCTTCCTTTGAAAAAAAAATGTGATTGGTTGAAAAAAATTGCGTGATGATATCGATACCTCATTGGTCACGACCGGATGACATCAGTTAACATTGTGCATGCTTGATGTGCAGATAACATCTCACAGATGAAGACTGAAAACTACTTAAAATCAATTAAATTCAATTGTGTCGCTATTATCCTTTTCCGCCATGTATATATGGGGTTCAATATGCTCAGAATAGCAAGATCTAAATATTTCGGTAGTTTGTAACTTTTGCTGGCGCTATGACCAAAAGTAAAATAATACCCCTTTAGGTAATACTCTGGGACACTGTTCTCCAATAACAATCCTATAATAATTTATTAAATAAGAAAGCTTGTGGTAAATGTTCATTTAATGGCTATGGCTCCTTGTAATGAGAATTCAACTTCTTAATCACTGTTGAAACCTAACCTAATATCTACCAAACATGTATTAATAATTAAGTTATGCTAACCAACCAGACCTACCGTACCTTACCTAAAATCTTGCTGCAGCCATTAAACTATATTAACCAAGCTTGTTTCAAGAATATCCAAAACCTGGTTGAGGAAGTGTGGTTAATATTGACAACTGACCTGCGGATGGGTTATTTGTTTTACTGTTTATTTTCTTACTTTATTTTCGTCAGTGAGTTTTGATATGATAATCATTTCTTGTGCAAATACTTTATTTTGTAGATAATTAGGCGCGCACTACTTTGTCTTCCCGGCAGTAATGTGGCTACACTCTTTGCCACACTAGCCTCTCATTCCCGCGCCAGTTTCATTTTCATCATGGCGTGTGAAGGTTGTTGCTGGTCTTGTGCTTTTAAGGGAACTTGGCTTGAAAATGCCAAGATTAAACACTGTATTGTACTTTTTTTATAATCATCTTTCTAAGAAAATACTTCTTACTGCAATACTGTGAAATTGAATTGGGTTTGTGTGCAAAGTCTGTTGTATATGATGTATTTCAAAACACTGTTGCCCAGGTTGGATCAAAGCTCACGAAGGCAGCTGCAATAACGTCCAAAAAATAAAAATAAATAAATAAATTACACCAAATCATAGTACAAGTAAGTTCTTTCTGTTTAATATACCAGGTGGTCCCCACGGTAAGGAAGTTAGGTAAGGTTAGGTAAGTTTGTTGGATTAGGTTGGTGAGGTCTGTTTTTCATACCCTCATAGGTTAGGTTTAATTTATAAATAACCAATTTTTAACACATTTACAGAAACTGCAACAGTGTACACTATAAAAAAGTGAAATTGCGGCATGTTTTTTAAATAATTTTCTATGAAAAGGTTGTTGTGGGTCAGTCATCAATAATTATCTGAAGTGCAGTTTTCTTAATACTGTATTATTTTGGAGATTCTTTCTTCCCGAACACGAAACTATGTTGATATAACGCAAAGGTGGAACAGATGGCTAACACCAGAAGGATGTGTTTTTTTTTTTTGGGTGGGTGGGGGGGGCATTCACCCACCCGGGCACAGTTCGTTGACCCATGTCGGGGGCGGGGGGGTATTATAATAATAATACAGTAATAGTAATCATACTAAAATGAATAATAACAAATAAACATTATAATAAAAATACCCAAAATAAAATAATAACCATAAATAAATACAAAAATTAAAAAAAAATAGGAGTGAGAAACGATTATGTATGTTGTGTTTTCAAAGTAAGAGAAAAAATTGAGACCCTGAAATTGTGTGTAAAGGAGGCAGAAAGTCAGATCAACCTGGGATTTGGTCACAATTTTTTTGATGCCATATAGCAGCAGGGTCTACCTTTAGACAACACATGCTTCCAATATCTTCCCAGGTGGCAGTACCTCCCTGTTTGATAGCTGCCTATCAATGCACGGAACCTAATAGAACCTGGCCTAATCAACCAAAGAAGGTTAATATTCGTTTTTATCCCAATAGGTATTCCGGATTATTTTTTACTATTTATCACTTGGATTCTTGTTTAGTAAGGAAACAATTTTTTTTCTATAGCAATAGTAGGTTAGGATAGATTGCCTGGTTAACATTCATTTATCCCGATAGGGATAAAAACGAATATATCCCAAAGAAACATACCTAATCTTACCTAATCTTACCAGGCATATTAAACAGAAAGTACTTTGGGGTACTTTGATATCTTGTACCAATGAAAGAAATTTCTTGAAGCGGCATGGTGTAATTTTACGTTTTTTGTGGACGTGAGAGTACGTTCAAAACCAAGTGGCTCGGTTGTTGCATGGAAACAAACAGAGCGGAGACAATATGCATCAACACAGCAGAATATTTACAGTAAATAAGAATTTTTTTTTTTGCCTACAAAGCTGGAAGCATTGTATTGTTTTTATTACTTACTGTTATCCAAAGAACGTGGAAAAAATGAGTGTAATCGAACAACTCCGTCCCGACGACCAGGTCGTAAGTCGAAAAAGCGAAAATAATACATAGAAATTCTAAAATGAAATGCAGTACAGTAAAAGTAATCAATAATGGAAAATGAATAAAGTGTTACTGTGCACTTATCTTTACTGTAGTCAACTGAATGCACACGGGACCTCAATAATATTTTAATTAAGCATGTAGACTACATTAATTGGATGAAGTAGAGGAGGAGACAGGGCTGGGTGGGTCATCAAGTTCACTTTCTTCAGACAGGCTAACAAACTTGCTTGTTGAAGGTATTGGATCATCTTAAGGGAGTGAAGAGGCAGCAGTGGTGGGGCGTGAGAAGACAGCAGTGGGGGACTTCTTAAAAAATATGTCCAGTTTAGACTGCACAGTTTGCCTTTTCTTTTCATTGCAAATCTCCCTGTAGCGAGCAAGTGCATCTTTGATCAGTCTGTCAACTTTGGCAAAAAGCTCAACATTTTGATCCATTTCTTCAAACATTTGCATCCCCTTATTAATAGTAGCAAGTGCCTCTGCCATTTGTTTCACTGAAAACTTTTTGGGGGGTGCAGGTTCTTCTACATTTTGTCTCTTCTTCCTCTGCAATTTTCTGTGCATCCAGTTCAATAAGATCCTCGCTACTTAGCTCTTCTGCTACACTTTCCACCAACTGCTCAACATCTTCATTATCAATTTCTAACTCCAGCTGTTGACCCATCTGCACTATCTTGTTACTAATCTCAGAAATTGCTTCATCTTCATTAAATCCTTTGAAACTGTTCACATATATTTTCAGGACCTTCTTCCATATTCCATTCATGCACTGACCTGTAACCTCATCCCATGCTGCAGCTATGTTCTTTGTACATTGCAAAATGTTGTAGTCCTTCCAAAACAATCTTGAGCGTTTTCTCGCCTTCAGTAGCAGCAATAGCCTGAGCAAAGATCGTACGTAAATAATACGCTTTAAAAGCAGCAGTGCACCTTGATCCATGGGTTGGATGATAGAGGTAGTGTTAGGTGGAAGGTAGACTACCTTAGCATCAGGGTGCAGGTCGTCCAGGTGTGGTGGGTGTCCCGGAGCATTATCTAAAATGAATAAAATCTTGTACGCAACCCCGTGTTGCAGACAATACTTCTTGGCTCATGGAATGAAACAACTCGGGAACCAATCCTCAAACAGTGCTAGGGTCATCCATGCTTTTTTATTACTGCAATAAAACACTGGCAGTGTGTGCTTGCTGACATTTTTAAAAGCCCTTGGGTTCTCTGTGATATATCATGAAGGGTTTTACCTTGAAACCAGCTACATTCCCCCCCAACAGAAGTGTGATTTGGTCCTACAATCCCGGCATGGTTTTCGCCTCTTTGTGGATGTATGCCTGTTCTGGCATGTGCTTCCAGAATAAGCCAGTTTCATCCACATTAAATATTTGCTCAGGCAAATAATTTCCCTCCACGGTGACACTATCTAGCTCCTCCTTAAAAGCTTCTGCAGCACCCACATCAGAACTTGCTGCCTCTCCACTCACCTTTACACTGTGCAAACTGTAACATTTCTTAAACCTTTGAAACCACCCATGACTTGCTGTGAAGTTTTGGTCGCACTTACCTATGACTTGCTGTGAAGTTTTGGTCGCACTCATCTCCTGCCTGCTCTTTCAGGCTTTCGTAAAGGCTTCTTGCCTTAGCCTGTATGGTTAGAAGGCTTAAGGGTACACACTTTTGCAGCTGATCTTCCATCCACATCACAAGTAATTTTTCCGTCATGAAGAGGACCTTGCCTTTTTTCCGTTATTATTGTTCCCTTTATAGGTGCTGATCCTTTCTCTACCTCACAAATTTGTTCCTTGTCCTTCAAAATTTTTGATATCATCGAATGAGAGAATCCAAGTTGCGTGAAATGGTTGCTACCATTTTTCCATTTTCATATTGCATTATTATTTTTATTTTTATCTCAAAAGTAATTGACTGTCTCTTTCTTCTCAGCACCACAAGAACTCTCACTTTTACGCTTGCTAGTCATTTTAAAGAGAATTAGAAACAGAATTTTTGTCAGTACACAGCGCGATCACTAACAACAACAAAAACGACGGCGGCCAAACACCAACTGAGTGAGCTACGGCGTGGATCCTGTACACCACGAGGCGGCCCGGCCCACGCTGTCGTACGGGGTCACATTACGACAAAACGTCTCGAGACTTGAAAATACGTTATGTGAAAAATATTTTATACGACCACTGTGGTCATATGTCCGGTTTGTCGTAAGTCGAGTATGTCGTAAGTCGAGGAGAGACTGTATTACCAAATTTATACAGTAAATGAATTTGTGGGCTTAAGAGTGAATTTTTTCCGAGGAAATTTTTACTGAAATATTTCAATTTCTATTAAGAGCACAAATCTAGGGAGAGATGAACAAGGAAAGAGTTATTTTGAGCTTAGGAAAATGGAAGTAGTCATCGACCTCTATGCCTGTAGTACTTCTGTTAATTAACAAAACTCATCAGTGAACTACATCAAACCTTAGCAGGAATGAACTTTTGAGTAATATACTGTACTGCCTAACATGAATATGTATCTCATTGGTAAGTTCTTGGTACAATAATATGAAGAAAAGTTCTATGATTATTTGTTGTCCTCCACCAAAGAACTGAAGTTGCAGGGACCATAGTGTACATTTACTTGCTGTTTCCTAAATAAGTTTCTCATCCCTCACCCCTGTTCCAGATTTGCCTTACAGGTACAGGTATACAGTGGGGAATGCTATAACGAATCTAATTGGTTCTAGAACCTTGTTCGTTATAGCATTCGTTCGTTATAGGATTAATCCGTTCCAGGCCCCCAAATACAACCACTTAACACTGAAAAATATAATATAAAATTATAAAAATTGTAAAAAAGTGCATAAATATGCATCTAAACCCCTGAAATAACCAATATCATTAATACTTGTAATAAAAAAAAAAAAAATTAGTAAAAAAAAAAAAATTTTTTTTTTAAATAATGTTCGTTGTAGGAGTTTCGTTCGTTATAGCATTCTCAATTTTATAGGTAAAACCGTTCGTTATAGGAATATTCGTAGTAGGATCCGTTCGTTATAGCATACCCCACTGTACTGTACCCTGATTTATATAAGCATTCCATTGCTGAAAAATCTTTTGTAAGTTGAAGTACATTTTCCTACAGACAGTAGAGTACAGTTCAGTATTGTATTTAAATAAAGTAAAATATTTTACCATATTACCTCTACTGTACAGGGGTATAATAAACAACACTAAAAAAAAAATTCCCAAGCTAATACTGTACTGCAACTAGAATTTTTATTTATAAAATTTAAAACTTTAATCAGCATCCTCACAAGTGACTTTTATTTTCAACAGGAAGGATTTTTACTGGGTCAAGTACAGAGTCACATCAGTGAACACATTAGTGACTCCCAGATCTGCAACGAGAAGATGGAAACTGTCATAAGTCTGTATTACAGTATTTAGTTATCATATACAGTAATTTTCAAGGTTCAATTTTGTAGTTACCTGTACTAAGTTCCAACAAATATATACAGTTGACCCTTGCTATTTGTGGGGTTAGGTTCCATGGACCCTCACGAATTGTCAAAATCCACAAATACAGTGGCATCTTGATAATTTGCATGTTAGGTACCAGAAGACATCATGAATTATATTTTAACTTATTTAAATGGAAATAATTATTTTGGTTCCAGATGCCAAGAAATACCCATAAACTTCCAAAACTGCTTTAATAAACACTAATCATCATACATAATACTCTACACCAACAAACAGTAACACATAGATATTGCACAAAAGTCGTCAGTATATTACATAAGCAGCTCCTTTTCTACTCATAATTTCATGTGGGTTATACTAATACACCAAATGGAGACAGGCAGGTGCCATGCTTGCTGTGACCACACTGTTTCAACAAAGAACTAGTAATTTATTTATTTATTTATTTTTTTTACAATATTATTATACATATATTAACCAATTACCAAATGAACCTAAATAATATGAGAATTACTGTTGATGAATGGTAGGCACTTGAGTGAGACACAATGCTGGTGGAGCCTCAAATCAACTTTCTATCATCTTTGAATGATTTTCAGATGAAAAATAGTGTAACGGAATTGGAATTATGTAGCATTTATTTTGTTTCCTTTTATTTGCAGATCTGTCGTCTTTTCTACCTTGTACAATGATTGGTACATTCTACTCGGGTGCAGGTGCTCTTAATAATGAAAAACTTACAAACTATTTAGGATCAAACTTACAGGTAAGTTAATGTTAACCCTCTCACAGGCTGATGATGCTTATTACGTCATCCTGAGGTGGCAGACTGAGAGACCAGGGGTCCCTCATTGCACTGTACACTCCCCTCAACAGACAGTCATAATTGTTCCATGGAATAGTCTTGTTGGAACTGTGGAACATCCTGTTGATACCCTGGAACCTCTTGCTCATCATGCATTGGTTGAAGGCTGGAACATTGTCCAGCTTCCCCTTTGCTCCAGTACATTGACAAGCAAGGCTGGTATGTTATTCCATTGACATCACACCAATGCTTCCACTGGGGTGGACAAGTTGTCAGTATCTGCTTAGCATACTTATTCATCTCCTTGGCCAGGTATTTGATCAGTTCTCAGGAAGAGAGCTAAGTGAAATACAGAGGAGATTATGACACAGGAACCAGCATCCCAGGCTTTGTGACAAAAGGAATAATTGGTGGTCCATTCTGTGGTGTTTTGACATTATTAGGGACCTGCCACTCTTTGCCATCAACAGATAAAATGTACCGGGAACTTTCCCCCACACACTCATCATTCTCTCACTTTATGTAACTTGACAAAACCTATGACCCTTCGGGCTTTTACGCCCTTAATGTACGAGTCATAAAGGCAAGTATGAACTTTTCATACTTCCCTGTTGGGCGCTGTAAACGCTTCTGCGCTTCACCTTGCACAGGATGTAAGGGGGTGCCCAATAAACTAGCCCCCTTGGGGGCAAATCTGAATCTAAATTCTGTGGTGTGAGGTGGGTGTGGCAGCTGAGGATGAGGGAGTTGAAGGTGATGACTGGTGTGGCACGTTAGAAGATTCTGGAGAGGGGGGGGGGAGGAGTACTGGTTCCAGCTGGTGGATAGGTTAGGGTCACGCTGACCCATCTTCCCTCTCTCCAACAATGCAGGAGACACACACACAAACGAAATATCTCGTTTCGCTGATGTTATCAGTCACTTTCAAAACTCAGCAGTAAGGAAATCAAATACTTCACTGTCAGTATCACTGTATTCCTACAACAGTGTAGCCACCCTTGAATGTGTAAAGCCTATTTACACAATGCGACAAATCGTGGATAGTGTCCCTGAGACACCAGATTTTTTGTCGCGAGGGGGCATAAAACAGGGGTATCCGGCAACCCACCAATGTTGGATAAATGTTGTGTGCCACCGCTTGTGTAGCGTGTCATGGCTGCTCCAGTACGCAACATTCTATCAGGCGAAGAAGGTAAATCGGCATTCATGTCTCAACCTACACAACTTCAGTGTCGTCGAGAGGACGTTATGCAGTTAATAGAACTGTATAAAGATAGTAACTGCCTCTTGCAAGTGAAAAATTAAAAGTATAAAGACAGAAACACTAAGAGATACTGCAGTCTTGTGTATGAGCAACCTGATGCGAGAAATAAAAGTGTTGCTTTAAGTCGAACTCCAGATGAAATACTTTCACGCATCACTGTATTTTCACGTTCAATCATAGGCCTTATTTTTCTTAAGTTACGAAAGACAGTGACTGGTAGTCTCAAATAGTTTTCAAAATCTAATCTACTTTCTGCTGCTAGTTTACTGAATACATGTTCATAACTTTCCCATGTTTGTCTAAGAAGCAGCCACTTTGCACCACACTCTTACTTCTTCCTTTTTAAGGCACATGCCAACACAAGAGCCCAGAGAGCAGTGGCAGTGCGACCCATTCTCGAGGAAGCCTGGTGTCCCGTGGGGTAACTGTGTTGTGTAAACAGGCGGATGGTTTGACGGCGCTTTTTCACCCCTGTGCCTCACCACCCTGGGACAAATGTTGCATTGTGTAAACGGGGCTTAAGTTAAGGTTTCAGCTGTGACAAAACACATGGTTTTACTGCTTACACAGGCTGGAGCTTTTTTCTAGCCCTCCTTCCCCTTCTCATCATGTTTCCTCTTCCCTTTCCCCACCACCACTCTATCTTGCTCCATCACTGATATACATGCAATAGGAATTCATGAAGAATCCCTGAAAAAGAACCCCCGAAAATGCTGATGATACATCAGATGTTTCCGTCTCAAAGGACCGAGTTGCGACCTCTGAGTTTGAAGGGGATAAGTGGGGAATGCATCTACCCAGGATAACTTGGCTCTGCCCAATACCTGTCCATTGGTGACTGTGTCACAAGGCGGGAGGAGTGACACAGTGTCATTTTCAAAATCCACCAAGAAATAAGGAAACCCAGTTGGATAACGTATAGAGCGTCATCAGCGTGCACCACACCTTCAGCTTGCAAGAAGGTTAATATCAGGACTACAAATAGTTTCTTTATCATTTTTTATGATTGATGTTTGCTACATGTGGTAATGCATGACAGCAAATGTGCTCTAGGGATCAGTTTTCATAGTACAGGTTGTACCTCTCTAGTCCGGCATTCTGTGGTCCGGAAACTCCCGTGGTCCGGAACGATTTTAGTTTGTCCAATAGGCAGCTTTTTTTTTTTTTTTTTTTTTTTCTGAATTATTATTATTATTACAGGAGTATTAAATTTTTGCCCCTCAGGCCCCAATGTGGGTCAGTGACCTATGCCCGAGTGGGCTAATCCCCATAAAAAAACAACAACAAAGCCGCGGGAAATTAAGGTTTGTTTACATCCGGCAGTTAGGCTGCTCTCTCTCTCTCTCTCTCTGCTTGTCTATACAGAGTACAACATTTAACCCTTCAATATATATATGAGCAGTAAATAAGTGTTGCTTTCATATTCTTATGTAGAGTAATGATGATATGTTTTCACATGTGCGCACTTACATACGCGCAGTCTCACTTTTTTTTTACCATTAATGGTTAGCTACTTATATTGTTCCATTTATTAACATTAAATAACATTACAGGTACTTCAAACAACCATATAAATTTTTTTACATTAATTTTACTACAGCTACAATCAGGGTCTTATTTTCTTCAATTTTATATGTAGAACCAATCAGTCACTGGTTTTGTAAGCTTTAACATAAATAATGCCGGCAGCCGTCTCATCTCATCGTGTGTTTTAATATTCCACGTATTATTAATAAATTGTATTGTTAATTTTGCACACAAACATTAATTCAATAAAAAGAAATTCAGAAACATTAATTAAAATATATATGAACAGTAAATAAGTGTTGCTTTCATATTCTTATGTAAAGTAATGACGATATGTTTTCACGTGTGCGCACTTACATACGCGATCTCTCTTTTTTCTTTACCATTATCGTTAGCTACTTCTAGTGTTCCATTTATTAACATTAAATAACATTACTTAAAACAACCATATTAATTTTACTACAGCTACAACCAAGGTCTTATTTTATTCAGTTTTATATGTAGAACCAGTCAGTCACTGGTTTTGTAATCAACGAAAACAATGCTGTGTCATTTCCTCGTGTGTTTTAATATTCTACATATTATTAATGAATTGTATTGCTCATTTTGAACACATAAACATTAATTCAATAAAAAAGACATTCAGTAATAAATAATAATGAATCTTTTGTACATAAGAGAAATGACGCTGTTTACACGATTATGCACATCGTCTGCACATTGGCGGGCCGTTCAAACCCGTCGAAATTCAAGTTTCCGCCGTCAAAATTTTTATTTTATTTTTTGTGTGTTCCAATAAAATACGTTGAATTAAAAACTCGCGAAATTTGAGAAGCTACTATACGACATTTAACCCTTCAATATGTCTTCAAAGAGACCATGATGCAGAGAAAGTGGTGCTAGTGCTTCCAAGCATAAGCACAAGTCACTATCTATCCAGGAAAAGGGTGAATTTCCATGGTCCGGCACCGGTCAGGTTCCGAGGTTGCCGGACTAGAGAGGTACAACCTGTATTGCAGTACTCATAGTCGGTACTTTAGTACTGCACTAATGTATACCCTTTCTGATAGTATGTTTATGACTTTTCAATAAGTTTTCATATTACAGTACGTATATGTTAACCCCTCTTAGTGTAAGTGCTCCCAATCTTTCATATGTTAAATACATAGTTTGTATTATACAAGATGAATTTTTACATTTTAGACTTGCAGGTTATCATGTAGGCTGGGATCTTACATAAAAAATTTTCCATTTATATATTCTAGCGTGTTATAGGCTGGTACCGTTGCCGGGGGTCAAATTGTGAAGACTTGTATCTTCGGGAAACAATGGTACACCAGCAACTGTCAGCAGTTATGACACACACGGGTGGACACTTCATAGTGGGCATCATGTCCAGCCACCCTTCTGGAGATAGTGGGACATTTACTGTCAACCACAAGTTCATGATGCTGCAGAACAAGTAAGAGATCTCCTCACTGATATGCTATTACTGTATATAATTTGTTTAAATTAATAACAGACCCCACACTTGAAAAAATGGCAGGGTGAAAGAAACAGGCTTTTTAGAAATATATATATATATATATATATATATATATATATATATATATATATATATATATATATATATATATATATATATATATATATATATATATATATATATATATATATATATATATATACAGTACTCCCTCTTTATCGACGGATTTTTTATAGACGGTTTCGATTATCGACGGATTATTTAGCCGGATTTTTATTTTGAAATGTGCTTGATATAATCCATTCACGGAAATGTAATATTTTTGCTAAAATGACGTATGTATTACAGTGGAAAGTGGGATCAAATCGTGACGAAAACAATGACTTGCGCTTTCTTTCGTTCAAAAGATGTTACCGTAATCACTTTTCGAATGGTTTAGTTAAAAAACTGTTGTATTGTATTACAATAATATCCTAATTGACTTGAATAAATATTACGATACCATATTTCTGAATATTTTCATTAAAATCCATCAAAATCATTTTCTTTGTCATCGTCTGCAGCACCACACAGCTTCTCCCAGTCCTCTCCTTGAACAGGGCTACAGGGTACACGTGTTTTTCGAATCGTTTTCAGTTAAAAAATTATTACATCACACGTATATTTTACCTAAACTGCGCCTGAATGAATATATTCTCGGAAATAAATAGTAGTTTTGCTGAAACGTGACGTATTTCAATGTAAAATAGGATAAAATACATGACGAAAACAAAAGACTTTACCTAACCTTCCAATGTTCTTGAGATGTTACTCGTTTTTTTAATAGTTTTCGGTTAAAATTCTGTTATATTACAATGATATTCTATTCATACTGTGCTTGATATAATCCATTCACGGAAATGTAATATTTTTGCTAAAATGACGTATGTATTACAGTGGAAAGTGGGATCAAATCGTGACGAAAACAATGACTTGCGCTTTCTTTCGTTCAAAAGATGTTACCGTAATCACTTTTCGAATGGTTTAGTTAAAAAACTGTTGTATTACAATAATATTCCCTCCTAATTGACTTGAATAAATACTTGAATGGAAATATACAATATTTTTGTTGAAACTACCCGCGTTTCAGTGTAAAGTGTTGTAATAATAAATGGTAAACAATTTGCCTTGGGCATCCGGATTTTTGGACTTTTACTATACTGTACACTGTTTTGTTTACTGTAAGGACCGATGTTCACTTCAATAAATGAAATCGTAAGTTTGCTAGTATTTTTGTCCACTTACTATATTATTATTTATACACTATTATTTAAGGTTATGTGTAAAGGAAATGCATTAATGCTTAAAGGTACATTTATTCAACATATGCTAATAATAGTTAGAAAAATTACGTAACCATCACGGTATCGACGGTTTCTTTATCGAAGGCCGTTTACAGAACGTAACCCCCGTCGATAAAGAGGGAGTACTGTATATATATACAGTATATATATATATATATATATATATATATATATATATATATATATATATATATATATATATATATATATATATATATATATATATATATATATATATATATATATATACACACACACACACACACACACACACACACACACATGGGGAAAGAGAAAATTACAATATTGCTTCAGCATTTTCACGTGTTAAACACATCTTGTGAAGCAAATAAGACAAAGTTACAAAGTCAGAAAGAGAGCTACAAGTTGTTTCTCACACCTGGGAGGCAACTGACCCACCACAGATTAAAAAGGAAGGAACAGGTAGCTTGGTAAAGTCAGGTCATCCTTATTTTACTAGTCAAGTCAAATCATTCATGTTAGGTCCTTAATTTTTCAGGTAAGATCTTTAATTTTGGTTACATAGGTCACCATGAAACATTTTCATTATAATACTATCAAATGTGTGCAAACCTCAACTTATATTCATATGTTTGCCTTCTGTTAAGTGAATGAATGTGACTCAAGGCAGAACTGATTACAATACTGTGGAGTCTGGGTCCAGAATGTTTTTCTTTTGATTATGTTAACTGTAAATGGATCGTGTTTACCAAACTGTTCCTTAGTTGATAAATAGAGTAAAAATGGAATCATGCTATGTGAACCTGTGTTAACCACAGGCTGCCTGTACTGTACTGATCTTCCCATCCCTTGGCATTCTTGGATACAGGTAAATTTCTCAAAATGAATTGTAATTTATTGTAAAGTCATGTTTATTTTCATTAAACTGTGAAACATATTTCTCAGATATATTTCCCTTCATATCAATCAAAGATACAAAGAATACCTCATACTGTAATTTATTGGCAAGGTGTGTGAATTTTGAATTGTAAGACCTACTTTACAGGCGTCTTGAAGGTGTTCCTCTCCAAGTGGTCAACATAGGTGACACATCAACTACAGACTATCTCCTCAAGCCTCAGAATCCAGCACTTTATTCTTCTAATGCTGTTCAGACAGTGCTCTCTAAGATAAAGTAAGGTTATGGTGTCACTAAGATTTTTTTGACTGTTGTTTATTTTAATAACAGATGCATGTTCAAAGTATTATTCGGCCTCTTCATGGCTTAATGTTTTCACCAAAAAATATATTAAAGGTGTACAGTATATAGCAAAAACAATCACCAGCTTTTCAACAAGGTTTTTAGTAATAATTAGAATAAGAAAGGTCATCAAGAATTAGTGATCAGCTGTTATAATGCTGGGTACTTGATGAGGTTGAGGAGCTTTTAGTATGAGCAGGTTGGAGCCCTGAATATTTGTCATTCAATCAGGAAAAATATTCATCAAACAAACTGAAGGAATTATAAATTTAAAACCTTTGAAAGAAATACATAATGTTTTGCGAAAGGAAAAACTTCAGCATGTATGTTAAGTAAATCTTCCATCATCATGTTTTTTTACCTTCAGTGTCACAGTATTTCATTATACTGTATACAGTATTGTAATCAAATCCTTTCCATCAACACAAGGAGTCACCAGTACCTGGCATGTATTTGTCACCTTTGCTATTATTGAATGGCTCCTTAAATAAAATTCTGGGTATGTCAAAACCACAAACAAATTAAAAATTAAAAAGAATCAACTGATAATTGAGGAGCACAGAACCGAAGTAGGGCAAGTACCGATATGCCCAAAAACAATACTGTGTGTATGATATATGTCACTAGTATCATTTAAATCTACACTAACAATGCTACAATCTGTCACTTGAATCACTTAAATATCTTCATTGGTTCCAAATTTATGGTAAGGTAATTTGAAGGTTCGCAAACTTTAACTGCACATTTTTCTGTTTTTCATTTACTGTGCTCGCCTTACTTCAGTTCTGTGCACCTATTTCTTACAGGAAGTAACTGATTAACTATTACATTGCATGAAAATATCCTTATGTAGCACAGTTGGTTCAGCATGATTGGTGAGGCACTCATTGTAGGTAGTGCAACACCCACCATCTTGGCTGTTAAGACTATTGCTAAACTCCATGCACCACATGTTTTAACTCCCATGCATTTAGTGTTTATGCTCTCTTTGTGCAAATTTTTCATATAATATAATGGCAGAAGTGTGCAAAATACTGAAATTTTCTGCTCGTGTAATAGTACAAGTAATCAGTATAAGTTTGTAGTATTTTAATATTAATACTTATGTAGAATTTGTTTCTTTTGTGGTGTAATAAGAACTATCATTCAACACTCCTGTGTCTTACAGTAAGTGAGTTGTGAGGTACCAAACAAATTATTTCCAACTGGGAACTGAACATTGGGAAGGGGCAGGTGATGATTTCAAGGAGAAATAGAAGCCATTTAGGATATGAATGTAAAAAAAAAATACAGGTAAGATTACTCTTTAGCAGAAACCTTGCAAAGGTTTGTTTTAATTTATTACTTTTAATTTCCTAAATGAAACTCTGCCTTAGCTGCTGCTGCATGACACCCCCTCCTTTTTTTTTTTTTTTAAATACCTTTTCTTTCCAGCAGTGGTGAACCGGGGGTATTGGAAGCTGAAACTCTCCACACCGGATTGCTGAAAAAATTAGAGATACTCTTACCAGAATTCTCTTCTGCTCAGGAGGACCTTGAGAAAGTCCTCAAGGAAGTAGTCCAACTCAGGGAATTGTGCAATGCCCACAATATTAAACCAGGTATGATTGACAAGTACCATATGCCATTATATTACAGTAATCAGCTTGTGTGGAATGTAATTATTGTTGGCTTGCTCCTTTCTACCATACAGCTGGGTGATATTTGTATTAACTTCTCCAAGAACTTCACTCGTGCACATAAACAGGTCATTTATTAGGTTATTTTCTAAGTGCCTCCGTTTATCTAAAACAAAAATGTAGTACAGTAGGTGATTTTCTGATTTTTTATGATTAACTTCATTACATATATGGTCAGTGATATTCGGATTGTATAAGATTACCTTAATCAACCCCTTTGTTTAACTTAAGCAAATCTCATTTCCGTAAGGAAGCAGTTAGTGAACAGATTTTTCACCTGCTTAAGTTTAACTGAAGCAAACATTGTTGATTTTCTGGCTGCCTAGCCAAACCGTTATATACAGTCGTACATTTTTCTGACTGCCTGAAATAGTCTTTATGGGGATTAGGTATGGGCATTGGGCAGGATGTTAATGGAGGCAGTGAAGGGCCCAAATAAAGCAAAGTAATATATTGGATATGAATTCATAATGGATGTTGCTGTTGTTTTTATCGTCACTGGCTGAAATATTCATCTAAAAGGATCTACTGGTGGCTAATGCAGCCTTTGGCCACAGTGCCTTTTTGTGTTTGCTACCTTTGCACCAACCTAGCCAAGAATACATTGTTTAAGACAGAAACATTGAAGTTAAATTGAATGGGTTTTACTCCCCAGTCATTTTCTTGTCCTGTACAATTGCCTTCAGGTGTAATTACCCCCTACCAAGCCTTTCTTGCTCATTTGACAACGTCGGCACTCGTGTGGCTAGTTCACCCATGCCATATGCGTTTATCCATCCCCAAACGTTGACTGTCACATGTCCGCTTCTTGCCACTTCGTTGATGTTCTGACGTTCATACCTCATGTTGTTGGGCCGCCAGCAGTGGAGAGAAGATCTCCTTACCCCAAAAGTCTATGCCTTAGCCCTCGTATTGCTGGGTAAACCGGAGTTTGGCAGCATGATGGCGATCTTCTAACTTTTCCTTGATTGCCGGAGTCCTATGGTGTATCCTGGCCTCGTGTAACCGCCTTTTCACAATTCCTACAGAAACGTCAAGTTGAAGCCGTTCCTTAATAGTGACTGCATTTGTCAGTGGAGACTGTGTCGCTACATCTATGATTCTTTGATCGTCCACTTGGGTAGTCTGTCCGACTTAGGTTGGTTAAGGAGGTTTCCACTTTCCTCCCATCTCTGCCACCAATTTTGCACTGTTGGTTTCGATAATCCCAGCTCTCTTGCTATGCCTGCAATCGTATGGCCAGCCTCTCTCAACGAGACAATTTTCCCCTGTAACACCAGTTGTTCCTGTTGATGATTCATCTTCGAAGTTGCTTAGCTGAGTGTGGTGTGAAAATGTGAGTAAGGTAGTGAGATGGGATTATGTCAGCTCGTTTGAAATGTCGAACAACCTCTCCCCCTACTTCTCCCACCCCCGCCACCTCCTCCTTTCCTTTCGTTGTATCTCTCTTCAAAGGCTTCTTTTTTGTGACATATATCATATCACAGAATTCAAAATATGTTATATGCATTGATGATTGTTCTTTTTATTATTAATATACAAATACTGTACTGGCAAAAACAAGCAATAGGAAACAACCCTTTCACTCAGTCCCCTAGCCAATTGAGAGTGCGACATTGCTACATGAGCAAGAAAGGCTTGGTAGGGGGTAACATTACACCTGAAGGTGACTGTACCTTGATGTTACTCTGACATTGGTCTTACTGTCCTACAGAATTTTGAGTTGTTTAAGGCCAGAGTGGTTATTACCCAAAATCTGAAGAACATCGAGACCTGAAAGTATGTTATAGAAGTGAAAAGTAAATCATCATGAGTTTTTAATACCATAGTTACTATGTTGAATTATCATACACCTGCATATCCAGAATGTCTTAAGATTGGACTGTGGATTTTCTGGTATACTTAAATTCCAACAAATATAATGCCTAAATAATAAAAACAGTGAACATATAAAAGTGAGATAAGTGGTGAGGCTGTACAAGTGTCTTGGACGAACAAAACACTAGCATTACCAAATACAGTCGACCCTCAATAATCAAGGAGGTTAGGTTCTTGAAAAACTTTTTTAATGTAAAAACTATAGCACAGTGGGGGGGGGGGTTGAATCATTAATGTTTAAGAATAATAACTACAATAAACACTGTATGCACTGTTTCGGTGCCTGTAAATAATAATCTATAGAAAGTATTTTTTTCTTATTGTTGATGATAGTGCTGTACTAATGTTTTGTACAGCATGAGTGATGAGTGTGCCAAATTTATGTTTATTTTTGAAGAAAGCATGCATCAATATTTTAAAAACATAAATAGCCATAAAATTGTCATCCATTATGCTTTACAAAACTATTATTTTCACCTTTTTCCACAAGTTATAAATATTGTACAAGAAAAGTAAATTTATGACAGTAAAGTGCAACACCATCACAGCTCTATAGATGTAACACACTTATTCTTAAATCTTCCTTCTTCTTCCTCATAACTCGCATTTCATTGTATAGATTAACTGTACAGTAGAACGTCGATATAATACGAGTTACGTTCCAAGAGAGGTCGCTTGAAACCGAATTCGCACTAAATCAAAGCGTTGTTTCATTGGAGTAATTTAGTTTGGTACTTGAAACACAAAATACTAAAAAGACTGAGAGTCTACCCAGATGCACCTCAGCCCATCTAGAATAAACAAAACATTGTTTTTTGTAGTATTATGTTAAAGCAAATACTCAAAAATCAACACAGCTAAAATTATTGGACGTGAAATGGTCTGTTTACTAGCATTCAGCTGATGGGAAGATTGGGGAAGAGGTGAGGTAATATGTTTGACAGTTGATGCCAAGGTCTTGTGCTTATTTATTTATTTGTCCTTAAGAGTGACTTTAAGTTTTTCTCTTGTAAAATGTCACTGAACTGACATGTTCTAATTAATTTTAGTACAAAGGGCTAAAATTTTTATCTCCTGTGCAAAATATATGACGTTTATATTCAAATTATCCATTTATTTATGTCCTTTAGATTGAGTTTTTGTTTTTGGTTTATAATGTCACAGAAGTGACCGGGGAGAATATAATTTACATTGCTGGAATTCTTATAAGATAGTGATTAATTTGAATATGGTATAATCATGCTAGAGTTTGCACTAGACAACATTTTAGTAATCATTTATTACATTATTTTGAGTACGTGCACAGTACAGTTTTGCCCTTAGGACAATGTAGCGTGCCCAGAGAAACATTAGGCTTGAATTTTAAAATATGATGCACCAGATTGACTCGTGCAAAATAGGAAAGATTCGCTTTAATTAAAACATTGTCCTTAATTGTGGGTGTCGGTTTAAATCAATGATCTTAAATTGAATCGCTTTAAATCAACGTTATACTGTATAAAGGTACAGTGGTCCCTCGGTTAACGAACTCAATTCGTTCCAGGTCTTTCGTTAACCGAATCCATTGCTTCAATGGGATGTTGGGTACAGTGGGGTATGCTATAACGAATCTAATTGGTTCTAGAACCTTGTTCGTTATAGCATTCGTTCGTTATAGGATTAATCCGTTCCAGGCCCCCAAATACAACCACTTAACACTGAAAAATATAATATGAAATTGTAAAAAAGTGCATAAATATGCATCTAAACCCTTGAAATAAAGAATGTCATTAATACTTGTAATAAAAAAACAATAAATTAGTAAAAAAAAAAAATAATAATAATAATAATAATGTTCGTTGTAGGAGTTTCGTTCGTTATAGCATTCTCAATTTTATAGGTAAAACCGTTCATTATAGGAATATTTGTAGTAGAATCCATTCGTTATAGCATACCCCACTGTAATTGGTTCCAGCTCACTGAAAAGTACATACAAAGTAAAAAAAAAAATGCAGTAAAGTACACTTACTTTGAGGTGTGTATGTAGAAGGCTCCTGGTTGATGATGATGATGGGAATTAGAAGTGGGGGTGGAGGAGAAGGGAGAAAAGAAGGAAGTGGTATGGAGGAAAAATCACCTTCAGTGAACCCATGATTGATGCCTCATTTCACCAATATAATTTTAGTTCACTAGGTGTAATTCAAGATTATTTTCTTTAAATCAACACTGCACTGCGCTATATATTATCAATATGTTAACTAAAGTTCAGAATGACCAATAATTTCAATGAAAAATGAAAAAATATTAAAGACACCAACAAAATAGTTGCTCTCTCCACAGAAAACAAAGCCAGACTGACGCCTGGTGACCGACCCACGCATCTGATGGGTGCACAACTAACTACTTCCCTGTACTGCATATATTATCAATAAATGTTAAAATGACTAATAATTTTAATATAAAACATTCAAAAATATTAAAAAGCTCAAATTTAATGATATTTAATCCATTGGAAATGAATTTAAACTTAGAACAGATTACTGAATTCGCTGAGTACTGTACCCCCTCAGCTGATTCTCACAGCAACAAACTGGTATGTGTGGGGCGCCGGTTGGTAGAACGGTACCGCTCTTGCCTCGCAAGCAAGATGTCACGGGTTCGATTCCCGGCCCTGTGGAAAGTTGTTCGGACACACTTCTCAGCCTCCCTTGGTCCCTGTTCACCTAGCAGCAATGTAGGTACCTGCTGTAACTCGAAAGTTGCGAATTCGTATTCAGGGACAAGTTGTTGGAGCTTCCAATAACTTGCTTAGACATAAACCATTGACTTTTCAGGCTTCTACGCCCTTAACTCATGAGACATGAGACATAAAGGCAAGCATGAACTTTGCATGCTTCCCTGTTGGGTGCTGTAAACGCTTCTGCGCTTCACCTTGCACAAGGATGTAGGGGGTTGCCCAATAAAAAAAAAATGGTATGTTAGTTCCCTCTACAGTACTGCATATATTATCAATATTTAATGTTAAAATGACTAATTATTTTAATATGAAATATTCAAAAATATTAAAAAGCTGTAATTTACTGATATTTAATCCATTGGAAACGAATTTAAACCTAGAACAGGTTACTGAATTGGCAGACTGGGCTATCAGCTGACCAGCTGATGCTCACAACAAAACGTGATTTTCGTAAGGATTTTGTTAATCAAATTTTTTTTCGTTAACCGAATTGAAGATTCTTATGGAAGGTAATTCGTTAACCGAGGGACCACTGTACTGTATTATGGGTTTGTATTAAAAGCAAGTTTATAAAATTCATTAATGATGCTTAGAGGAAATATCAGTGTGATTAACAGTTTAACAAGTAACCTCAGTATGTTGTTTGACAGAAATTGACACATCATCCTTACTTGTAGTCATGTCAGTAGCAGACAGTGTTCCCATTTATCTGGAAACTAAAAAAAACGACAACCATCATTGGGAATGTCTGTTATTGAGAAGTCTATAATAGAAATGGTTTTATGTGTGTGTGTTTGTGTGTGTCCATGTAGGTTGGCACAGAGGATGTCTCACAAGTATTAAGTCAGGAGAGTTTTTTGGTCACTAAAACCAGAACATTGTGGTCTTGAAACCATTTGGTTACAGACTTAGCTTTATGGCTGGGGGCACTGTCCCGCTTAAAATGGTCACAACCATGAATTTTGTAAAACAAACAAATGATCATTAAGCACTTGTACCTGGTACAGTGGCTGACATGTTTTCAGAGATGTAGCAGTTATGTGTTTGTATACAGTATGACATAGTATATCTAACTGAGTGACATGAAACAACCTCTTAATAGTGGTTAGACTATGTATGTAATCCTCCTTTTATCTGTGAATGCTGCTAGTCTGATTTTGGTTTTAATTGACATTCAGATTGCCAAATATAACATCATTGCCCCCAATCTACTTTTTTTATGATAAAAGTAGAACCGAAATATGACACTTATTAAATAAGAGATATATGGCACAGATTTTTGGCAACTTTCTATAAAATATTACTACCAACATGATTTCACAATGTCATTGTTTTAATTATCAGCTTTTCTGTCCTCCAGTCACAGGTCCTACATTCAGGTTGGTATAATATATGATAACACTAAGTAAAAGAAAAGTTTATCTTGTGTGCTGTGATGTACCGACTGGTGCATAGCTAGCCACAACTACAAATTTTCCCTTGATGCTTATGATACGATCATATAAGAATGTCAGTTGAAATGTAATCAGAACCCATTGATACAGGATACGACTTTACTGAGTCTGTTCTGGCTAATGCACGACAATTTTATATAGTCGAGGATAAAACCCCATTATCCCAATGGAATATGTAGATAGCTTTACATAATGTTAAAACACTGGTAATTGCAGACACCAACCTTCATAAGTCAGTGGATATCCCTCCTCTCCTCTCATTGTATTTGTCTCTGGTAATTCAAATTTCTGTCTCTGTACTTGACACTACCTTGAAACCATTGCCACTGTCCAATCTTATCACTTGTCAGACAACTTTTTCCCTACCCAAGACATTTTTAATCCTAATATAAGGTGTCAGTTATTAAAATTAGCAAATTTATGGACATGACAAGTACTGTATTAGTGGAACAGTGCTAATGACTCTCTTGACAGTTTGTGACATCAGTAGTACTGCAACCAATCACAGGTTAGATAAAGTTTGAGTGACAGCCAATCATGGGTAAACCAAGTTGTTTGAACCTTGGTTTGGTGCAACCTTCCTCCTCCCCAACCCCCAGCACATGGACCCCTCTTCAATTTCCCTTCCCACTGTCTCCATACATCACACCACTTCATCACTACCAATGCCAGCCAACTTTTATCAGATAGTAGGCAATGACGATATATTTGGTAATCAGAATGTATTCTATAGACATACAGGAAGTAAAGTATGAGCATTCTTAGATAGAAGAGAAATCCTTTCTTAAACCATTGTATGACTAGTATAAAGAAGTTGCCTCTGCCCAATCACTTCAAGATAAGTACTGCAATGTCAACACACACTGCTGCCATTTCTCACAAAACCCACCAGCCACTGTACCAGGTATAAATACAGGCGATTTTACATGTTAGCATTCATTGTGGGGTTTTGAGGGAGGAATAACACCACTAATATCACTAAAACTCCCCCACACCATCACACTATCTGGGTGTTTCACTGTTGTCAGGGTGTAGTGGTGGTCAAACCTAATGACATTACTCAGCCTCCTTACCTTCCCTTCACTTGCTGTAATGCAATGAAAAGTGCTTTTATCACTCCACATAACCTTAGACTGCTGCACAACTGTCCAGTCTTTATGTTTCTTGGTAAAAATGAAGCATTGCTTTGCTTATCTTATCAGAGTAAGCAGCAGTTTGTGGACAGAGCAATGGGAGAGAAGCTTCAGCTCCTTTTTTCAGGCGATTCTGTTTGATGCATTCTGACTCTTCCAAGGACATTACTGGAACACGTTGGCTCTTTAATACTTCATGCCTCATAAGTCTGTCTGTGGCTTTGTCAGTGTTGTGGGTGTCCAGGGAAGTTGAGCAGGTGACAAGCTGCAGCCTTAAAGCAGTGGATGGTGTCTACACCTTTGCCTGTACAATGCACAACTTCACTTAAAGGATCCTGACCCCCTCTGCAGACATAATAGTCCCAAGACATGCTGAAAAAGTGTTCACAAAAATACAGAGCCGAATGTCCAAACACTACAAAATTCAGGGGGGTGGTTAGAATGCCAGATAAGCACACCCTCTCCTCACAAGACCTGTAGCAACACTGAGTCCTAGGGAACACCAAGCTGTTGGGCTGACTCAGGAGACTTCCCATAGATGACGATGACTTTCATAACAGTGTAACGGTGTAAACAAATAATGTCTTGAATGCATTTCAATCTATTCAGAGAGCTTATTACTGTATATCAAATTATTTTGCAGTATAGTGTAGTATGTGTGTGTATAGATATATATGTATATAAAACAATCTTTATCTACTTGCAGACTTCACACCTGAAGCATTCCAGGCTGTGGAGGCACAGGATTTAATGGATTTTGATGAGATTTCTGGATCTCCTGTTAATATATTACAGGCCACCAAGGGTTGCAAACAAGTCAATACAAAAAGTCCATTGCCCAGAAAAGGCTCAGGGAGAGGTAGAGATATCAAGGAAGAAAAAAGTACTTCAGAATCGTCAGACCCTTTTGGATTTGTAAATACAGAAATGGAAAAACTTCAGGTAAAGACACGTGGTTCTCCATCAGGTAGGGGTTCTAGGTCCAGGACAAACACTCCATCTCCAGGTCGTATTCTAACCAAATCAAAATCTGCCTTGAACACCTTACAGCGAACTCCACCAAGACGATGCTCAGAATCTGCTGGTTCGAATGATGGGAGTCCGGTACCAGCTAATAAACGACATAAAGAGAACAGTTCATTAGCTTCTGCCTCATCGGATATGAAAATAACTTCTGAGGAAGGTGTAGGTAAGGGGAAGCCAAAACCAAATCGGGCTATTACGCGCACAGCTTCAAAAGAGAGTAATTCACCTGCCAGGACTACAAGAGGTCGAAGCCCATCTGTTACAAGTTCTGTGGGAAGTAAACCTGGTAGACCTAAAGTGCGTAAGGCTTGGTCTGAAAAATCTGCATCTGACTCTCAGGATTTCTGAATTTGGGCCAGTTAGAATTCAAAGATACCATATTTTTTAATCTTTATGAATAATATTGATTTGTAAAAATTTTTTAACTTGTGTGATACAAAGACTGAAGAAGGTTTGCAGTTGATTTTTTATGGAGTACTCAACAGGGTAAGTATTGAGGATTTTGGATTCCTAGTACTGTACTCAGTAAGTGATGACAATAAATTTACATAAGTGTCCTTTGTACAAGTGTGACAGAAATGATTCCTACCTTTGAAACCATGAAAGTGCTCTTTGACAATCCTTTGGATTACTTATAAAACAAGGTATTGCCTTTTGTACTAGTTTTTATAATGTACTGTATCATAAATTTTGTTAAGGAAGTAAGATGTTCATAAGAAATATACCTATCACTTTTTTTCCCTTTCATAATCATAAACTCTTCAACCACTTTTTTATAAATCTTGATTACAATCTTAGTAATGAAATGTCATTGAGAATAATTTTCAGCTTTGTCAACAGGTCTTTATGTTGCTTGGTATAAGCAACTTAAAATATAATATCCGATGCGTTGCCTCGCCTTTTTCCTTATAAAGACCATAAAATACATATCATAAGATGTAGTATTATTTCCTAGTCATTTTTTTTAAGCGATACACTATTCATAGATTTTAAAAATTTTCTTCGGTTACTATATGTTTGCTTTTCTTACTATTTTCTGACTAGATTAGTTGATTCATAAGCACCTATCTCAGTTGAACCCAACATTAATTGATTAATTGGGGGATAAATGTTTTCAGCATAGCATTGACATTTCACTGGACAAAATTATTTATATATACATATATATATATATATATATATATATATATATATATATATATATATATATATATATATATATATATATATATATATATATATATATATATATATATATATATATATATATATTTAGATCTACTTCATGCTTTATGAAATACAAAGTAATATATTTCCTGAGTATTACAGGTATTATTGTTTTAGGTGAATTTTCCACTTTTAGTTAGAATATGTTAAATTGATTAGCTTTACAGTCCTAATAACAGTTTATATCACTTGTTTTGCCACTTGCACTAGTTTATGCCATTTATAGTGTTAGAATTCCTAGGTCCCCTTCACTTTATCTTTTGCATTGTCCAGGAGTAACTTTTGGAAATATCTCATATCATGACACACCTGTATCATTCATGCAGAAACAATTGGATTATAAAAAAAATTTCCATTATGTAACCTGCAATTGTAGGTATAATAAATAAATCTTGACACTTTCTGCAGTATAGCATTTGTTTAACTTTAATTGTACATTCTTTACATATCAGGCACACTGCACCCATTTGCCACTTTTACATACCCAGGTACATTGTAACACGTACCTGCAGCACATTGCACCTGTTAGCAACTTATACATACTCATTTTACATCATCACAACTGTAGCACACTGTTATGTGACTATTTTATACATGTGTTTTGCATTACGTATTACAGCTTCAATGTATTTCACATTTTACTCTTTACATATCCATCATACTATGAAAACTATCACAGTGCACCTGTTACTCACATGTATACATATACAAGTATTGTACATTGTTTTGACACGAGCATCCTGCACCTGTTTCTTACTTGTATACAATATGATAATTATAATTATGTTGTATCACAATTTTAGCACACATTACATGATACTTCACTATACTCATTGAACAGTATCTCAAAAAATGTATCTGCCAGGATGGGTCCGATGACTTCAAAATGCTACATGCAACTTGTGATATCCTGGGAGGGTTGGAATGTGTTGCTGTGTGGCATACTGATCTTACTACATTTTGTAACTGAACTCATATTAATTATGCTGAAATACACATTGCATTACTTATACCAAAATAAATGCGTATCCCAATATATATCATCCGTGGTCTCATAATGCTTCACACCCAGTGTGGACAGATACTTTTTTGAGATACTGTACATATTTACAAGTCATAGCACACAACCTGTTTTGTCAGCTTTAGATAATCATTGTGCATTGTGACAACTAGCTCCCTACACCTGTTGGCCATTTATTCTCATTCATTTAACCTTATCACAATTTTTAGTACACTGCACATGTTTATTACTGTTTTACTTCCAGTTTTCATCACAACTCCAGTACACAAGGAAATCTCATGTTTTACTAGATGCAGTATACTGTATATATTAGTGTGTGAAGGGGTGAAATAAGCAGATGCACATTACACTTTGCAACAGAAGATTTCCCATCAACTGTGAACATTCATTGCAATGTACAGTGTGTGATATTTCAGTGTTGCTCAACCTTTTATTTATTTGTTTTTCCAATCCCCCCCCTTCCCCCCTTATGTTTTTAAATCTCCGAAGAACTTTACATTAAAAAATACTATTCACTGATAGTTGTGGCTTTCCCATGATTGGTATTTTGCATTCATATTACTAGAATTCATCTTTTAAAAAAATAGGACTTTATATTAATGGAAGAGTAATCTTTCTTGGTTAACTTAGTTTTCAAGTTTACCAGTACATTACTATAATCAATTTATGTGTCTCTTTAATAGTGAAGATTGATACTTCAGCTCTTGTATATACTCTATAATATTTCGTACATAATCAACAGTTTAATAACTTAATGGTAACCACTAAGTTTTCTAAAGTGGCTGTAGAGTGTTTGAATTATGTCATTATGTTTTACAATGGATGGACTGATATGCATCAAATCACATATTTAAGTTACTGTTTCATGAAAGATATATTTGAATGTTTATTTTATGGGCAAATGGTCCCATGCTAAACAAATATTACTGATTTTAGGAAACAAAATAAGATTTTTCTTATGTGGTAGGGGAATTTGATATGTACAGTAACTGGATAATTCATGTGATGGACATAGTGAAATACATCAAACTGAAATATTTTTGGACTATAAATGTACTGTACTTTAAATATTTATTATAAGGGAAGGGTTCTCTATACCATATCACCAAATCACTGTACTCAACTAAATTACAATCTTACTTTGTGTAACTAGGGCCCCATATTGTACCTATGAAACCCAAAAGTAATCAGCCTGATTGTCCATCAGTAATTGTGTCTTTTTCATAACTTCACATTGAATCAAGATATTGCAGTGAAGTACAGGGTGTGTCTAAAGTCCCCATACTCAAAGTTTGGCAATTTATATTTTCATGCAGCAAATGCTGGCACGATTGCTGAGTAATGTACTGGTCACGTGACTTCGTACATGAGCGGGTAGAGGGACGCAAGTGTGAGTCAGTCGACAATGAATCTTAAGCGGGCACAGAGGGTCGCTGTGTTGGAGGCGTACTTTGAGTGCAAATCTTATCAACGGTGTGTTGAAATCTTAAGGAGGAGATTCCCCCGATAGCCTGACACCATGTAAGGCTACTGTTTATGAACTGGTGAAACATTTTCGTGACACAGGAAATGTGAAAGACAGACCAAAAACCAGGCGGCTGTCAGTAGTGACATCAGGGTTTGTTGCAATCTTCCCGTAAGTCACTGCGGCATTTGTCAGTGTATTTTGAGAATTTATTTACCCATTTAAATGAAACCAGGCCTCGTCCGTGAAAAATGTCGTGTCCAGCCCTGTGACATTGTTGTGTGTGTGAACCTGTTGAACCACCGGCAGTAGTGAACACACTTGTCTGTGTCCAACGGGCGCAGCTCATGCACTGCCCTGAATCTGTATGAACGTAGCTTTAAACATTTGACAACCCTGTGAACGGCTGAACAAGATGCTCCACTTGTGACAAACGCCGCAATAACTTACGGGGAGATTGCAACAAACCCTGGTGTCACTACTGACGGCCGCCTGGTTTTTGGTCTGTCACATTTCCTGTGTCACGAAAACATTTCACCAGTTCATAAACAGTAGCCTTACATGGTGTCAGGCTATCAGGGAATCTCCTCCTTAAGATTTCAACACACCGTTGATAAGATTTGCACTCAAAGTACGCCTCCAACACAGCGACCCTCTGTGCCCGCTTAAGATTCATTGTCGACTGCCTCACACTTGCGTCCCTCTACCTGCTCATGCGCAAAGTCACATGACCGGTACATTACTCAGCAATCTTCTGCGATGTTGCCAGCATGTGCTGCGTGAAACCATGGATGGCTATCGTTAGCTATTAAACTACTAGAAATTACCAAGCTTGGAGTATGGGGACTTTTAAGACACCCTGTATAATATGCTGTTATGTAATCACCAGAGAATGTGCTCTGTGGCATATTAATAGCATGAATCTTCTAATATTTGTCCATTGAAGGGGAACTTATTATGGTATTTGTAAACCTTTCCATTTATCTTTGCTGATAATTTTACAAATTTCACATAAATATCTTTACTTTCTAGATAAAATGCATAGTACAAAATACTGATATATGTCAAAGGTCAAGATCACAGCTGAAGAACACAAGGTAAAATTTCCCAGCTGACTGTTATGTACAGAATCTCCGTAAAACATCCTTCATTACTTTATGCAATGCTCAAATGATATTCATTCAACTAAAGTAAATTTTCAAATGATACACACATTTGTTTTTATTCACTTTTCACATATATTCTTCCAAGTGTATACTTCCTCTTTATTTCATACCTTGTTTCCTTTGGGGATCATTATAGATCTAAGCATATAATAAAAATGCAGTTTTATCTCTTCCCTTGTACATTATTAGTAATATATTCTGAAAAACAGTTTACAGAGACCTCAGCAAATTAGCATTCTTCTTGTATGCCTCCTTATCTCTCAAATTCCTATTTTCATCATAAATGAAGCCTACAGAATGGAAAAGTGACCCTTGGTGTTGTCTGCTATGTATCTCCTTCATTTCTATTCAAATACTGCACCGGTATGTAGGATTTTATTTGTTTATGTTCTTTGGCACATTATTTTAATTGGATGCAATACAATTTTTAGGAGTCAACCATGTTTAGTTTTAACACTGGGGGGAGGTCAATCACTTCATGATGAACCTTACTGCATTTTTCATTGTTCTTGTTCTCACGTCTTATTATTCCCTTATAATTTTTCACCTCTGTGAATGATATTCACAGATATTTATGGCCATTTCCCTGAATCTTTTTTTACCACTGTAGGTTAAATTTTTTAATCTAATGACAGTATAATATCTGGTGACTCTTGTATTTTGATATTAAATCTATGAAGTAGAAACCCCAGGATCCCATGAACATACACATAAGACTGAAGATTTAAATATTGAATAACTTTAAAAGTTAGATAAAGTTTAACTGTAGTGGATATCCTAAAATAAGAAGATGGAGGGGATAAAAACCTAATAGGGGAGGCTTCCATAAATAAAGTGATGAGAAGGGATCATACAATTAGAGTTTGGTGATCACTGATTAGTCAGGTTACAACTGATTCCATTTATGCAGATGGATAAGGGTCCCTTCCTACATGTATGTACAGTAGTTGCATCACAAAGTGGTGCATTTTCTGGCTTTCGATTGATAGATGAACGGGAAAGAATTTTACTGTACTTGCATATTTGTAGTGTTACAGAATTCTAGACTATTATTTTTAGTTGGTTTCAATGTCATTATTGCATGGTATTTGTTATTCTCTCTATGAATATATAAATAGACAGTACAAGTTGGTTTATAAACACTTTCAAGACTATGTTATGGTGATTAATCCTGATTGGATAATATGACCTCTTGGTCTATTATAGAACTTTGAAGATCAAGGCTTATATGTTAAAAACAGTAAACATTTGATATTCATGGTTTTGGGATTCACA